ATTTCTAGTGATCATCACAGCGATTCCGTTGAGATTTCTAGTGATCATCACAGCGATTCCGTTGAGATTTCTAGTGATCATCACAGCGCTAGTGATCATCACAGCGATTCTGTTATTATGATTTCTAGTGATCATCACAGCGCTAGTGATCATCACAGCGATTCTGTTATTATGATTTCTAGTGATCATCACAGCGCTAGTGATCATCACAGCGATTCTGTTATTATGATTTCTAGTGATCATCACAGCGATTCTGTTATTATGATTTCTAGTGATCATCACAGCGCTAGTGATCATCACAGCGATTCTGTTATTATGATTTCTAGTGATCATCACAGCGATTCTGTTATTATGATTTCTAGTGATCATCACAGCGATTCTGTTATTGAGATTTCTAGTGATCATCACAGCGATTCTGTTATTGAGATTTCTAGTGATCATCACAGCGATTCCGTTGAGATTTCTAGTGATCATCACAGCGATTCTGTTATTATGATTTCTAGTGATCATCACAGCGATTCTGTTATTATGATTTCTAGTGATCATCACAGCGATTCCGTTGAGATTTCTAGTGATCATCACAGCGATTCTGTTATTGAGATTTCTAGTGATCATCACAGCGATTCTGTTATTATGATTTCTAGTGATCATCACAGCGATTCCGTTGAGATTTCTAGTGATCATCACAGCGATTCTGTTATTGAGATTTCTAGTGATCATCACAGCGATTCCGTTGAGATTTCTAGTGATCATCACAGCGATTCTGTTATTGAGATTTCTAGTGATCATCACAGCGATTCTGTTATTATGATTTCTAGTGATCATCACAGCGATTCCGTTGAGATTTCTAGTGATCATCACAGCGATTCTGTTATTATGATTTCTAGTGATCATCACAGCGATTCTGTTATTGAGATTTCTAGTGATCATCACAGCGATTCTGTTATTATGATTTCTAGTGATCATCACAGCGATTCTGTTATTATGATTTCTAGTGATCATCACAGCGATTCTGTTATTGAGATTTCTAGTGATCATCACAGCGATTCTGTTATTATGATTTCTAGTGATCATCACAGCGATTCCGTTGAGATTTCTAGTGATCATCACAGCGATTCCGTTGAGTTTTCTAGTGATCATCACAGCGATTCCGTTGAGATTTCTAGTGATCATCACAGCGATTCTGTTATTATGATTTCTAGTGATCATCACAGCGATTCTGTTATTATGATTTCTAGTGATCATCACAGCGATTCCGTTATTATGATTTCTAGTGATCATCACAGCGATTCCGTTGAGTTTTCTAGTGATCATCACAGCGATTCCGTTGAGATTTCTAGTGATCATCAGCGATTCTGTTATTATGATTTCTAGTGATCATCACAGCGATTCTGTTATTGAGATTTCAAGTGATCATCACAGCGATTCTGTTATTGAGATTTCTAGTGATCATCACAGCGATTCTGTTATTGAGATTTCTAGTGATCATCACAGCGATTCTGTTATTATGATTTCTAGTGATCATCACAGCGATTCCGTTGAGATTTCTAGTGATCATCACAGCGATTCTGTTATTGAGATTTCTAGTGATCATCATAGCGATTCCATTGAGATTTCTAGTGATCATCACAGCGATTCCGTTGAGATTTCTAGTGATCATCACAGCGATTCTGTTATTATGATTTCTAGTGATCACCACAGGGATTGCAGCAATTTGAACAATGCAACACTAACAGCAAGATATAACTTTTTTTATTGAGATTCCTCATTATTTTTTTACATTAACAGTAGTAGCTGGTCAATAACTGGCCAAATATATCCGAACGCTGTCTCCAATTCATTCGAGACTGGCCAAACATGTCAACACCCTGACCACGACCGGCCACACATCTCCACACCCTGTCCATGACTGGCCACACATCTCCACACCCTGTCCATTTCTGGCCACACATCTCCACACCCTGACCATTACTGGCCACACATGTCAACACCCTGTCCATGACTGGCCACACATCTCCACAACCTGTCCATTGCCGGCCACACATCTCCACACCCTGTCCATTTCTGGCCACACATCTCCACACCCTGACCATGACTGGTCATCCATCTCCACAACCTGTCCATGACTAGCCACACAATTCAACACCCTGTCAATGACTGGCCACACATCTCCACACCCTGTCCATCATGGCCACACATCTCCACAACCTGTCCATTGCCGGCCACACATCTCCACACCCTGTCCATTTCTGGCCACACATCTCCACACCCTGACCATGACAGGTCATCCATCTCCACAACCTGTCCATGACTAGCCACACAATTCAACACCCTGTCAATGACTGGCCACACATCTCCACACCCTGTCCATCATGGCCACACATCTCCACAACCTGTCCATGACTGGCCACACATCTCCACAACCTGTCCATGACTGGCCACACATCTCCACACCCTGACCATGACCGACCATATATCTCCACAACCTGTCCATGACTGGCCACACATCTCCACACCCTGTCAATGACTGGCCACACATCTCCACAACCTGTCAATGACTGGCCACACATCTCCACACCCTGACCATGACCGACCACACATCTCCACACCCTGTCCATGACTGGCCACACATCTCCACACCCTGTCAATGACTGGCCACACATCTCCACACCCTGTCCATTACTGGCCACACATCTCCATGCCCTGTCCATTACTGGCCACACATCTTCATGCCCTGTCCATTACTGGCCACACATCTCCACACCCTGTCCATTACTGGCCACACATTTCAACACCCTATTAATGACTAGCCACACATCTCCACACCCTGTCCATTACTGGCCACACATCTCCACACACTGTCCATGACTGGCCACACATCTCCACACCCTGTCCATTACTGGCCACACATCTCCACACCCTGTCCATTACTGGCCACACATTTCCACACCCTGTCCAATACTGGCCACACATCTCCATGCCCTGTCCATTACTGGCCACACATCTCCACACCTTGTCCATTACTGGCCACACATCTCCACACCCTGTCCATTACTGGCCACACATCTCCATGCCCTGTCCATTACTGGCCACACATCTCCATGCCCTGTCCATTACTGGCCACACATCTCCACACCCTGTCCATTACTGGCCACACATCTCCACACCCTATTAATGACTAGCCACACATTGTATAGTCTGACAGTCTATATGATTATACAAAACAAGAAAAAATATAACTGTATTGATCCCGGAAATAAGCTGCTGTTGGTAGCTCATTAGCCACCAGAAGTTTTGAGTAGCATTATTTGGCTTTCAGCACAATGAATCGATTTAGAATTCTATATGGGACTCTACTTGGACATCATACATTGTATATATCCTTATATCTATCAAATGAAGCACAATTTACGGCTTGGACAAGCATCTAAGATGGATACATCTACATATAACTTAGCCACACCATTATCTAATATACACAGATTTACTCATACAAATCACATCTAGAAACTCTAAGGATGGTCATCACTTTTTATCACATGTAACATCATCAGAAACACATTATTGTACAACCATACCTTAAATATATTGCGTCACCATAATGTCCATGGTGTATGATGACCACAAAAAGAAACAGCAGTAAAATTCAGCATGCATCCTCAACATAATGCCATTTAGTACAGCTACACATCATATGATATAAACAAAATATAAAATGATATCACAGCCTTCACACACATAATTACATGAACTACACACTAAATCAGTGATAAAGTAACAAGCCGTCTACGGGCATTGACCTGAGCTAAATAATATTCAATATAAAGGTTAAAGTTTAGAAGATTTAAAGTGTTATGAAAAAGAAATTGTGACATTGATGATAGTAAGAGTGACATTGATGATAGTAAGAGTGACATTGATGATAGTAAGGGTGACATTCATGATAGTAAGAGTGACATTGATGATAGTAAGAGTGACATTGATGATAGTAAGGGTGACATTCATGATAGTAAGAGTGACATTGATGATAGTAAGAGTGACATTGATGATAGTAAGGGTGACATTCATGATAGTAAGAGTGACATTGATGATAGTAAGAGTGACATTGATGATAGTAAGAGTGACATCCATGATAGTAAGAGTGACATTGATGATAGTAAGAGTGACATTGATGATAGTAAGGGTGACATTCATGATAGTAAGAGTGACACTGATGATAGTAAGAGTGACATCGATGATAGTAAGGGTGACATTCATGATAGTAAGAGTGACATTGATGATAGTAAGAGTGACATTCATGATAGTAAGAGTGACATTCATGATAGTAAGAGTGACATTCATGATAGTAAGAGTGACATTGATGATAGTAAGAGTGACATCCATGATAGTAAGAGTGACATTGATGATAGTAAGAGTGACATTGATGATAGTAAGAGTGACATTGATGACAGTAAGAGTGACATTCATGATAGTAAGACTTAAGTGATATATTTCAAGTCCTTTGAAGTCAGCCAGTGTCAATTGATGCATACATTCAAAACTGTCATTGGATACTAATAATTCTTACCAAGTTATTTCCAATGTAAAATATTTTAATTTCTACTCAAGTTGGCTACTCAAGTTGGGCTCAATGAAACGTAGACACTGCCTGAAAGAAAACAAATCTCCAACAAAAACAAGCGAGTCCACAATTTTGATATGGAGCTGCTTCTTGACAAAGGTCTTGATTAAATGGACACTCACGCTAATGAGAAAGGTCACAAAACACTCATGACATTCTAAAAATGGTTGCTGCCTAGTTCCAAGCAAAGTTCTAGTAATTGCAGACTTTGATTTGTTTGAAATATTGAAAACAAACCATCTTGATTGAAATATGAGAATTGAATCGTGCTTTTGTTTATGCAACAGGGTGATGAATGAATTTATTTGCTCTTGTGACAAATTCAACATGACTATGAATGTCTCAAGTACAACTGAATTCATCATAACATACAACTGACACAAGCAAGGTTCAATCCTTAAATAAACGTTATGCTCAAAACAACCGTAGTAAACTTTACCCCCTCCCCAGGAGAGACCTTGGGACTATGAAATTCACAACTCTGGTAATGCACTATTTTGATTTATCTAACGCCAGGGAAGGTTTCTGCAAAATTTCATTCAAAATGGTTCAGCGGTTTTTGAGATGACATTGAAAATATTAAAAGTTTATGGACACATGATGCTGGACCAAAGGCAATCACAACAAGTCACCATAAGACTTTGTATCAGGTGACCTTAAAATATGTTTTGGTGAAACACATGTCAAAGATTTCTACAGTTTGAGCCAATTTTTGTAAGGAACAAAAGAGAATCCGGAGAGATGCCTGCCTTGGTATGATCTTTATTAGTTCTATACTTGTAGCGTCTTTGTTATAATTTGTTTTTAACAACACATTAACAAAATTCATTAAACAATAAAAAAATAATAAAAATTTGCAAATGATTTAACAAGTATTAGGGAATATCCTATTCTGGCTGTTCATGTATATCGGAATTCTTACATCAAACAAAGTAAGGGGTTCGTACATGACCTTTTGATGACTACACTGTCATCTTCATCAGTTAACTATATGGGGTGAAGAGATGTCACTCAAGTAAACATGTCAATAAGGTCACAGGATTCCTTGTGTGGTGTAAAATCTGGTGTAAACTAAGGTGGAAAGTAGTTTCACCACACGACAATAACATTTACTTGAATCAATGACCTTCCATACATATATCAGGTAATAAGAAAGTGCTTTGTCTTGAAAGCTGATTTGGCTATGTTTTGTTTGAAACATGGTCACAGATATAGTCACAGATGTATAGTGTAGTCATCAAAATGTCACAACACAGCAGAACTATAAAGAAAATATGAAAAAGAGTTAAATATTTCTATACATATTACAGCATACTAACATACACAAAAACATCTTTAATGCTTATCTACTGGAGTCATTCAAACTCCTAGCAAACAGTAATCAATACAAACAACCTGTCTTCAGAAAAAGGATTATGTAAATGATGGAACTTCTCAGCTAGGGCTGAAGCCTATAGGCAGATAGTGTTACCCCAGGTCAGGGCTGGATCCTATAGGCAGATAGTGTTACCCCAGGTCAGGGCTGGATCCTATAGGTAGATAGTGTTACCCCAGGTCAGGGCTGGATCCTATAGGCAGATAGTATTACCCCAGGTCAGGGTTGGATCCTATAGGTAAATGGTGTTACCCCAGCTCAGGGCTGAATCCTATAGGCAGATAGTGTTACCCCAGGTCAGGGCTGGATCCTATAGGCAGATAGTGTTACCCCAGGTCAGGGCTGGATCCTATAGGCAGATAGTGTTACCCCAGGTCAGGGCTGGATCCTATAGGCAGATAGTGTTATCCTAGGTCAGGGCTGGATCCTATAGGCAGATGGTGTTACCCCAGGTCAGGGTTGGATCCTATAAACAGATGGTGTTACCCCGGGTCAGGGTTGGATCCTATAAACAGATGGTGTTACCTCGGGTCAGGGTTGGACCCTATAAACAGATGGTGTTACCCCGGGTCAGGGTTGGATCCTATAAACAGATGGTGTTACCCCGGGTCAGGGTTGGATCCTATAAACAGATGGTGTTACCCCGGGTCAGGGTTGGATACTATAGGCAGATAGTGTTACCCCAGGTCAGGGTTGGATACTATAGGCAGATGGTGTTACCCCAGGTCAGGGTTGGATACTATAGGCAGATAGTGTTACCCCAGGTCAGGATTGGATACTATAGGAAGATGGTGTTACCCCAGGTCAGGGTTGGATCCTATAAACAGATGGTGTTACCCCAGGTCAGGGTTGGATCCTATATTAAGTAGATGTAAGGTAACGTTCAGAAAGTAAAAGTCTGATTTCATGTAGCAATTCTTTGTCACAATAAACATCAAGGAAAAAAAATTATTTCTTATAAAATCAATTTTGCTAAAAGGCCAATGTCCTTCCCTTGAGACAAGACATCTGACACACTTTTCTTCTTTTAAAATGTCACCACTCACGAATGGGTTCGCTATCACTATGATGTAACCTTGTCACTAATGGATAGCTTTTAGTGGTGGACAGGACATCCAGCAAAATAAATTGTAAAAACATCATCTATGTTGACAAGACCCTGGCAATTTTTGACCATACAAAGTATACAGTTGACAACAACAGCTTACAATATATGAGGTAAGGGAGAAAAATTCCAGCTTAACAAAGACAGAGATAACTCAGAAAAGCCTGATGGCAAACTGAGAATGTTACTGTTCGTCCCCATCTCACAGTGACAAAAGAATATTTCACCCTTACACCAGACATCTCAAAGACATTAAAAGAAAACTGGAAGTCATAAATACATGTACCTTGAAAACGAACTCTATGTAAAATCAAATATATTCAATTCTTTAAAAAAATACACAAAAATACAAAACATTAGTGTCTTGTGTGGCACTTAGTCCATATAACAGATCAGCAACATTCAAGTTAGTTTGGTTTGTGCATTGGATCCCTGTCGCATCTTAACCGGGAATTAAAAAAGAAATCTTAGGTGTTCTTCTTTTTTAATGCTTAGTCTGTTTTGTTCAGTTTGTTCATTATTGGAACATTTGGCACAACACACATGATGTAGATAGAGCCAGAGTTACCTTCTTCATTTGTCTGGGTTATTGACGTCCAGAGGCTGACAACATTCTGTCACACCATCACACCTATCTTACTGCATACTTTAATAGGTTAAACGTCACACCTATCTTACTGCATACTTTAATAGGTTAAACGTCACATCTATCTTACTGCATACTTTAATAGGTTAAACATCACACCTATCTTACTCCATACTTTAATAGGTTAAACGTCACATCTATCTTACTCCATAATAGGTCTACCTACTAAAAACTTAAACACTTATTTCCTGTCTTGGTGAAATACTTCCTACTTTATTTTCTACCACTGTCTGATTTACAGAACTATTTGGAGTCTCTCCTCAGACAGCATACTGTGCACAAAACAAAGGATCTTGAGCAAATGGTTCATATCCCATTAGAAAATACATAATATTCAACAGACGTTCATTAGATGTTAGGATACTCTCGCTGCCCTTAAACACAGTTGTGTAACCTTTTGACACGAGGCTCAGCTGATATCGAAGCAAGTTCACACCCCAAATAAGCGAGCCGATGTTCATCACAGCCATTGATAAAACCCAGCCATCAGACCAGAACATATAATATAACATTTCACCGCCGGACTTATCAGGATACACAATGAAACAGTACATGGCGATGTTTCCTAGGAAAATCAGCATACACAACATCACAAACGTAATGAACCACACAAACATGGAGTGGTTTCCCTTCGCGACGCAACGTAGCAGAAACAAACAGTGATGGTCCATCTGATAAAAGCACTTCTCACACAGCTTACAGTGTTTTGTAAGGGACGATCGGATTATCTGGGAAAAAAATGTATACAACTGTTATGAATTGTAATATCTGAATGACACCTGACGGTTCTACACTGCAGCATGAATATATTTATGTTTTAAACATAACTTTTATATGATTAACATTGAAAAAGATGATCTGATAATAGTTATCATAATTTAGGTATTTATATAACACTGGACACGCAGCAGGTCAATTTTACGGTTGGGTACACAGAGATCTACGATGGTCATTAGATAATCTAACAGCTTGGATACTTACATTACAGTGGATACGCAGCAGGTCAATTTTAGGGTGCGGTACACAAAGATCTACGATGGTCATTAGATAATCTCACAGCTTGGATACTTACATTACAGTGGACACGCAGCAGGTCAATTTTAGGGTGCGGTACACAAAGATCTATGATGGTCATTAGATAATCTCACAGCTTGGATACTTACATTACAGTGGACACACAGCAGGTCAATTTTACGATGTGGTACACAAAGATCTACGATGGTCATTGGCTTGCCAGTCTCTTTGTCATGGATGGATTGTGTCACCAGACCTGTTATATATAAAATATCAACTCTGTTGTTATTAACATAACACTCCATATAACAACAAACCTAACAGTTATATAATAACAACATAACACTCCATATCACAACACACCTAACAGTTATATAATAACAACATAACACTCCATATAACAACACACCTAATAGTTATATAATAACAACATAACACTCCATATCACAACACACCTAACAGTTGTATAATAACAACATAACACTCCATATAACAACACACCTAATAGTTATATAATAACAACATAACACTCCATATAACAACACACCTAACAGTTATATAATAACAACATAACACTCCATATAACAACACACCTAACAGTTATATAATAACAACATAACACTTCATATAACAACACACCTAACAGTTATATAATAACAACATAACACTCCATATAACAACACACCTAATAGTTACCGTTAAGTGATTTATACTACATCCTTTACGTGATTGAAGATCATGAGATATCACATTACTTATAGATGAACAAGCCCTGCAATATCTTATGCATTTTATGTCTCCAGCGCCTTTTTTTTTGTTTTTGGGACCCATCCAAAAATAGCAATAAGAATCTCTAACTGTCAAAATCCAAGATGACTGCTCGTAAGCTATTTTTCATCTAATTGTCTAAAAAATGGATAATACAGAACAAGGCACCAAGGGAAACCTACATTTTGAATTTGAAGAATGATCAATCTAGTGTTTTTTTCAAGAAATAAGGACAACAAAGTATCATTGTCAAAATCCAATATGTCCATGTCAGACATCCCCCCAAGCCCACCCCCACATGGACAACTTGGGACCAATGGAAACCAACATTTCATTTCAACATTTCCATTTATCTGGACAGTTAGGGACAACAATATATGATCTGGCCATACTTAGGGGTAATGGCATATATACATCTAAAACCCTTTACTCTATGTTTCAGTACATACCAGGATCAACAGTGAGAACCTTGTAGTAGAAGTAGAGTAAAGCACACAGCAGTGATAGACACACCAATGTCAGCAGGTTGTTGTACATGGTATCTGTGATCCTTAGTTAAGGCTAATTCGTATAATACAAAAAACATTTTGATTCATGCAAAAATCTTAACCTCTTGTAAGGTCAAGAAGGAGACAAAATTCATGAGACCATGAAATTATCTGAAGCTGTGGAAAAGTAGAATTTGTAGTCTTGTGTTCATTTTGTGGTGCTGTGTTGTTGATTTTCAGTGTACATTTTAGAGGGTATATTCTGTTGATTCTGAAGTGCTGATTTTAAAGCGATATGTTGTTGATATTGTAGTTTTCAGTCTGTACTTTTTGTAGTGTTGATTCTGAAGTGTTGATTTTATAGTGATATGTTGTTGACTTTGTAGTGCTCAGTCTGTACTTTTTGTAATGTTGATTCTGAAGTGTTGATTTTATAGCGATATGTTGTTGACTTTGTAGTATTACGTCTGTACTGTTAATTTTGTAGTGTTGATTCTGAAGTGTTGATTTTATAGCGATATGTTGTTGACTTTGTAGTGTTCCGTCTGTACTTTTTGTAATGTTGATTCTGAAGTGTTGATTTTATAGCGATATGTTGTTGACTTTTTAGTGTTCAGTCTGTACTGTTAATTTTGTAGTGTTGATGTGGTGTTGTTGATTATGTTTTACTTTATAGTTAAGTCTAGGTGGGAGTTGCCTGTGTTCTCCCATAATCTCAACAAATAATGTCTGATTTATGTGCATTGTGTGGCCTGGTTCATTCAACAAGAGGCCCAAAGGGCTTGCATTGCTCATGTAATATTCAATGCTATTGACAAATACATTCAATCATCCTATCTTAAAAGAAAGCAAGTTTATATTCTGGACACCAACGTTTTACGAATAACAGACAAGATTGCTATAATTCAGGGGACATGGGTCCTGATCTAGTTTAACTGCAAGCAATGTTATACTCTGAACATGAAAATTTTAAAAAAGGGCAATAACTCTGCAACTGAGGGATTACAGGCTAAGTTAATAAGTTTTCCCTCCGAAAATCATAACTAGTCTTTGATTTCTTCATTGAGAGTGAGAATTAGACGGAAGTTTTTATATAGTGTTTATCACTACGGCTGCTGGAATCCCTTCATCTTATCCTTAATCTGAGGACATTTTAACCAAATTATCGTCTAGGGCACAGGAACTGACTTTTTACAGTGGCTTTCTGGCACTGAATCTGATTTTTAACTGTATCATAGAGGCCATAAAACACAGTAGCAGATACGAAGTGTATAAAGAAATTAAAGTAGACCCATTTCTCCATACAAGCATTACATTGCTATATCATGGCTGACATACAAGGTTTTCTGTCAACAGTTGTGACATACAGGGTTTTTTATCAACAGTTGTGACGTACAGGGTTTTCTATAAAAATTTTGTGATATACAAGGTTTTCTGTCAACTGTTGTGACAAACAGGGTTTTCTGTCAACTGCTGTGACATACAGGGTTTTCTGTCAACAGTTGTGACATACAGGATTTTCTGTCAACAATTGTGACATACAGGGTTTTTTGTCATTTGTTGTGACATACAGGGTTTTATGTCAACTGTTCGACATACAGGGTTTTCTGTCAACTGTTGTGATATACAGGGTTTTCTATCAACAGTTGTGACATATAGGGTTTTCTGTCAACTGTTGTGACATACAGGGTTTTCTGTCAACAGTTGTGACATACAGGATTTTCTGTCAACAATTGTGACATACAGGATTTTCTGTCAACAATTGTGACATACAGGGTTTTTTGTCAACTGTTGTGACATACAGGGTTTTCTATCAACAGTTGTGACATATAAGGTTCTCTATCAACAGTTGTGACATACAGGGTTTCTATCAACAGTTGTGACATATAGGGTTTTCTGTCAACTGTTGTGACATACAGGGTTTTCTGTCAACTGTTGTGACATACATGGTTTTCTATTAACAGTTGTGACATACATGGTTTTCTATCAACAGTTGTGACATACAGGGTTTTCTATCAACAGTTGTGACATATAAGGTTCTGTATCAACTGTTGTGACATACAGGGTTTTCTGTCAACTGTTGTGACATACAAGGTTTTCTGTCAACTGTTGTGACATACAGGGTTTTTTATCAACAGTTGTGACATACAGGGTTTTCTATAAAAATTTTGTGATATACAAGGTTTTCTGTCAACTGTTGTAACAAACAGGGTTTTCTGTCAACTGCTGTGACATACAGGGTTTTCTGTCAACAGTTGTGACATACAGGATTTTCTGTCAACAATTGTGACATACAGGGTTTTTTGTCATTTGTTGTGACATACAGGGTTTTATGTCAACTGTTCGACATACAGGGTTTTCTGTCAACTGTTGTGATATACAGGGTTTTCTATCAACAGTTGTGACATATAGGGTTTTCTGTCAACTGTTGTGACATACAGGGTTTTCTGTCAACAGTTGTGACATACAGGATTTTCTGTCAACAATTGTGACATACAGGATTTTCTGTCAACAATTGTGACATACAGGGTTTTTTGTCAACTGTTGTGACATACAGGGTTTTCTATCAACAGTTGTGACATATAAGGTTCTCTATCAACAGTTGTGACATACAGGGTTTCTATCAACAGTTGTGACATATAGGGTTTTCTGTCAACTGTTGTGACATACAGGGTTTTCTGTCAACTGTTGTGACATACATGGTTTTCTATTAACAGTTGTGACATACATGGTTTTCTATCAACAGTTGTGACATACAGGGTTTTCTATCAACAGTTGTGACATATAAGGTTCTGTATCAACTGTTGTGACATACAGGGTTTTCTGTCAACTGTTGTGACATACAAGGTTTTCTGTCAACTGTTGTGACATACAGGGTTTTCTATTAACAGTTGTGACATACAAGGTTTTCTATCAACAGTTGTGACATATAAGGTTCTCTATCAACTGTTGTGACATACAGGGTTTTCTGTTAACTGTTGTGACATATAAGGTTCTCTATCAACTGTTGTGACATATAGGGTTTTCAACTTTTCTAACACACAGGATTTCTTTCTGTCAACAGGTGTGAGTTTTTCTGCAGCTTTAATTCCTACATTGTAGTAAGATCATTTAAGTCATTGATTTTACAATGACTTCCCGGCTCAATCAAAGTGTGTAACTCCTGATAACACTTGTACAAGTAGATTGAATGCTTGGGTACAACATGGTAAAACCATGAGCTGATTGATGGTCCTTTATAAATCCTTGACATTTAACCTAATAGGGTTAAATTATTATATCACATGCTAGTGCAGCATACTGGCAAATCAGCTTTTGTGGGCACTAAGTAGGAATCACTTTAAGACCATCAAAAACTAAACTAATCTCTCTAAAACATGGGATTTATAGTAGAATGACAATCAAATTTCTAATGTTATTGTTAATTAGAAAATGAATTTGGTGGCTGAAGTTGTGATAAATACGTTTTTTCAGGCCAATGTGAAGGCCATAAAGCAGTTATTTAGAATCCATACAATTCCGATCAAAGTCTTCCTAGGCCCTATCACAAATTTATCATGTTACCTAAATAAATAACAGCAGCATCTGACACAACTCATTACTTTACTAGATAACACCAGCCTCTGACATAATTTATTAATTTTACTTAATAACTCCAGCCTCTGACATAATTAATTTTACTAGATAACTCCAGCCTCTGACATAATTAATTTTACTAGATAACTCCAGCCTCTGACATAATTAATTTTACTAGATAACACCAGCCTCTGACATAATTAATTTTACTAGATAACTCCAGCCTCTGACATAATTTATAAATCCACTGGAAAACACCAGCCTTATTATTAATTTACTTTACTATCATAACATATTAAAATTGTGCTTATTAATGAATTGATTTGTAAGGTAAAGTACAAACACATAATTATTGATGATAGGAATTACAATACATAGTTATAACACATGCAACCATCTGTGATTAAACATCTCTTTCATGTCAGTGAGCTTAAGTGAATTCCACTAAGCTGTTACAACATGACAACCTGGATACCTAGATACATGTTCATTAATAGGATAGTACTATTCAGATTGTCATCTATCACAATTTGATATAACCAAGTTTTTTTTTATTTAAGTATAAGGTGTGTTTTGTGTGTAAATGTCTGTTTATTTTAAGTTCACCACTACATATATATAACAGGCCATAGAGGGATCGTATTATCCAACTTTTTTTTGTTTATATGTATGTTTAAATAAGTCAAGATAAATTCTATGATGACACTTTTGAATACATATTGTACCCGATTCCAAGTACCTACTGGCCTTTGAAAATAGGCTGAGGTAATTTATACGAGGAGGATTTGAAAAACCCCACTCAAGGTAACTTCTGTCCTAATATCAGTACTCCAGTCTTCTGGAACTTCAGATTATGAAAGATTTTAACCTGTTTGACCCTTATAACCCAGAAAATGTGTCAAGGTCATTTATAGATGATGGATGAGGAAACATTGTTTACAGTTTAGCACTCAAATATTAGTACTGTGAGTCATCTGGAAATTGAGAAAAACATTGTTAAATGTTATTTTACATATTACATCCCAGTGACCTTGAATATCAGTCAAGGTCATTTATATGAAGTAACTTTGTAGCACTCCATTTCAGGTACCAACTAGCCAAATACCAGTACTCTGAGTTTTCAGGAACTTGAGAAGCCAACTCAGGCATCTTGTGACCAAATATCAGTCTCCATTTGCTTATAAGGACAAAGTTGATGGACAACTGCTCATTTACATACCATAAGCTCAATGGCACTTTATGCTCTGTGAGTTATAAACTCTTTGGTTCATCAAATCTAATGCAGCAATCCAATGACATAGCTCAAGATACTCAGTAACACTAAAGTAAGACAATATATTATCAGAGTTAACAGATATTCAGAGTAATGATGAAAGACAGAACATTCTTTACCACATGTTGTTAACCATGTCTGTGATTGGTCATTATCTGATAGGGAGATATAATAAATACTGAATTCCTAAGGGAAACATTGTATCTCCCACAGTACATGCCTCCATGGTGAGCCTGTGTCCTACATTATTGGAGTTATTGCCCTTTCTGAAACTTACAGTAGACAAACAAACATGGAAATGGTTTACAATGGCAAAGACAGTTTTGCAAAACAAGGATGAACAAAATATGAAGAAAACTGTTTCAGAGAGAATGTCTGACTGAAGGAAAATGTCAACATTTGAATTGTTCTAGGGATATGAAATGTTATTTACATTGTTTACTGAACATCAGATCTGCTCACTCAAACTTTTCAGGGTTTTTTGTTTGCTTAGTTTTGGTTGTTGTGTTAAGCTTGTGTACCCATGTGTTATGATTTGTTTTTACTGAACTTGTTTGAGAAAATGAAGGTCAAGGGTGATAAGTATCAGTGAATTCAATAGAAATCATCTTCATCACTCGTTCATTCAGTTGACAAAAATCCCAGCTTCCAACCACAATTACTGTTCATATTTACAATTAAAGATTATCAATCTTCAGAAAGGTGAAGCTGATTTAAAGTTTTCTTTTTAAGGATACAAGGGAGAATCTGTACAAAGTAGAGTAAAGATGAGTGGAAAATTCCAGCTCCAAACATCCCAGCATAAATTGGGTTAGGCCACCTACAATCACAAATCAGTAAATTTAATTTAATACACAACTGATACACAGCTCGTATCTATTCTGTATATCTTCCACTGAATAGAAGACCCAATATGGTACAGCTTACAGTTTAAATAATAAATGACTCCAATGTTACCATGTAATTAAACACCATGTTATAACTAAATAATTATACACCATGTTATAACTAAATAATTAAACACCATGTTATAACTAAATAATTAAACACCATGTTATAACTAAAACTAATTAAACACCATGTTATAACTAAATAATTAAACACCATGTTATAACTAAATAATTAAACACCATGTTATAACTAAATAATTAAACACCATGTTATAACTAAATGTTATAACTAAATAACTATACACCATGTTATAACTAAATAATTAAACACCATGTTATAACTAAATAATTATACACCATGTTATAACTAAATAATTAAACACCATGTTATAACTAAATAATTAAACACCATGTTATAACTAAATAATTAAACACCATGTTATAAATAATTAAACTATAACTAAATAATTAAACACCATGTTATAATTAATTAAACACCATGTTATAACTAAATAACTAACTCCATGTTATAACTAAATAATTAAACACCATGTTATAACTAAATAATTAAACACCATGTTATAACTAAATAATTAAACACCATGTTATAACTAAATAATTAAACACCATGTTATAACTAAATAATTAAACACCATGTTATAACTAAATAATTAAACACCATGTTATAACTAAATAATTAAACACCATGTTATAACTAAATAATTAAACACCATGTTATAACTAAATAATTAAACACCATGTTATAACTAAATAATTAAACACCATGTTATAACTCATGTTATAACTAAATAACTATACTCCATGTTATAACTAAATAATTAAACACCATGTTATAACTAAATAATTAAACACCATGTTATAACTAAATAATTAAACACCATGTTATAACTAAATAATTAAACATCATGTTATAACTAAATAATTAAACACCATGTTATAACTAAATAATTAAACACCATGTTATAACTAAATAATTAAACACCATGTTATAACTAAATAATTAAACACCATGTTATAACTAAATAATTAAACACCATGTTATAACTAAATAATTAAACACCATGTTATAACTAAATAATTAAACACCATGTTATAACTAAATAACTATACTCCATGTTATAACTAAATAATTAAACACCATGTTATAACTAAATAATTAAACACCATGTTATAACTAAATAATTAAACACCATGTTATAACTAAATAATACATAAATAATAATGTAATAACTTTTGATCAGGAAAATCTCATGATCACTTCATGCACATTAGATATCATTGCCTTTAGTAATGTTTCAGACAGAATCTGGGTGAAATCTACCTAGAAATTACAAAGAAGTTGTGTTTTAAAGCAAAACATTGCCTAAGTTCCCCTTATAGAGCCTTGCTCTAAATCCCTAGGGGTCAAATCCCCCTTATAGAGCCTTGCTCTAAATCCCTAGGGGTCAAATCCCCCTTATAGAGCCTTGCTCTAAATCCCTAGGGGTCAAATCCCCCTTATACAGCCTTGCTCTAAATCCCTAGGGGTCAAATCCCCCTTATAGAGCCTTGCTCTAAATCCCTAGGGGTCAAATCAACTATCTAAACTTAAACATTAATTTTCCAACCCTACTAATTTTTCAGACAAAACTTTTAATTAAATCCATTCAATCATTAAAAAAAATAAGCAGTTTGAAGCAAAATATGGTCTAACATCCACTTTTGGGACCCCTCACCTATTTCCTAAAGGATTGATTAATCAACTTTCTGAATTTAAGAAATGATTCCTTACCCTGAATTATGTTTCAGACCAAATTTTGGTTGTAATCTGCCCACGCATTAAGCAGGAGTAGTGTTTGAAAAAGGAAAGTTTACAGATGGCGCACCATAGCAATAGGTCATCTTGACCCTTAAGGTCTGATGACCTAATAATACATGACTCCAATGTTATAACTATACGTGCATGTAAATCTACACAAAGATTCAGGACAAAGTACTGAGTGTAAGGTAAACAGTCCTGTAATCTGATTCAACAGAGGTTACAATGACAACTGGAAGTTATTATTTGTGTTTTAATTATTGCCTATCAATTTCTGTGGTTTTGCTTTGATCACAAAATTGGCAGAAGTAAATTGCATGCAGAGGAAAGCAATATAAAGTATTCTACCATTTTCTGTTGACAACACTAACTGGCTTACTTTCATTTTCACTCGACTTTCTTCAGGACTTTAGGTCATTACCTGGATATATGTGACATCCTGTGGTAGTTTCCCATGAGGTACCATAAGAACACCAGCATTCCTGCCAAGATGACTAAGCCTTGATACTGATATCCTGACAAATAGACCCCGCCTACCAGGGACCCATAAGTAAGTCCAGGTATTAACAGCTGGGAGTACCACAGACCCAAAGGTCCCTTAGGAACTAGGGAATGGTCCTGCTTGCCATAGTATTCCAATACAGGGATCAGCTCTTTATGGCTACAAATATAAAAACATCATTAGTAAAATATCATAAACACACAACAGCCAAACAAAAAGGTACTGTTTCAACAGGATCTGTGATGTATAAGATTTGTGTATAAGGTGCTTGTAGAGCTTGTATGCCTCAGTTTATTACAGAACTAATAAATCACACAGTATTGATTTTTCCATTAATGGTAAAATAGAAGTAAAGTTATAGCTTTGAACTCTGAACTCCAGCTTAATTCAGCAGGTATGGAATTCTTCAAACACTAGATGTATCAATGTTCCTCTGATTTGTATGGATTGTTACCACACATAAACATTAGGTAACACTTCTCTGATTTGTGTGGATTGTTACCACACATAAACATTAGGTAACACTTCTCTGATTTGTATGGATTGTTACCACACATAAACATTAGGTAACACTGTTCCTCTGATTTGTATGGATTGTTACCACACATAAACATTAGGTAACACTGTTCCTCTGATTTGTATGGATTGTTACCACACATAAACATTAGGTAACACTGTTCCTCTGATTTGTATGGATTGTTACCACACATAAACATTAGGTAACACTGTTCCTCTGATTTGTATGGATTGTTACCACACATAAACATTAGGTAACACTTCTCTCTGATTTGTATGGATTGTTACCACACATAAACATTAGGTAACACTGTTCCTCTGATTTGTATGGATTGTTACCACACATAAACATTAGGTAACACTGTTCCTCTGATTTGTATGGATTGTTACCACACATAAACATTAGGTAACACTGTTCCTCTGATTTGTATGGATTGTTACCACACATAAACATTAGGTAACACTTCTCTGATTTGTATGGATTGTTACCACACATAAACATTAGGTAACACTTCTCTGATTTGTATGGATTGTTACCACACATAAACATTAGGTAACACTTCTCTGATTTGTGTGGATTGTTACCACACATAAACATTAGGTAACACTCCTCTGATTTGTATGGATTGTTACCACACATAAACATTAGGTAACACTTCTCTGATTTGTATGGATTGTTACCACACATAAACATTAGGTAACACTTCCACACTGATTTGTATGGATTGTTACCACACATAAACATTAGGTAACACTTCCTCTGATTTGTATGGATTGTTACCACACATAAACATTAGGTAACACTTCTCTGATTTGTATGGATTGTTACCACACATAAACATTAGGTAACACTGTTCCTCTGATTTGTATGGATTGTTACCACACATAAACATTAGGTAACACTTCTCTGATTTGTATGGATTGTTACCACACATAAACATTAGGTAACACTCCTCTGATTTGTATGGATTGTTACCACACATAAACATTAGGTAACACTGTTCCTCTGATTTGTATGGATTGTTACCACACATAAACATTAGGTAACACTCCTCTGATTTGTATGGATTGTTACCATACATAAACATTAGGTAACACTTCTCTGATTTGTATGGATTGTTACCACACATAAACATTAGGTAACACTGTTCCTCTGATTTGTATGGATTGTTACCACACATAAACATTAGGTAACACTTCTCTGATTTGGGTAACACTTCTCTGATTTGTATGGATTGTTACCACACATAAACATTAGGTAACACTCCTCTGATTTGTATGGATTGTTACCACACATAAACATTAGGTAACACTGCTCGTATGTTTTTTTTGTTTTCCCACACATAAACATTAGCTAACACTGTTCCTCTGATTTGTATGGATTGTTACCACACATAAACATTAGGTAACACTGTTCCTCTGATTTGTATGGATTGTTACCACACATAAACATTAGGTAACACTTCCTCTGATTTGTATGTTGTTACCACACATAAACATTAGGTAACACTTTCCTCTGATTTGTATGGATTGTTACCACACATAAACATAAACATTAGGTAACACATTCTCTCTGATTTGTATGGATTGTTACCATACATAAACATTAGGTAACACTGTTCCTCTGATTTGTATGGATTGTTACCACACATAAACATTAGGTAACACTGTTCCTCTGATTTGTATGGATTGTTACCACACATAAACATTAGGTAACACTTCTCTGATTTGTATGGATTGTTACCACACATAAACATTAGGTAACACTGTTCCTCTGATTTGTATGGATTGTTACCACACATAAACATTAGGTAACACTGTTCCTCTGATTTGTATGGATTGTTACCACACATAAACATTAGGTAACACTGTTCCTCTGATTTGTATGGATTGTTACCACACATAAACATTAGGTAACACTGTTCCTCTGATTTGTATGGATTGTTACCACACATAAACATTAGGTAACACTGTTCCTCTGATTTGTATGGATTGTTACCACACATAAACATTAGGTAACACTGTTCCTCTGATTTGTATGGATTGTTACCACACATAAACATTAGGTAACACTCCTCTGATTTGTATGGATTGTTACCACACATAAACATTAGGTAACACTGTTCCTCTGATTTGTATGGATTGTTACCACACATAAACATTAGGTAACACTGTTCCTCTGATTTGTATGGATTGTTACCACACATAAACATTAGGTAACACTTCTCTGATTTGTATGGATTGTTACCACACATAAACATTAGGTAACACTTCTCTGATTTGTATGGATTGTTACCACACATAAACATTAGGTAACACTGTTCCTCTGATTTGTATGGATTGTTACCACACATAAACATTAGGTAACACTGTTCCTCTGATTTGTATGGATTGTTACCACACATAAACATTAGGTAACACTTCTCTGATTTGTATGGATTGTTACCACACATAAACATTAGGTAACACTGTTCCTCTGATTTGTATGGATTGTTACCACACATAAACATTAGGTAACACTGTTCCTCTGATTTGTATGGATTGTTACCACACATAAACATTAGGTAACACTGTTCCTCTGATTTGTATGGATTGTTACCACACATAAACATTAGGTAACACTGTTTGTATGGATTGTTACCACACATCTGATTTGTATTTGTATGGATTGTTACCACACATAAACATTAGGTAACACTGTTCCTCTGATTTGTATGGATTGTTACCACACATAAACATTAGGTAACACTGTTCCTCTGATTTGTATGGATTGTTACCACACATAAACATTAGGTAACACTGTTCCTCTGATTTGTATGGATTGTTACCACACATAAACATTAGGTAACACTTTTGTATGGATTGTTACCACACATCTGATTTGTATGGATTGTTACCACACATAAACATTAGGTAACACTGTTCCTCTGATTTGTATGGATTGTTACCACACATAAACATTAGGTAACACTCCTCTGATTTGTATGGATTGTTACCACACATAAACATTAGGTAACACTGTTCCTCTGATTTGTATGGATTGTTACCACACATAAACATTAGGTAACACTGTTCCTCTGATTTGTATGGATTGTTACCACACATAAACATTAGGTAACACTGTTCCTCTGATTTGTATGGATTGTTACCACACATAAACATTAGGTAACACTGTTCCTCTGATTTGTATGGATTGTTACCACACATAAACATTAGGTAACACTGTTCATTTGTATGGATTGTTACCACACATAAACATTAGGTAACACTCTCTGATTTGTATGGATTGTTACCACACATAAACATTAGGTAACACTGTTCCTCTGATTTGTATGGATTGTTACCACACATAAACATTAGGTAACACTTCTCTGATTTGTTCCTCTGATTTGTATGGATTGTTACCACACATAAACATTAGGTAACACTGTTCCTCTGATTTGTATGGATTGTTACCACACATAAACATTAGGTAACACTGTTCCTCTGATTTGTATGGATTGTTACCACACATAAACATTAGGTACCACACATAAACATTAGGTAACACTCCTCTGATTTGTATGGATTGTTACCACACATAAACATTAGGTAACACTCCTCTGATTTGTATGGATTGTTACCACACATAAACATTAGGTAACACTTCTCTGATTTGTATGGATTGTTACCACACATAAACATTAGGTAACACTCCACTCCTCTGATTTGTATGGATTGTTACCACACATAAACATTAGGTAACACTGTTCCTCTGATTTGTATGGATTGTTACCACACATAAACATTAGGTAACACTTCTCTGATTTGTATGGATTGTTACCACACATAAACATTAGGTAACACTGTTCCTCTGATTTGTATGGATTGTTACCACACATAAACATTAGGTAACACTGTTCCTCTGATTTGTATGGATTGTTACCACACATAAACATTAGGTAACACTTTTGTATGGATTGTTACCACACATAAACATTAGGTAACACTTCTCTGATTTGTATGGATTGTTACCACACATAAACATTAGGTAACACTTCTCTGATTTGTATGGATTGTTACCACACATAAACATTAGGTAACACTGTTCCTCTGATTTGTATGGATTGTTACCACACATAAACATTAGGTAACACTGTTTGTATCCACACATCTGATTTGTATGGATTGTTACCACACATAAACATTAGGTAACACTTCTCTGATTTGTATGGATTGTTACCACACATAAACATTAGGTAACACTTCTCTGATTTGTATGGATTGTTACCATACATAAACATTAGGTAACACTTCTCTGATTTGTATGGATTGTTACCACACATAAACATTAGGTAACACTTCTCTGATTTGTATGGATTGTTACCACACATAAACATTAGGTAACACTGTTCCTCTGATTTGTATGGATTGTTACCACACATAAACATTACACTGTCCTCTGATTTGTATGGATTGTTACCACACATAAACATTAGGTAACACTTCTCTGATTTGTATGGATTGTTACCACACATAAACATTAGGTAACACTTCTCTGATTTGTATGGATTGTTACCACACATAAACATTAGGTAACACTGTTCCTCTGATTTGTATGGATTGTTACCACACATAAACATTAGGTAACACTGTTCCTCTGATTTGTATGGATTGTTACCACACATAAACATTAGGTAACACTTCTCTGATTTGTATGGATTGTTACCACACATAAACATTAGGTAACACTTCTCTGATTTGTATGGATTGTTACCACACATAAACATTAGGTAACACTAAACATTAGGTAACACTCTGATTTGTATGGATTGTTACCACACATAAACATTAGGTAACACTTCTCTGATTTGTATGGATTGTTACCACACATAAACATTAGGTAACACTGTTCCTCTGATTTGTATTGATTGTTACCACACATAAACATTAGGTAACACTGTTCCTCTGATTTGTATGGATTGTTACCACACATAAACATTAGGTAACACTCCTCTGATTTGTGTGGATTGTTACCACACATAAACATTAGGTAACACTGTTCCTCTGATTTGTATGGATTGTTACCACACATAAACATTAGGTAACACTGTTCCTCTGATTTGTGTGGATTGTTACCACACATAAACATTAGGTAACACTCCTCTGATTTGTGTGGATTGTTACCACACATAAACATTAGGTAACACTGTTCCTCTGATTTGTATGGATTGTTACCACACATAAACATTAGGTAACACTCCTCTGATTTGTGTGGATTGTTACCACACATAAACATTAGGTAACACTCCTCTGATTTGTGTGGATTGTTACCACACATAAACATTAGGTAACACTGTTCCTCTGATTTGTATGGATTGTTACCACACATAAACATTAGGTAACACTGTTCCTCTGATTTGTATGGATTGTTACCACACATAAACATTAGGTAACACTGTTCCTCTGATTTGTATGGATTGTTACCACACATAAACATTAGGTAACACTCCTCTGATTTGTGTGGATTGTTACCACACATAAACATTAGGTAACACTCCTCTGATTTGTATGGATTGTTACCACACATAAACATTAGGTAACACTTCTCTGATTTGTGTGGATTGTTACCACACATAAACATTAGGTAACACTTCTCTGATTTGTGTGGATTGTTACCACACATAAACATTAGGTAACACTTCTCTGATTTGTATGGATTGTTACCACACATAAACATTAGGTAACACTCCTCTGATTTGTATGGATTATTAACATGCATACACTTAAGGTATCACTTGTTCCTGTCTTTTATGGCTAGCCTTACCTGTACCTGTCTTGCTGTTTTGCCAGGTCTTAAGTCTCACTGTTTTGCCAGGTCTAAAGTCTCACTGTTTTGCCAGGTCTAAAGGGATGGACCCAGACTTATCTGTATTTGTCTCGCTGTTTTGCCAGATCTAAAGGGGTGGACCCAGTAGACTTACCCGTATTTGTCTCGCTGTTTTGCCAGATCTAAAGGGGTGGACCCAGACTTACCCGTATTTGTCTCGCTGTTTTGCCAGGTCTAAAGGGGTGAAGCCAGACTTGCCCGTATTTGTCTCGCTGTTTTGCCAGGTCTAAAGGGATGGAGCAAGACTTACCCGTATTTGTCTCGCTGTTTTGCCAGATCTAAAGGGGTGGACCCAGACTTACCCGTATCTGTCTCGCTGTTTTGCCAGATCTAAAGGGATGGACCCAGACTTACCCGTATTTGTCTCGCTGTTTTGCCAGATCTAAAGGGGTGGACCCAGACTTACCCGTATTTGTCTCGCTGTTTTGCCAGATCTAAAGGGGTGAAGCCAGCTTTGTTCCTCTCATGTAGAATGCTACACCTACTCATACTGATAATGAGCCAAGTAAGGTAGCTCTGTCCTTCTCGTGCTGCAATATGCAGTGGTGTATTACCATCAATGTCACGCTGTTCAATACTGCTCCTCTGAAATGATTGCATGTCAGTTATTTTAATGTGAAAAATGTAAAAGGAAAAATACTCTAAGAACTTGGGAAAGAACACTTTTTAAAATTACAGGGCTGATACCGCAAAGTTTTAATTTTTGATTTTGTTTTATTTCATGACAAACCTTCTTAAACACATTTCATTACATCTTAACTATGATACAATTGGAAATATTTACAAATGCCACATGTATTTTTCTAAACAGATTATAGCTTCGCAACAAAGTCACAGTCATCAGTATGCACAATTTGATTACATCACATTAACACTGACATTGAGATTTATGATTAAGAAAATTTATTGAGTATCTTTACCCATGGAATCAAGCAATCACAGAATGGTATTTTTTGTAAAACAGCAAAGATAGGGCCCCACGAAAATATCCAACTTTACTGTACAGACTTAGTACAGAACAGTAATTATACTGGTTTGACCATTCTTGCAAAGACAGAGTGTTTTTCATATGTAGCATTATTGGGAAAGTCACAACCAAAATACATTTGCATTGTATATACAAATGGTTGGCACATTTCATTTTCAATCATAAGTATGATTTATACCTGTTTTTTTATGAGAAATTTGAAGGCATCCACATGTCCATATTGGCAAACAATATGGAGAGGAGACTGCAGATTCCTGTCAAGTTCCTTAAAACTAAATCCTTGAGATTCCAGATACAGCATAACAAAGCTGAAATTACAAAGAATACGTATATCTTTCTTTAGTATGACATGAATACCCTAACTCCTATTAAACGTGTCATTGTTTCTGAATAGAGTATCGAAAGAAAAGGTTCATGAAGACTTTCTCATACTACTTGAAGGTTGTGTTATAGATGGACATGGGTAATGCTACTGACAGGGAAAAAGAGCAGAAAAATCAGTTATCAAATTAAGTAAATTATTAGTGTCAAGTTTTCATCCTTGTTAACAAGAATAAGCAAATTAATTTCAGGAGTCAAGATCAAAATTGGACTCAAATTAGGGGTGAGCTTATTGAAAGACAATGATATAGCAATTGTTAGTTTTTTTCAATGAAGGACATTGGTGTGTTTATTGCCAGGCATGGGCTTATTACATTGTAAAGATGGTAATACCAACTAGTGACTAGATATTGGTCTCTGGCTAACTTTATATTATCCTAATGACTTACACACTACCAGTCTGAGAACAGTGGTGAGTAACACCCAGACCATTCTTGTCAGTCGCCCTCAAGTCCCCATTCCTCTGCACCAAAAGGTGGACATTGGATGCTAATCCTCGTTTACATGCATAAAGGAGGGGTGTTTCATCAAAATCATTGAGAGCATTAGGGTCAGATCCAGCCTCAAGTAGCAGAAAGCAGATGGACCAGTCCCCCATCAGACATGCTTTATGAAGAGCTGTTTGTCCATGCCAACCTGGAGGTAAAATCAGCTTACAAAAGTCTAGTGGAGAGCTTTATGTGACTTGAAATAGTTTTATGTATTGCATATAACATATTCAATAATTCTATGTGACCCAGACTGTTTGTCAACCAATTTCATTAATGTTTGCCAAATGTTAAATCTGAGCAACCATTAGCGTGTTTTTAATACAAAAATGTCTGTAGTATACAAGTTATATTTCTATTTGCATACTGTTGAGTTTCGGTTCAGAGTCAAATGGTATGCCATATTATTGACATATTAAATGTCTGATTACTGTGTTCTTGCAATTGCCTGTGCAGTTGAGCATGTCTATATGATTAATTATCTAATGATTATGGTCCGATTAAACGCAAATACAGGCCACTGTGGCTTCTAACTGGGACCCTAAAACTGTACAGGGACTACTAGTAAACTTGTGCATCCACTGTCTTTCTAGCTTTCGATGCATGTAACATTAAATGTACTGGGGAATCTGTAAGCAAGCGATAAACTTGAACATGTCATCATGTCAATTTGAAACCACACCTTTTTCGTGGACAAGCGATGGGGTTTGTTGGATAAGTTGGTGTACAAGAGGCACGGCACAGTTGCTGATCGCAGTAAGAAGTGACTGAAAGCTGACAGATCCATTATTGACTCCACCTGGCACGCCAGTAGGATATGTCACTTTCGGATGTTCCACTCCAAAGTTTTCTTTGCTTTTAAACGACATGGTTATATAGGACTACATGGATTATCTACTGAATGCAGCCATAACCTACAGGAAAGCCGTATAAGCTTGTAAATATCCGTTGGATTGGTTAATATTTTTCAGAGAACCAATCAAATCGTACGTAACATGTAAGATCTGTATTTATTTACTTCCGGTTCTCTTCGAGGGAAAAACGAAATCGACTTGATACCCTTGTGGTGCTGTAAAGCTTCAGGTAGTTCAGAACCTTAATATGTTCAGTGCCATCTTGTTATCTATCGGTTATTTTCGCTGCTTGTATATAACTTTGACATTGTTTGAATGTTCATTCAAAATAGCATCGCCGTGCTGATTATGCCGAGCTGATTTTAAACCCATCCTCATCAGTCGTTCATCCGAAAATGATATTTGTTATCGCTATTTTTCTTGAGAAGTACAAGATGAATCTGTCTCAAATTTCATATCCATGTTCCTCTTGGTCACTAGTTACTGTAAACGCGGAATGCTTAACCCAATTCTTGGTTTAGGAGAGGGTACTTTACTTGCCCATAACAGTGAAAACGCCTAGACCTATTTTCTGGTAATCGGACTGAAACGATCCAGACAACGATAAATGAACGAATTTGTACTGGTCATTAACCAGTATATGTAAAGATCGATCAGAAAACAGTAACCAACAATCAGATTTAAGGATGTATTATTTTGTGAAGTGAAAAAAAAACAACAGTATTAAACTTTTTTCTGGTGATGATTTTTTGAAAGGTTAACTGATTCTAGAAAGTGGAATAAAAGCAAATAAGCAATATGTTGCTGCACTACTTTTTCCAGTACCGGCATCAGAGTTTAGTATGCCTGACTATTCTCTTATCCTATTGGTCAGTTCGTATATGGAAGAGGTGGGAAAAACCTATCTGAATAAAGCGTTATTTGATGTCCACTCTCTGTCTAAGGTTCCAGATTTCCTCTATCAATTAATTACACTAAATGGACCTTGCATCCACACACTATTGTCCAGCAACCCTCACACAGACATCATCACCCTTTTCACTCTCTTTGAAGTCCAGCCACCTAGTGTGGTCTGGTCATCTATTTGCTTTTTTTGAAAACACCAGAAACTGATGGTATGATGGAAGATATGAAATCTAAACCCTGAAGCAAGTAATTATATTATATGCTGCCACACTAAAACAAAAACACATGGGAATGTAGTTTCCAACTGATATCAGTGGAATTTGTTTCACATTATTTATATCAATGATCTTGTATCCTAATATTACTTTGAAAATCCTTGTTAACAATTTTTATTCAATTGAAAATGCAGGTTTCATGCATTATACATCAATATGTAAATACTTTTCACTTGTTAGATTGCAATAATAATAATTCTATATTTTCAGAGGGTAATATGTTAAGTACAAGTACAGTATACTAATATTCTAAACAACCCTCCCAAATAATTATAAACAAATATACTAACAATTAATCAGGTACTTATATATATATACAATGTTGACAATTTACTGTCTAACATAAGTGCTCTGATGTTAGAGATATAAAAACATAGCAATGCATCTCACTAGAATATCATTAACACATTTACACAATGTCATATATTTACCCATACCACTTCTCTGTCCCAATGTTAGGATTGTACTTCCTACCTCCTATATATAATAAAAAAGTGACCCTTAAATTAAGGAAATCAATGTTGACAACAGTACATATACTTATGAAATAATTAACCTAGAACTTAACTAAGTTGTAACAAATAAGAATACGTAGAATTTAATTCCAAAATTTTGAAAACTAAATAAATGTTATGTATAATTAAGAATACAAAAAATTTAATTACAAACTTTTGAAAACTAAATAAATGTTATGTATAATTAAGAATACAAAAAATTTAATTACAAACTTTTGAAAACTAAATAAATGTTATGTATAATTAAGAATACAAAAAATTTAATTACAAACTTTTGAAAACTAAATAAATGTTATGTATAATTAAGAATACAAAAAATTTAATTACAAACTTTTGAAAACTAAATAAATGTAGAGGTACATGTATTAAGTACAGGTATATGTATTAAGTACAGGTATATGTATTAAGTACAGGTATATGTATTAAGTACAGGTATATGCATAACTGTTTGAAATAATATAACTAATATAACTCTGAATTTGTTTTTGGTTTTAAAGACAGGATGGAAGAAGGATCGGAAGGAACTGGTAAAAAACCAAGAAAGAGAATGAAGTCACTTTACAACAACATACGAGATCAGGTAATAATAATACAGAAGGTCGATAGTGAAGTCAATAATACAGAAGGTTAACATCTAGATCAATAGTGAAGTCAGTAATACAGAAGGTTAACATCTAGATCAATAGTGAAGTCAGTAATACAGAAGGTTAACATCTAGATCAATAGTGAAGTCAGTAATACAGAAGGTTAACATCTAGATCAATAGTGAAGTCAGTAATACAGAAGGTTAACATCTAGATCAATAGTGAAGTCAGTAATACAGAAGGTTAACATCTAGATCAATAGTGAAGTCAGTAATACAGAAGGTTAACATCACATCTAGATCAATAGTGAAGTCAGTAATACAGAAGGTTAACATCTAGATCAATAGTGAAGTCAGTAATACAGAAGGTTAACATCTAGATCAATAGTGAAGTCAGTAATACAGAAGGTTAACATCTAGATCAATAGTGAAGTCAGTAATACAGAAGGTTAACATCTAGATCAATAGTGAAGTCAGTAATACAGAAGGTTAACATCACATCTAGATCAATAGTGAAGTCAGTAATACAGAAGGTTAACATCTAGATCAATAGTGAAGTCAGTAATACAGAAGGTTAACATCTAGATCAATAGTGAAGTCAGTAATACAGAAGGTTAACATCTAGATGAGTAGTGAAGTCAGTAATACAGAAGGTAACATCTAGATCAGTTGTGATTTAATTTTAGAATTTGGATTATTTTTATAGAAGGGGTGTTTAATTCCTATCATGTATGACAAAGAGAGCTTAGTCTATTACAAATCATTGTTACATAACTTTGTATTCCACGTTAAATATAGTGGTCAACATTTTCTGTACAAGTCAATTGTGTTCCCATTTCTATTTAGGGGCCAACATGTACATTCACTGAACAACCTATAATCCCTATTCTATGTCACCTGTATTCCCTATTCTTTGTCAACAGTATTCCCTATTCTATATAGAGACCAACATGTACTGTACATGTAACCTGTATTCCCTATTCTATGTCACCAGTATTCCCTATTCTATCAAGAGACCAATTCCCTATTTTAATTGCTGTTTCATAATTAGTTTTTATTCCTTTGCTTTGTTTTTCAGATTGAATTTTACTTCAGTGACTCTAATTTACATCGTGACAGATTTATGAAGAAAGTCATCACTGGGAATGAAGACGGATGTATGTATATAATTATACGTATTTATAACAGTCTCCTACTCTTCTGTTTATGACATTAATGGTACAGGTGCCCTGTGTTGTTATCAGGTTGTTTGTCCATCCGTCTTTCCACTGTTTTGTTATGGCACCATAATCTCAAGTTTTCAGTAGCAATCTTCACCCAACAAAACGACAATTTCTGTAAAATATTTTCAGTTCTCTAAGAATGAATAAGCTCTTTCATTCTCTGTAATTTGCCAGAAGCTCTCAAATGCTTTTCATGTTCAAAATGTGTCCTATCAGAATGTTACTGGTGAATAATTGACTGAAATCAATAGAGAAGTTACAGGACCACAGGTCGAGATCAAGGTCATCCAGTCAAATGTCATTCTAATTTGAAATATTCCATAGACAAATATTTGGTCAAAGGTCGTCAGATTTGGAATATCTTACTGATAAATATTTTGTTATGACATATGGAATCATAATTAGTTGAAATCAAACGAGAAGTCGCCCAACTACAAGTCAAGTATACCATGTCAAAGACGAAGGTTAAATTTGAAATATTCATTTATATTTTACAGACAAAATAATATGTCTATAAAGCATTAAATAAAAAAATGAATAAGTTTTAATGTAACACTCAGGTCTAGAGGTACAACACTGTGCCTATCCTGACTTGTATCATTCTAGTTTACTCTGTGTTGTCTGGTAAATATATATCACAACCTGTCTATTACTGATAGATGTCAAACTTCCTATGGAAGAAAATTAAGGGATGATGGTGTGATTCATACTGAAATTTGTCCATGTCCCCGAAGGAGCTGTGTTCCATACAGAGTCATAGCTCTGAAGTTAAACTTTGTGTTCTGTTCTTACCTGTGTCCCTGAAATTAAACTGTGTCCCTTACTTAGTTGTGTCCCTGAAATTAAACTGTGTCCCTTACTAAGTTGTGTCCCTCAAATTACACTGTGTCCCATACTTAGTTGTGTCTCTTACAGAATTGAGACCCATTGTTTATTCCAGCGTGAATTGTGACCGACAGAAGAGGGACATTTTGGCAGTACTCTGCATTTAATGTGATATAGGAATAGAATCTGCTACTATTTCCAGCAAAAAATCCAAGTGTGTTGATTAACGATGGTAAACTCTTTATAATTAAAACCTTAACAAATTTTATACTTCTGATTCTAACAACATAACTGTTTATCTTTAAATAATTGTTCTGAGTAAATTACTTAATATTTATTTTCCCTATAACATGTTAATATTTATATTTTTGTGTCTTGAATTCAGATGTCGACATTTCACTTTTCATGAACTTCAACAAGGTGAAAACCTTAACAACTGATATAAGTGCTCTACAGAAGTCATTGAAGTCCTCTAAAAAATTACAGGTATGTATACTTATACAGCTACAGTTATAGTAGATATGTGTAAGTTTCTGTATTTTACTGTACTGGTATTCTCTATTTATCTAGTTTCTGTATTTTACTGTATCTGTTTATCTAGTTTCTGTATTTTACTGTATCTGTATTCTCTATTTATCTAGTCTCTGTATTTTACTGTATCTGTATTCTCTATTTATCTAGTCTCTGTATTTTACTGTAGTCTCTGTATTTTACTGTACCTGTATTCTCTATTTATCTAGTTTCTGTATTTTACTGTACCTGTATTCTCTATTTATCTAGCCTCTGTATTTTACTGTATCTGTATTCTCTATTTATCTAGTTTCTGTATTTTACTGTACCTGTATTCTCTATTTATCTAGTCTCTGTATTTTACTGTATCTGTATTCTCTATTTATGTGTATTTTACTGTAGGATTTTACTGTACCTGTATTCTCTATTTATCTAGTTTCTGTATTTTACTGTACCTGTATTCTCTATTTTACTGTATCTGTATTCTTTCTCTGTATTTTACTGTAGTCTCTGTATTTTACTGTAAAATTTATCAGTTTCTGTATTTTACTGTACCTGTATTGATCTAGTCTCTGTATTTTATGTATTCTGGTATTTTACTGTATCTGTATTCTCTATTTATCTAAAACCTGTATTCTCTATTTATCTAGTTATTACTGTATCTGTATTCTGATTTATTTAGTCTGTATTTTACTGTACCTGTATTCTGTATTTATCTAGTCTCTGTATTTTATGTATCTTTAAATTTTACTGTAGTCTCTGTATTTTACTGTACCTGTATTCTCTATTTATCTAGTCTCTGTATTTTACTATTTATTTTATTCTCTATTTATTTAGTCCTGTATTTTACTGTACCTGTATGTATTTATCTGTCTATTTATGTATTGTGTATTCTCTATTTATCTATCTCTGTATTTTACTGTATTTTACTGTACCTGTATTCTCTATTTATCTAGTTTCTGTATTTTACTGTACCTGTATTCTCTATTTATCTAGCCTCTGTATTTTACTGTATCTGTATTCTGTATTTATCTAGTTTCTGTATTTTACTGTACCTGTATTCTCTATTTATCTAGTCTCTGTATTTTACTGTATCTGTATTCTCTATTTATCTAGTCTCTGTATTTTACTGTAGTCTCTGTATTTTACTGTACCTGTATTCTCTATTTATCTAGTTTCTGTAAACCTGTATTCTCTATTTATCTAGTCTCTGTATTTTACTGTATCTGTATTCTCTATTTATCTAGTCTCTGTATCTAGTCTCTGTATTTTACTGTACCTGTATTCTCTATTTATCTAGTTTCTGTATTTTACTGTAGCTGTATTCTCTATTTATCTAGTCTCTGTATTTTACTGTACCTGTATTCTCTATTTATCTAGTTTCTGTATTTTACTATCTGTATTCTCTATTTATCTAGTCTCTGTATTTTACTGTAGTCTCTGTATTTTACTGTACCTGTATTCTCTATTTATCTAGTTTCTGTATTTTACTGTACCTGTATTCTCTATTTATCTAGTCTGTATTTTACTGTATCTGTATTCTCTATTTATCTAGTTTCTGTATTTTACTGTACCTGTATTCTCTATTTATCTAGTCTCTGTATTTTACTGTATCTGTATTCTCTATTTATCTAGTCTCTGTATTTTACTGTAGTCTCTGTATTTTACTGTACCTGTATTCTGTATTTATCTAGTTTCTGTATTTTACTGTACCTGTATTCTGTATTTATCTAGTCTCTGTATTTTACTGTACCTGTATTCTCTATTTATCTAGTTTCTGTATTTTACTGTACCTGTATTCTCTATTTATCTAGTTTCTGTATTTTCCTGTAGTCTCTGTATTTTACTGTACCTGTATTCTGTATTTATCTAGTCTCTGTATTTTACTGTACCTGTATTCTGTATTTATCTAGTTTCTGTATTTTACTGTACCTGTATTCTCTATTTATCTAGTTTCTGTATTTTCCTGTAGTCTGTATTTTACTGTACCTTATTCTCTATTTATGTAGTCTCTGTATTTTACTGTACCTGTATTCTCTATTTATCTAGTTTCTGTATTTTACTGTATCTGTATTCTCTATTTATCTAGTCTCTGTATTTTACTGTACCTGTATTCTCTATTTATCTAGTCTCTGTATTTTACTGTATCTGTATTCTCTATTTATTTAGTCTATGTATTTTACTGTACCTGTATTCTGTATTTATCTAGTTTCTGTATTTTACTGTACCTGTATTCTCTATTTATCTAGTTTCTGTATTTTACTGTACCTGTATTCTCTATTTATCTAGTTTCTGTATTTTCCTGTAGTCTCTGTATTTTACTGTACCTGTATTCTCTATTTATCTAGTCTCTGTATTTTACTGTACCTGTATTCTCTATTTATCTAGTCTCTGTATTTTACTGTACCTGTATTCTCTATTTATCTAGTCTCTGTATTTTACTGTACCTGCATTCTCTATTTATCTAGTTTCTGTATTTTCCTGTAGTCTCTGTATTTTACTGTACCTGTATTCTCTATTTATCTAGTCTCTGTATTTTACTGTACCTGTATTCTCTATTTATCTAGTCTCTGTATTTTACTGTACTGGTATTCTGTATTTATCTAGTCTCTGTATTTTACTGTATCTGTATTCTGTTTTTATCTCGTCTCTGTATTTTACTGTAGTCTCTGTATTTTACTGTACCTGTATTCTCTACTTATCTTGATATTTTTCTCTGTTCTCAGGTCAGTGATGACGGTCAAAAAGTGAAGAGGATAAGACCATTAGAGGAACCGAAACAAATCGATGAAAGAACTGTCTATGTGGTAAGTTTTGATAGTTTGTAAGTTAGGCGTCAGTGTTGAAATAGATCAATGAAAGAGCCATCTATATGGTCAGCTTTGGTGGTTTTAAATGACCAATCAGTGGTGAAATAGATTGATGAAAGAACTGTTAATGTGGTGAGTTGTGATAACTTTTCTGCTCTGTATTAGTGGCAATTAAAAAAGTATACCTTTTTCCTGTGTGGGATAAAAATTTGACCTGTTTTCTAAGCAAAATAATCTTTTCACTTTGAAGGAATGCCTCCCACACCATGTTGACCACACGTGGGTCAAACGTATTTTCTCTGCCTGTGGTGAGGTGCTCTATGTCAGCATTCCTCGATACAAGACGACAGGAGACTCTAAAGGATTTGCCTTCGTGGAATTTGACACTGTGGAGGCTGCTAAAAAGGCTTGTGAGGTATAACTTTTGCACTTTTGGTTTATTTCATTGTTAAAAATATTTTTTTATTTACCTTGGTGATAAATACACAAAACATTGTCCTCAGTGTGAATGCAAAGTAACAGCCTTACATATTGTTTTTAACTCATTTTTTATAGTATACATTCACGAGAAAATAAAACTTGTTGCTATTTCTCGGAAATAATTTGTCATTAAGATTTACAAATATTTTCAAAAGAACACTTCATCTTCTGGAAGCAACAGTGAGGGTCAAATTTTCCCAAATGATGAAAGATACAAAATACATAAACAAAAAAAAAGATAACTTGGTATGAATTTACATTGAAAATAAGAAGCCCTTCAGAAATCATTTTCTTCAGTGAGAAATTGATCTAAAATGATGAAAAATGTTGTTTATTGAGGGTAGGGAACAGTGATAATATCAAACCCTACCTGCAAAATTTAACACTTACATACAAAGAGAAGTTGAGGTCTTTGTGTTGAAAATATGAAGAACACACAAACAAACTGGCTATGTGTAGGTCTTTGTATTGTAATGATGTAAAATAAACACACAAACAAACCAGGTATTTATTGGTAGGTATTTGTGTTGTACTGATGTAGAAAAAGCACACAAGCAAAATAAAATGGCACATATGTTCATATGTTTAACAACAGTCCATAAAGATGTTTTCGAAAAGAAGTTTTAGGCCGTTCCTGAAAACAAATTCTGTGAAGTGAGGATCCTGCTGTTGTTTGCACTAATAAGTTAGGTTTAGTTGAAGAAGTTAGTCAATTTCCTTGCTCTCATTTAGAGAATTAAAGTCTGACATTGATACATTTTGATCATCCCCAGGAACTCAACAACCCTCCAGTTGAAGCTGATGGCCAACCAGGAAAGTTTCCAAAGACAAGAAAACAATTACTACAGCTCCAGCGTAAATTAGGAACCAGAGATCCAACACACCGTCAAGGTAACTACAAGCATATTCACTATATACTACTACTACCATCTGTTTACATAGAAGTTTTCTCATTACTTCTCTATCCTTAAAATCTGGGTGTTTTGTTCAAATAATTTTTGGTGTTTTAAAAATAACGTCTTTACCGTATTTGGTTTGCTGTGCATATTACTTCGGGAGTTAACCAAGACCAGCACATTGTGTGATAAGGCATGATCAATTCTGCTCTAGCAATTGATAGGATTTTGATACTCCAGCCTCTCCAAAGTTGGGAGTGAGACAGTGTTTTCATAATCACCCCCCCCCTTCACCACCAAAAGTTGGGAGGGGACAGTATTTTTATACCTCAACCTCTTCAAAGTTGGGGAGTGGGACAGTATTTTTATATCCCATCCTCCCAAAGTTGGGAGGGGGCACGATTTTCATACCCCCAACCTCTCCAAAGTTGGAAGGGGACAGTATTTTTATACCTCAACCTCTCCAAAGTTAGGATGGGACAGGATTTTCATAACTCCCTTCTTCCCTAAAGTTGGGAGTAGGACAGTTTTTTTAAACCCCATCCTTCATAAAGATGGGAAGGGGACAGGATTTTCATACCTCCCTCTTCCCCAAAGTTGGAAGGGGGATGGCATTTTCATACCCCATCCTCCCGAAAGTTGGAGGAAGACAGTATTTTTTTACCACCCTTCTCCCTAAAGTTGAGAGAGGGATAGTGTATTATTTTCCTCTATACCAAAGATTGGAAGGGAACAGTATATTATTTTCATATTGTCTCCTCCCTTAAGTTTTCAGGAGGAAGTGGATTTCAACATTGACTCTCTTATCCTAGAAGTAGTCTAGATATCTGATTATTTTCTAAGAATTCAGATAAGTTAATGTGAATATTCAGATAAACTATGCTGATATTGTTTTTTGTAAGAACATTGTAAAACATGTATTGAGTAGTTCATTGAATTACTGTATTTATGAATTATGTTTGTAACAGTAGAGGATTCTGAAGGATTAGAGACAGGATTACTACCTTGTGAAAGTAAGGATTCCAAAGAGAACAGCAAGCCAGGGGAGTCGCCGACCAAGCTGTCAAAACGACACAAAAGAAGGCGGAGACAAACTAGTGAAAGTAGTGTGGATGGTGCAGAGTTATCCCCCATGAAACGCCGAAAAACAGTCAGTATAGAAAGTGACAGCAAAAGTAAAATCGAAACAAACACTGATGTTATGGGAGATAAAAATGGTGACACATCAAACAAAGCAAAATTGATTGAGGAAACAAAATTACCTGATAGTGTAGAAAACAGAAGTTCAAAATCCAAGGAAAAAGATACACAGTCAGAGGAGGAAGAAAATGAAAAACCCAAAAAGGCTAAGAAAAGAAAAAGTAAAACTCTTTCTGATGTTTCAATAACTGAAGTAGACACATGTGTTGGTGTGGATGAAAGTGAGGCTAAGAAACCTAAGTTGAGTGAAGGTCAGGGGTCAGATGTATCATCAAGTGAGGTGAAGAAAGAAGAGGACTTGTCATCAAATGAAACAAAAAAGAGGAAAGCAGAAGAAACATCAGGAGGTGATGAGAAACCAAGTGCCAAGAAAGCAAAATTGACTCCATTAAAAAAAAGGAAAAGGAAGAAAAAGAAACAGAAGGGAAAAGATGTACCAGAACTGAGAGTGATATCCAAGTAAGTTCTATAAACTATAGCCTTGGAAGGATTGTTCTTAATGTAGGTCTAACTTATTATTGGTTCAATAGAAATGATTACATAACTTTACATATCAGTGTTTTTATATTATCATGAATGAAAACTTCCATATCATGCCTTCCCATTGATGTTGTCAAGGGTATATAGGGATCCATCTGCAGCCATTTGCAATTAAAAACTAGGTCACTGTTGCTATAAATAGAAAAAGAATGTCATTGATCTATAGGCTGCATTTCTTCTCGGATTTTCTCAATACTTCACACACGTGTTCACAAATATTGACTCTTGTGCATGTTTGCATTTCAACCTTCTGCAGTAAAAAACCAGGTAATTGTTATAAAGGCTGCCTTTCTTTATTGTCACAATACTTTACGTATGTGTACTAACATCACCTCTTGTACGATATAAGGAAATAAGTTAGACATTTAACATCAATATGTTTTGGAAGGACCAGCCATGAATCAAATCAAATTTTTCTACCCATTACACTTGTATTTTGTACAAATTGTAGAGCAGGAAGGTATTTGTATCACCTGCAATGTTTTATATATTTCCTCATTATTATATTCACATGATTTGCATATACAATTGATAACAATTGATGAGATAGAATAATTGTCTGAGACTGTAAGCATTGATCAGACTAGATAATGTCCCGTGTTCTCTGTCTGCCAGAAAGGAGTGGCTAGACCTACGCAGTGAGTACCTGTCCTTACAGAAGAAGAGTATGACCGACCTCAAAATGACCTTGTCTAAAATCAGGAAAGATGGTGATGAGTCCAATAAAGCACAGATGGACCACAAAGGTACCATTACAGGTATAATGTACAGCTCATCCCTCCCAGATCATACAGGTAACCTATCAGGTTATGATAGATCACACAGATCATACAGGTAACCAATCAGGTTATGATAGATCACACAGATCATACAGGTAACCAACCAGGTTATGATAGATCACACAGATCATACAGATAACAGTCAGGTTATGATAGATCACACAGATCATACAGGTAACCAATCAGGTTATGATAGATCACACAGATCATACAGATAACCTATCAGGTTATGATAGATCACACAGATCATACAGGTAACCAATCAGGTTATGATAGATCACACAGATCATACAGGTAACAGTCAGGTTATGATAGATCACACAGATCATACAGGTAACCAATCAGGTTATGATAGATCACACAGATCATACAGGTAACCAATCAGGTTATGATAGATCACACAGATCATACAGGTAACAGTCAGGTTATGATAGATCACACAGATCATACAGGTAACCAATCAGGTTATGATAGATCACACAGATCATACAGGTAACAGTCAGGTTATGATAGATCACACAGATCATACAGGTAACAGTCAGGTTATGATAGATCACACAGATCATACAGGTAACAGTCAGGTTATGATAGATCACACAGATCATACAGGTAACCAATCAGGTTATGATAGATCACACAGATCATACAGGTAACCAATCAGGTTATGATAGATCACACCAATCATACAGGTAACCAATCAGGTTATGATAGATCACACAGATCATACAGGTAACCAATCAGGTTATGATAGATCACACAGATCATACAGGTAACCAATCAGGTTATGATAGATCACACAGATCATACAGATAACCTATCAGGTTATGATAGATCACACAGATCATACAGGTAACCAATCAGGTTATGATAGATCACACAGATCATACAGGTAACCAATCAGGTTATGATAGATCACACAGATCATACAGGTAACAGTCAGGTTATGATAGATCACACAGATCATACAGGTAACCAATCAGGTTATGATAGATCACACAGATCATACAGGTAACCAATCAGGTTATGATAGATTACACAGATCATACAGGTAACCAATCAGGTTATGATAGATCACACAGATCATACAGGTAACACACAGATCATACAGGTAACAGTCAGGTTATGATAGATCACACAGATCATACAGGTAACCAATCAGGTTATGATAGATCACACAGATCATACAGGTAACAGTCAGGTTATGATAGATCACACAGATCATACAGGTAACCAATCAGGTTATGATAGATCACACAGATCATACAGGTAACCAATCAGGTTATGATAGATCACACAGATCATACAGGTTACCAATCAGGTTATGATAGATCACACAGATCATACAAGTAACCAATCAGGTTATGATAGATCACACCAATCATACAGGTAACCAATCAGGTTATGATAGATCACACAGATCATACAGGTAACCAATCAGGTTATGATAGATCACACAGATCATACAGGTAACAGTCAGGTTATGATAGATCACACAGATCATACAGGTAACCAATCAGGTTATGATAGATCACACAGATCATACAGGTAACCAATCAGGTTATGATAGATCACACCAATCATACAGGTAACCAATCAGGTTATGATAGATCACACAGATCATACAGGTAACAGTCAGGTTATGATAGATCACACAGATCATACAGGTAACCAATCAGGTTATGATAGATCACACAGATCATACAGGTAACCAATCAGGTTATGATAGATCACACAGATCATACAGGTAACCAATCAGGTTATGATAGATCACACAGATCATACAGGTAACCAATCAGGTTATGATTGGTCACAAACTTATGACAGGTATAATGTACAGCACATCCCTACCACAGAACTCGGACGATAACACCATATCATGTCCTGTGACTAACTGTTGGATGATACCTATATACTTTGTGTTGTAGAGAACTCGGACACTAATACCCTACCTGTTCCACAGACAAGACCTAAAGTGGAGTTTATTCCAGGTGTGATTGTGAAGGTCAACTCATCTCACCCATTTACACGCAAACAGATCAAGGTAGGATACACAATGTGGTTGCTAATAGCCTCAGGGGTGGCGCTAATGTTGAGATCGTAGACAATGAAAATACACCAGTCCCTAGTTTTCAAAGACAAAACCTAAATATATGTGTAAAATGCTGCTGAAAGTCTATCAATATACTTACATCATCATTAGAAAGTATTCTAACAAACATAGTGGACAATTTGATCACTGGCAGTAATGAAGTAATCACATTTGTTGGCCAAGATAGGGTATACATTAGGGCCTGATGTACAGGGATCCTACATACACCATGGAAATCCTTGTGATTGGGTAGGTATACATTAGGGCCTGATGTACAGGGATCCCACATACACCATGGAAATCCTTGTGATTGGGTAGGTATACATTAGGGCCTGATGTACAGGGATCCCACATACACCATGGAAATCCTTGTGATTGAGTAGGTATACATAAGGGCCTGATGTACAGGGATCCTACATACACCATGGAAATCCTTGTGATTGAGTAGGTATACATTAGGGCCTGATGTACAGGGATCCTACATACACCATGGAAATCCTTGTGATTGAGTAGGTATACATTAGGGCCTGATGTACAGGGATCCTACATACACCATGGAAATCCTTGTGATTGGGTAGGTATACATTAGGGCCTGATGTACAGGGATCCCACATACACCATGGAAATCCTTGTGATTGAGCAGGTGATTTGTACCTTTTCACTTCCAACAACAAGAGAATTGAACTCTGGCCATGATGGTGGAAAATGAATGCATTGTCCACAGTGGCTCATGTCTTTCTCCTCTAAGATGTTGTAGGTGTGACCAATTCTAGGGGTGTGGCTCAATTTAATGCTAATACTATGATTTATGGTTTGTGTTTTGATGGTGTTTTGTAGGAGTTCTTTGGAGAAGAAGGGGGCGTGGCTTATGTAGATCTAATTGATGGTGACTCTAGTGGTTATATCAGATTTAAGGATGAAGAGAGTGCCAAAAAAGCTACTAACGCACGCCCAGAGGTCTACACATTCTCTCAGATACAAGGTAAAGTAACACTGTAATTAACCCAAGGCCTGGTGACACTTTAATACCGCTGAGGCTGAGTGACACTGTAATGTACCCGAGGCCTAATGACACCAGGCTTGGTGACATTGTGACATACCCGAGGCCTGTTGACACAGTAATGTACCTGAGAATTGGTGACATATTAATGTATTTTAAGACTAGTAAAACAATAATGTGTTTGAGATCTAGTAACGCAATAATGTGTCTGAGGTCTAGTGACACAGTAATGTGTTTGAGGTCTAGTGACACAGTAATGTGTCTGAGGTCTAGTGACACAGTAATGTGTCTGAGGTCTAGTGACACAGTAATGTGTCTGAGATCTAGTAACACAATAATGTGTCTGAGGTCTAGTGACACAGTAATGTGTCTGAGGTCTAGTGACACAGTAATGTGGCTGAGGTCTAGTGACATAGTAATGTGTCTGAGGTCTAGTGACACTGTATTGTGTCTGAGGTCTAATGACACAATAATGTGTCTGAGGTCTAGTGACACAGTAATGTGTCTGAGGTCTAGTGACACAGTAATGTGGCTGAGGTCTAGTGACACAGTAATGTGGCTGATGTCTAGTGACACAGTAATGTGTCTTGAGGTCTAGTGACACAGTAATGTGTCTGAGGTCTAGTGACACAGTAATGTAGCTGAGGTCTAGTGACACTGTAATGTGTCTGAGGTCTAGTGACACAGTCTGAAGTCTAGTGACACAGTAATGTGTTGATGTTGTTGATGTATGACAACTGAAATAAAAAGTTTATATTTTCTATTTTTAGGAGAAGATGAGAGTATGTACTGGAGTAAGTTACAGTCTGACCGAGAGGCTAAACTAAACAACAAAAACAAGTCTAAAAAGCGAGGAACTCAGAGGGTACGTACAGACTGTCTGTCCAGTGATTCATATACTCTACATAAATACGGAAAGCATGTGTAGTGGAAAGGAATGTGGAAGTTATTAGACCATATATATTTTTCCCACCTTTATGACAATTATACACTTAAAGGCTTGTGACATATCAAATCATGAATTAATAAGTTCCATATTACACTAGCATTAATATTATCAATATTTCTGAAAAGTAAGGAAAGTTCGACTTATTTGGAATTGGACAGTATGTTTTGCACTACCAAGACACTTGTGTGACCTGACTACCCCAAAAAAGTGTTTTCGTACATGTGTCTTACGATAGGTATGACGTCGTTTTGTGATATGGCATAAAAAAGCCCAGTCATGTGGTAAAGAATGTTTTAAAATATCGAAAGTTAAAGACGTGCAAGTCTGGGCTTGGCTTTATAGGCTGTTTGTTACATGCCTGATATGTACATAGGCTGTTTGTTACATGCCTGATATGTACATAGGCTGTTTGTTACACGCCTGATATGTGTATAGGCTGTTTGTTACATGCCTGATATGTGTATAGGCTGTTTGTTACATGCCTGATATGTGTATAGGCTGTTTGTTACACGCCTGATATGTGTATAGGCTGTTTGTTACATGCCTGATATGTGTATAGGCTGTTTGTTACATGCCTGATATGTATGTACATAGGCTGTTTGTTACATGCCTGATATGTGTATAGGCTGTTTGTTACATGCCTGATATGTGTATAGGCTGTTTGTTACATGCCTGATATGTACATAGACTGTTTGTTACATGCCTGATATGTGTATAGGCTGTTTGTTACATGCCTGATATGTGTATAGGCTGTTTGTTACATGCCTGATATGTACGTAGACTGTTTGTTACATGCCTGATATGTACATAGGCTGTTTGTTACATGCCTGATATGTATGTACATAGGCTGTTTGTTACATGCCTGATATGTATGTACATAGGCTGTTTGTTACATGCCTGATATGTACATAGACTGTTTGTTACATGCCTGATATGTATGTACATAGGCTGTTTGTTACATGCCTGATATGTACATAGGCTGTTTGTTACATGCCTGATATGTATGTACATAGGCTGTTTGTTACATGCCTGATATGTAAATAGGCTGTTTGTTACATGCCTGATATGTACATAGACTGTTTGTTACATGCCTGATATGTATGTACATAGGCTGTTTGTTACATGCCTGATATGTACATAGGCTGTTTGTTACATGCCTGATATGTACATAGGCTGTTTGTTACATGCCTGATATGTACATAGGCTGTTTGTTACATGCCTGATATGTATGTACATAGGCTGTTTGTTACATGCCTGATATGTACATAGGCTGTTTGTTACATGCCTGATATGTACATAGACTGTTTGTTACATGCCTGATATGTACATAGGCTGTTTGTTACATGCCTGATATGTACATAGGCTGTTTGTTACATGCCTGATATGTACATAGGCTGTTTGTTACATGCCTGATATGTACATAGACTGTTTGTTACATGCCTGATATGTACATAGGCTGTTTGTTACATGCCTGATATGTATGTACATAGGCTGTTTGTTACATGCCTGATATGTACATAGACTGTTTGTTACATGTCTGATTTGTACATAGGTTGTTTGTTACATGCCTGATATGTACATAGGTTGTTTGTTACATGCCTGATATGTACATAGGCTGTTTGTTACATGCCTGATATGTACATAGGCTGTTTGTTACATGCCTGATATGTACATAGGCTGTTTGTTACATGCCTGATATGTACATAGACTGTTTGTTACATGTCTGATTTGTACATAGGTTGTTTGTTACATGCCTGATATGTACATGCCTGATATGTACATAGACTGTTTGTTACATGTCTGATTTGTACATAGGTTGTTTGTTACATGCCTGATATGTACATAGGTTGTTTGTTACATGCCTGTTTGCTAAATGCCTGAACATAAACTATCTGTTTGTTTCATTTACAGTTGGTGGACAAAGCACAGAAAATCAACAAAGAAAATGTCCAAAGGAAACATATAGTGTTTGATGATTAAATGGGACAGTCCTTTGACTTGTTTGAGACATTGTAAAGTCACTGTCTGATGGTGCTTCTGTTTGCCTTAGAAATGAAGGATTATCATCACCAGATCTACCACAATTTAGTGCTACACTTCAAATCAACCATTTTTCTGTATAAAAGGACCTGATGTTACAGCAGCCTCCTTTCTAGAATTACAGGATAGATCACCAAGGTTACATATCCATGTGTAATATAGGACTGTTCAGGTCATCAAGGTTACATACAGATGTGTAATATAGGACTGTTCAGCTCATCAAGGTTACATACAGATGTGTAATATAGGACTGTTCAGGTCATCAAGGTTACATACAGATGTGTATATAGGACTGCTCAGCTCATCAAGGTTACATACAGATGTGTAATATAGGACTGTTCAGGTCATCAAGGTTACATACAGATGTGTAATATAGGACTGTTCAGGTCATCAAGGTTACATACAGATGTGTAATATAGGACTGTTCAGCTCATCAAGGTTACATACAGATGTGTAATATAGGACTGTTCAGCTCATCAAGGTTACATACAGATGTGTAATATAGGACTGTTCAGCTCATCAAGGTTACATACAGATGTGTAATATAGGACTGTTCAGCTCATCAAAGGTTACATACAGATGTGTATATAGGACTGTTCAGCTCATCAAGGTTACATACAGATGTGTAATATAGGACTGTGTTCACGTTGTTTTCAATGACATTATTTGGTTTAATGATAAATAAAATTTCTGATGAAATTCTACTTGTGTAATACTGGTCTGTCCAGGGCAATACACACAAGTTCACTGTTCATGGTATGTAATAGAGATGTGATGATTCCATTCCCAACTAACCTCATTGCCCGATACAATGCCAATTCCAGCCAGGAGAACTCCTTTTCTACATCAATTCTTTGATAATTGCTAAATAAAAAAAAAATGTAATATGACATCCTTGTTAGTACATTATTAGCATCTGAAGCTGATGTTTTTTCAGCATTTTAGAATTAGAAATGAGAGAAAAAATACACTTTCATATGTTGGGGTGAAGGGGGTGATATTTCATCCTTGAGGTCACAAAATGTGATAAAGATCCTCAGCAAAGCCTCAAGTTTTACAAATTTTTGTGACCTCTCAGGTGGAATATCCCTATCCTACACCCTGACATATGAAAGAATCCTATGAGCTCACTTGGTCCAAATGACTGGTGAGCTTATGCCTTTGGCATGGCGTCTGTCTGTCGTCCATCAACTTTGTAATAAAAAATGCTATTAGTCAGGAGCTACTGAACAGATTTGGACCAAATTTAGTCAGAAGCATCCTTGGGGGAAGGGAAATCAACATTGTAAAAATATAGGTTCTTGTCTTCAAGCAGCCTGAGGGTAGGAACCCAAACTGGGAAATTTTGCACATTTATAAAATTCCGACTCCTCCTGTAGGAATGAATGTATATTGCCCAAAAGTCTGAAGCACTGAAGCATTCTTGGATGGAGGGAATCAATTTTATATAAACCGTGAGTTTCAGCCCCATGGGGCAGGTGGTATGGGGCCAAGTTTTTTAAATAAAGCAAACTATTTTTAACAAATTCTCACTCTTCCTGTATTGATTGGATTTTGCCTAAATTTGGTTTAAAGTATTCTTGGGTGAAAGGGAATCAATTTTATATAATTAGTTGGTCCCCCCACTCTGGGGTAGGGTCCTTTTGGTAAAATATAGCAGTTTCTTTTTTCCCTCAAATCTGACTTCTCCTGTAGGAATGATTTGATGTCCCATTCTAAAACACAGTTTGGTAAAGTGGAATCAATTAAATAAAAAGGGTGGGTCTTGGCCCCTTGGGAGGGTTGGAACATGAGAAGGCACATTAGGGGAAATAGAGCAAAATCCCACATCTTCTGTAAGAATGATTGGAAAATAGAGCAATTTTGTCAAATCCGATTTCTGGAATCAATTTAGTGTAAAGGATGGGTTGTGACCCAAAGGGGCGAGAGGGGCAGTGCTTTTGAGGAGAAAAAGAACAAATTCTTTAAAATTCTTCTTCAGTCAGAATGCCTTAATTTGTTCCAATTTGGTCTGAAGCATCCTTTGGTGATAGGTATTTGTATAATAGATGGGTCTTGGGGCCCCCTGGGATGGAAGCGGCAGGACTCATTAGGGGAAATGGGGCAAATTCTTTTAAATCTTTTTATTTCTGTAGAAATTCTCTCCTAATTTGGTCTGAAGCATACTTGGGTAAAGGGGAATCAGTTTTGTATCAATGGTGGGCCTTGGCCCTCAAGGGCAGGACTGAATAGTGGGAACAGAGGGATTTCTCTGAAATCTTTCTTCTATGGCAATGCCTTGATTCTGCCCCGATTTGGTCTGAAGAATACCTATTTCATTCAAACTTGTCACTATACTGACAGAGTAAATAAAGTAGAGTAACTCTGGGAGATAAGAATGACCTAGCTGAAAGGAATCTAATATTATGTATCAACAAGGAGTCTGGCATCAGAGGTGTGGGGCCCAATAGGGGTAATAGAAGTTCTTAAAAATCCTTCTTTGTACAAGATTATTGTCCAGGTTACATCTGGAGCAATTTTTATGAATAGTAAATCTGGCTCCTGTTTGAACACAAAGCTGAGACCCAATAGGGAAATGATTTCATTTGTCATATTGAAATTCTCTGTTATATTACTATGTAGCTGAATCAGTCAGGTGAGTGTTGCTGGTCCCTTGGGCCTTGTTTCCAGACATCTACCAATATATATCATTCTCATTGCTCCTCCGGAGTGGATACAGAGACAGGACCTCAACAAATGAGTATAGCATACTCATTCAGTAATCCTAAATAAGATACAAATTGATGTATTGTAAAATTCACACCCTTAGATTTTAAAGCAAATGAGCTCAAAAGGAAATGTATGGACTTGAAAACTGTTACAAATAAAATACAAAAACTTTGTAAGGTTTGATATTTAAGAATTTTATTGTTGTTGACCAGCAAATAAATTGTGTGGCCACATTGTACACAACAGAAAGGCACTATGGACCACTTCTTTGGTATATTTAACCACTCCCCGTTTCTTGTTTTCTCATTTTGAAATTTTGTAAATACACTAGAGTGATTTGAACACCAAAATAACTAATAATTTTGATCATCAAATTCTGTTGCCCATTCTAATGAGTAAGAGGAGGTATAAATAATTCTCTATTCTTTACAACAGTGTGATCATATGGCTTAACTTACAAAATAATTCCAACATAAGTGTATATAACTATCTGTTCCTGGTAAACTGACAGCTGATCACAGTTCATATACACAATTATTGCAACATATATAGTATAACTATGATTTAAACATTACATATGTTTATTTAAAGACTACAACCAAGATAAATCTGAAAAATCAACTTACAGTTCCTGTAAATATATAATCACAATGAGTGTTTATTAATCAGGTAAGCAGTACCCACTACATCTATTATAAACTTTCGCATGTGTTGTATCAGAGTAATCTCCCTTACATTGAAAATCTAGCAAGAATCTATTTAATCAATTATTTTAATAAAGTAGGGTATTTCTGTAAGGCTAGTAAGGCAGAGGTCTCGGGTTTGAATCCTAACAGAGGCATTGACATAAATAATGAACTGTTACATTTCCTTGCCAAAGTTTCTTGTATCTGTTCTCAAATAATGTACACATTTTATAATCTGTAGACCTTCAATAAACTGGCTGAATGTTGAATATTATTAATTATTTACCTGTTTTTGGGTGAACAAGAGGATTTTTAAACCCAAGGTCATATTTCCCTGTGGCCAGAAACTGTAGCTAAGGTTACTGGATTACGAAATTAACCTTTGAGATGCCCCACAGGAGTTTGGACTGTTATGTTCACCTTGCATGAGTGAATTCTGCCTGTTTCAGTGTAACTCACTGGATGTGTAGAACTATGAGAGGTGTTATCAGCATGTAGAAAATTTATATGAACTATTCTCAGTACTAAACAGGTAACAAAGGAATACAAACAATAATCACTAGAAATTTGTTTTGGGGAAAAAAAGGTTGTGACACCTTCAGGAAAATGAAATAAATACACGTACAGTACTACAAAAATGGGAGGCTAATGAACCCTCAAAACGATTGGTATGTCTGGAATGTTATATATACATGTAAATCGTTTGTCCCAGATGTAGTACAACAGAAATCATACTCCATTATCTACGGATTTCATTAAAAGAATACTCAAACGGCAAACATGTCAACAGTATTTCAAAGATAGATTTCAAAATAGAAGTTCTACAGCAGACTTAGTCCAAAAAGTCATAGACATCAGTATGCCAGTCCAGAACCCAGGAAATATCATCCCCACAAGTCATTGATGTCAGTATACCAGTCCAGAACCCAGAAAAATCAATATTATCCCCACAAGTCATAGATGTCAGTATGCCAGTCAAGACCCAGAAAAATCAATATCATCCCCACAAGTCATAGACGTCAGTATACCAGTCCAGAACCCAGAAAAATCAATATTATCCCCACAAGTCATAGATGTCAGTATGCCAGTCCAGAACCCAGAAAAATCAATATTATCCCCACAAGTCATAGACGTCAGTATGCCAGTCCAGAACCCAGGAAATATCATCCCCACAAGTCATAGACGTCAGTATACCAGTCCAGAACACAGAAAAATCAATATTATCCCCACAAGTCACAGACGTCAGTATGCCAGTCCAGAACCCAGGAAAATCAATATTATCCCCACAAGTCATAGACATCAGTATACCATTCCAGAACCCAGAAAAATCAATATTATCCCCACAAGTCATAGACATCAGTATACCATTCCAGAACCCAGAAAAATCAATATTATCCCCACAAGTCATAGATGTCAGTATGCCAGTCCAGAACCCAGAAAAATCAATATTATCCCCACAAGTCATAGATGTCAGTATGCCAGTCCAGAACCCAGAAAAATCAATATTATCCCCACAAGTCATAGACGTCAGTATGCCAGTCAAGACCCAGAAAATATCCCAACAAGTCATAGACGTCAGTATACCAGTCCAGAACCCAGGAAAATCAATATTATCCCCACAAGTCATAGACGTCAGTATGCCAGTCCAGAACCCAGGAAAATCAATATTATCCCCACAAGTCATAGACGTCAGTATGCCAGTCCAGAACCCAGAAAAATCAATATTATCCCCACAAGTCATAGACGTCAGTATGCCAGTCCAGAACCCAGAAAAATCAATATTATCCCCACAAGTCATAGACGTCAGTATGCCAGTCCAGAACCCAGAAAAATCAATATTATCCCCACAAGTCATAGACGTCAGTATGCCAGTCCAGAACCCAGGAAAATCAATATTATCCCCACAAGTCATAGACGTCAGTATGCCAGTCCAGAACCCAGGAAAATCAATATTATCCCCACAAGTTATCCCCACAAGTCATAGACGTCAGTATGCCAGTCCAGAACCCAGAAAAATCAATATTATCCCCACAAGTCATTGATGTCAGTATGCCAGTCCAGAACCTAGAAAAATCAATATTATCCCCACAAGTCATAGACGTCAGTATGCCAGTCCAGAACCCAGGAAAATCAATATTATCCCCACAAGTCATAGACGTCAGTATGCCAGTCCAGAACTCAGGAAAATCAATATTATCCCCACAAGTCATAGACGTCAGTATGCCAGTCCAGAACTCAGGAAAATCAATATTATCCCCACAAGTCATAGACGTCAGTATGCCAGTCCAGAACTCAGGAAAATCAATATTATCCCCACAAGTCATAGACGTCAGTATGCCAGTCCAGAACCCAGGAAAATCAATATTATCCCCACAAGTCATAGACGTCAGTATGCCAGTCCAGAACCCAGGAAAATCAATATTATCCCCACAAGTCATAGACGTCAGTATGCCAGTCCAGAACTCAGGAAAATCAATATTATCCCCACAAGTCATAGACGTCAGTATGCCAGTCCAGAACCCCACAAGTCATAGACCAGGAAAATCAATATTATCCCCACAAGTCATAGACGTCAGTATGCCAGTCCAGAACTCAGGAAAATCAATATTATCCCCACAAGTCATAGACGTCAGTATGCCAGTCCAGAACCCAGGAAAATCAATATTATCCCCACAAGTCATAGACGTCAGACGTCAGTATACCAGTCCAGAACTCAGGAAAATCAATATTATCCCCACAAGTCATAGACGTCAGTATGCCAGTCCAGAACCCAGGAAATATTATCCCCACAAGTCATAGACGTCAGTATGCCAGTCCAGAACCCAGGAAATATTATCCCCACAAGTCATAGACGTCAGTATGCCAGTCCAGAACCCAGGAAAATCAATATTATCCCCACAAGTCATAGACGTCAGTATGCCAGTCCAGAACTCAGGAAAATCAATATTATCCCCACAAGTCATAGACGTCAGTATGCCAGTCCAGAACCCAGGAAAATCAATATTATCCCCACAAGTCATAGACGTCAGTATGCCAGTCCAGAACCCAGGAAAATCAATATTATCCCCACAAGTCATAGACGTCAGTATGCCAGTCCAGAACTCAGGAAAATCAATATTATCCCCACAAGTCATAGACGTCAGTATGCCAGTCCAGAACCCAGGAAAATCAATATTATCCCCACAAGTCATAGATGTCAGTATGCCAGTCCAGAACCCAGAAAAATCAATATTATCCCCACAAGTCATAGACGTCAGTATGCCAGTCCAGAACCCAGAAAAATCAATATTATCCCCACAAGTCATAGACGTCAGTATGCCAGTCCAGAACCCAGAAAAATCAATATTATCCCCACAAGTCATAGACGTCAGTATGCCAGTCCAGAACCCATTACTGGCAAGACCATAAGTACACTCTGCCACAAAAGTTAAGAAATACAAACAAATACATTCAACAATCTGGTTTTTCTTTAAAATCTAACAGTGACCTTGACCTCACAACTAAGGATATAAAAACAATATCCCCAAAATAAAGCAATTCAAAGCAAGTCAGTTTTGTAGAGAAGCATTGTATGAGGTTTGAGTTTAATTGGTCAAAGCAAACCTGAGTTATCATAGGGAAGAAGATTGTTTAATTTATAGTAACAATGACCTTGACTTTTGACAATGGAAAGCAATCCCATGCAAGCACTTTTAGTAAGGAAGCACTGTATGAAGTTGTAGCTTTATCAGCCCAAGGACACTCAAGTTATAGCACGGAAATAAAAGTATTGACAGACATACAGACAGAAAGACAGACCCGCCCAAGGAAACTCAAGTTATCGCACGGAAACAAAAGTATTGACAGACATACAGACAGAAAGACAGACCCACCCCAGGACACTCAAGTTATAGCACAGAAACAAAAGTGTTGACGGACATACAGACAGAAACACAGACCCGCCCAAGGACACTCAAGTTATAGCACAGAAACAAAAGTGTTGACGGACATACAGACAGAAACACAGACCCGCCCAAGGACACTCAAGTTATAGCTCAGAAACAAAAGTGTTGACAGACATACAGACAGAAAGACAGACACCGTGATTACTATACAAGACATTGAGTTCCTTGACAACATCTGGTTTAAGCATACCAGTCCAAAACCCGGAAAAACTTATCCACACTAGTCATTGACATCTAGTTCCATAAGAATTACACCAGTCCAGAACCCCCCAAAAAGATAATTCCTACACGTCATTGTCTTCAGCTTTAAGTATATCAAAGGTACATTAACATCAAATCACTTTCATACTTGTACAAAAGATCTGTGTGAACAATTAACAACCACATGCTGCTGTCTTTATAACTAAAAGTACTGACACATCATATTGTACATCTGTAGTCAGAGGACACACAAGTAGTGGAGATTTTCAAAATAATGTACACATAGAATTAGAAATATCTGAAAAACTGAAGTTAATATATTAAAGAATAAAATAGGAAAACCTTGAAAGTAGTAATTTTTTGTGGCAGTAAAATGTATCTATAAAACAATGTTAGTTATCTGTACAGGTGAGTATTGGGTAACCTGTTACTGTACTGTATATCTGTACAGGTGAGTATTGGGTAACCTGTTACTGTCCTGTATATCTGTACAGGTGAGTATTGGGAAACCTGTTACTGTACTGTGTGTCTGTACAGGTGAGTATTGGGTAATCTGTTACTGTACTGTATATCTGTACAGGTGAGTATTGGGAAACCTGTTACTGTCCTGTATGTCTGTACAGGTGAGTATTGGGTAACCTGTTACTGTACTGTATATCTGTACAGGTGGGTATTGGGGAACCTGTTACTGTCCTGAATATCTGTACAGGTGATTATGGAGTAACCAGTTCCCATACCTGATATCTGTAGAGTTTCTTGTTTTTAGGTTTGGTATGTTTTGTTTGGTATATAATTGGTCCCATTTGTTTGTGTGATGTGACCTGCCCAGGCCTTTGGCAACAGCCTTGAGGTTAGAACACAAATATTACATCAACTGTTTTGTTTTCTGGACAAAGATATATATATATATATATATATGTAAATAATATATAAATGATAAGCCAACACTGATTTCTTTCACAATGCAGTATACAATTTGATAAATATGATTTTATTAAAACCATCAGTTTCATTCATAAATAAATTTGGTTTTTACGAGTTCACCTGACTTCTAAATTTATGATGAGTATTTTTGTATCAAAGTTTGGTTTTGTTAGAGGAGAATTTCTGTGAATTACATTGTACTTAATATCATGCTGTTTATTGTCACGTTTACACTGTGGTATATAGACAGAAGGGATGGAGAATTGTGTTGACAAATTTTAGCCTGACTAACCAAGTAAACCTTCATACACATTTTCAAAACAGAATTTTAAAAGTAGAACTTTTTGATTCTTATTATCAGGATTATAAGGTTTTTTGTAATTGTTGTTTTTTATTTTTTTTTTAATGAAGATTTAGCAGTTTTCTCATGATTAAATTATAGGGAAAATATAATTCAGTTGTGGACAAAAAGACATTTGAGTGTTTCAAATAAGTTTTTTGAGGAAGTTTAACAATAAAAATGAGAGATTGTGCAGATTCTGGAATTGTATTTCTAAATTTGATTTCTGCTTATAGTGTTAGAGACACATAAAACCTATCACAAGAAGCCCTATAATTCCCTGTGTATACAGACTATTTTTATACATCACAAGTCCCTGTGTATATCAGACACTGTAATGTCCGTATCACAAGCCCCTGTGTATATCAGACACTGTAATGTCCATATCACAAGCCCCTGTGTATATCAGACACTGTAATGTCCATATCACAAGTACATGTGTATATCAGACACTGTGATAACTGTATCACAAGCCCCTGTGTTTATGGACATCACTGTCCATATCACAAGTACATGTGTATATCAGACACTGTGATAACTGTATCACAAGCCCCTGTGTTTATGGACATCACTGTCCATATCACAAGTCCCTGTGTGTATCAGACACTGTGCTAACTGTATCACAACCCCCTGTGTTAATGGACATCACTGTCCATATCACAAGTCCCTGTGTATATACAGACACTGTGCTAACTGTATCACAAGCCCCTGTGTTTAAGGACATCACTGTCCATATCACAAGTCCCTATGTATATACAGACACTGTGCTAACTGTATCACAAGTCACTGTGTTTATGGACATCACTGTCCATATCACAAGTCCCTGTGTATATACAGACACTTTGTTAACTGTATCACAAGTCCCTGTGTTTATGGACATCACTGTCCATATCACAAGCCCCTGTGTTTATGGACATCATTGTCCATATCACAAGTCCCTATGTATATACAGACACTGTGCTAACTGTATCACAAGTCACTGTGTTTATGGACATCACTGTCCATATCACAAGTCCCTGTGTATATACAGACACTTTGTTAACTGTATCACAAGTCCCTGTGTTTATGGACATCACTGTCCATATCACAAGCCCCTGTGTTTATGGACATCATTGTCCATATCACAAGTCCCTGTGTATATACACAGACACTGTGCTAACTGTATCACAAGCCCCTGTGTTTATGGACATCACTGTCCATATCACAAGTCCCTGTGTGTATCAGGCACTGTGCTAACTGTATCATATCACAGGCCCCTGTGTTTATGGACATCACTGTCCATATCACAAGTCCCTGTGTGTATATACAGACACTGTGCTAACTGTATCACAAGCCCCTGTGTTTATGGACATCATTGTCCATATCACAAGCCCCTGTGTTTATGGACATCACTGTCCATATCACAAGTCCCTGTGTATATCAGACACTGTGATAACTGTATCACAAGCCCCTGTGTTTATGGACATCACTGTCCATATCACAAGTCCCTGTGTGTATCAGGCACTATATTAACATATATTGCACCTACATTAAATAATACCCCTGAGATTACAAATTTATAAAACTTGAGTCAATAGAAAAGTGAGTTAATTTACAATTTCATATGTACAGATATAAGATCAAAGTTTAGCCTACAGCTGTAAACTGACCCTATATACACAAAATAATGTATTTACTGACTGTGAGGTATTCCATGGTATCCTTATACACCATTCACTAATACATCTCTGTTACAGACAGACACACATGTATGGCACATATCAATCATCAAAGAATTGCACTTCACCCTTGGCTGTACAATACTGTTTGTGAAAACATTTTAACAGGGTTGGCTTTTACATTAGTTTAGGACAAGCAATCAATTTTGGTAAAAAATATATTGGAAATATTCAATTATTGAATAAGATTATGATAATGGAAAACTTCAGAACTCTTGTCTGTTAAATATTTGACATATCAGGTAAATATTAACTGATATTGACCAATCAAATGTGATGTTACAAATTGACATTGATTTTTTTATGTTATGAAGGGATAATAGAAAGAAAATGGCTTATGAAAATACTTGTTTCAAAAAGAATTACATTATTTATAAATAACATTGTAGAAGGAAATATGAATTTATCGTCAAACAGCGAGCAACCTTACAGCCATTTCTCTTCAGGTTTGGTATATAGTCACACCATGATTTGGTGGAGTTTCATTAATCGTCCCTTACCATTAAATATGTATCTGGTAGATATAGATAATGGCGATTATTACAGTTTATCGCGATGACAGTTCTGAAGATCATTTTAATTCCTGAATAGAGAGATGTTTTTATACTGAATGTTAAATTGATAAATACATATCCATATATCCCTAATAGAGATTGATATACTAGTCACCCAACACCCCCATGTATCACAATAGACTGACATACAGTAATGGAGAGAAGACGTCAAACTTCTGTCCCTGATAAGCTGTGAGTATTTTTTCCCTGAGATTTTATATTTGTGTCTTTAATTTTCACATTGAAAGTCCTATCTTTTTCTGCCTGATGAACAGAAGTGTTTTTAATCTCCATCACATTCACATTGATTTTGGACTGTGACAGTCTGTTCTGTCGATTTTGATGTGAAGATCGTAGCGAATTCTGTTGTGCGATTTCTATATTACTCCTCCTTCTAACTGCTGAACTCTCTTCTTTGTTTTTCCTGCGACGTTTACGTAGAAAACACAGGCAGCATACCACTACCACTGTTATGACTAGAACTACCACTACCACTGGTAATATCCATGGTAAATCTGTCGGGGAATCCCTCTCGGACTGAGAGCTGTCCACTTTTAACTTTATTGGTATTATATTTGTTCCATTACGAGGTTTATCTGGAGGCTCCTCTATCTCTGGTGACGTGTCCCGTTTGTAACGGTATGATCGCTTATTTCTGTATTCTGGTATAGAACTGTCGTCCCTAGTGATGATGTAGACCACTTGTAAATACCACTGGTTGCCAGCAGTTACCTGTAAAATTTGAATGTGACAACATTCAGTTACATGTATGTTAGCCATATTGCCTTAAAAATGACAGGGAATATTAACAATAACATGATTGTGATGTCATAAACACCCAGAGAAAATTTCTGATAAATTACTGGTAACAAAAATTTGAAAAAATAAAGGGCATTAACTCTTCAAAATTTTGAATTAAATTTCCTCTCGGGAAAATACACATGCATATCATCATAAAGTCTACCACATTTTTTTATTTTATGATATCATCTACAGTGACACTACCATAGTGACCTACTTTATAGAGGGGGTCTGTACTCATGCTGAAGCCGTCTATTCCAGGGAAGTCCTCCAAACAAGTAAGGTCTGGTGTATCTCCACAGAAATGAGCATTAAAAGGTACATTGTGAAAGTGTCGCTGTATAACATCAGGGTTGCCTCGATCAAGTATTAAGAATCTATGGCGTAAGTTTTTACTTGGCTGTATACATCCAAACTGTGGTCCATCACCATAGATATCACCTTTCGGGTCGTAGGTCGGCACGAAACCATTACTTCCTGTGTTTAAAAGAATAGAGAGATTCTGTCTTTGTAATATGTCTTTCTTAGAGTTGGCAGTAAAACAAACCCACAGAATAACATATGAATTAGGTCATAGGATATTGTGTTTTTAATTTCTTCACTAAATAACCTGTGTTAATATTATCTAACTTCTTCCCATAGCAAAATCAATTCTCAGGTCCATGTTGTTTTTTGATGAAATTCATAAAATAATTACAGGGAAGACATGTATGAAAAAGTCAAGTAATTGTTAGGCAGGACTTACCAGTACAAAGGTAAACCTTCTGTACAGAGAGTCGGTAGGCACCTCGCAGATCCTGGTCCGGGTCCCACATGACACGTCCGAACAGCTCATCACCTAAGTTGTGTACAATGTCTTGTATAGTGGGACTGATTGTATACAAATTCAAACTACATCAAACTAGCATACAGTACCATGTCTGTTAATGGGAGTACTAGGTACTAGGTTAGTGGGAGGTACATTATAACACCAGCCTACAGTATCCTGTCTGTAACACCTGATGATAGGGTACTAGGTTAGTGGGAGGTACATTATAACACCAGTCTACAGTACCACGTCTGTAACACCTGATGATAGGGTACTAGGTTAGTGGGAGGTACATTATAACACCAGCCTACAGTACCACATCTGTAACACCTGATGATAGGGTACTAGGTTAGTGGGAGGTACATTATAACACCAGCCTACAGTACCGTCTGTAACACCTGATGATAGGGTACTAGGTTAGTGGGAGGTACATTATAACACGAGCCTACAGTATCCTGTCTGTAACACCTGATGATAGGGTACTAGGTTAGTGGGAGGTACATTATAACACGAGCCTACAGTACCACGTCTGTAACACCTGATGATAGGGTACTAGGTTAGTGGGAGGTACATTATAACACCAGCCTACAGTACCACATCTGTAACACCTGATGATAGGGTACTAGGTTAGTGGGAGGTACATTATAACACCAGCCTACAGTACCGTCTGTAACACCTGATGATAGGGTACTAGGTTAGTGGGAGGTACATTATAACACGAGCCTACAGTATCCTGTCTGTAACACCTGATGATAGGGTACTAGGTTAGTGGGAGGTACATTATAACACGAGCCTACAGTACCACGTCTTAACACCTGATGATAGGGTACTAGGTTAGTGGGAGGTACATTATAACACCAGTCTACAGTACCACGTCTGTAACACCTGATGATAGGGTACTAGGTTAGTGGGAGGTACATTATAACACGAGCCTACAGTACCACGTCTGTAACACCTGATGATAGGGTACTAGGTTAGTGGGAGGTACATTATAACACCAGCCTACAGTACCACGTCTGTAACACCTGATGATAGGGTACTAGGTTAGTGGGAGGTACATTATAACACCAGTCTACAGTACCACGTCTGTAACACCTGATGATAGGGTACTAGGTTAGTGGGAGGTACATTATAACACCAGCCTACAGTACCACATCTGTAACACCTGATGATAGGGTACTAGGTTAGTGGGAGGTACATTATAAAACCAGCCTACAGTACCTCATATTTTATGTTTAAGGAAAGCAATCAGATTTACCTATCGTGAATGTTGTATCATCAAAGTCCATCTCGTCTTGAGTCTGGTCTGGATTTAGTAGGAAGGTTTGCCTGTTACTGGTGAGTTGGAACCTTGTGTTGAGGGTATACACTAGAGGCACTGGCCTGTTAGACTGCTGGAAAGCTATTGGTACTTCAAACCTGTATACAAAACAGACACAAGGCTTATTTTCCTATTCTAGCTTAGATCTTTTCTTTACAGAAAATATGAGCACATCTAATACAAAATACAGTTGTACATGAAAATTGGGTAAAATACAAAGAAATAAAGATTCTGCATGTATCTATCAATTAATTCTGTTCAGTCTATGATGCTGGCTGATGACCAGTACATGGTAAAGGTTCCTGGCCTCCAGTAAACACCTAGATGTGGTGGTGAGGGTGAGGACTTACCTCTGTGGCTGATGACCAGTACATGGTAAAGGTTCCTGGCCTCCAGTAAACACCTAGACGTGGTGGTGAGGGTGAGGACTTACCTCTGTGGCTGATGACCAGTATATGGTAAAGGTTCCTGCCCCCCAGTAAACACCTAGATGTGGTGGTGAGGACTTACCTCTGTGGCTGATGACCAGTACATGGTAAAGGTTCCTGGCCTCCAGTAAACACCTGGGTAGATGACACTGTACATGGAATCAGTTCAATGATGTACTGCCCTGTATAGTCCTGTTAACAAACAGATTTTCTACATGGTTAACACTGGGAAAACATGAATCTAGCAGTAACAAGTAATACTGAAAGATGATCCTCTACATAACAATACAAAACAATGGTTTTACACGGTTCAGATAACAATACCAAATGGTTTCACACGGTTCAGGTAACAATACCAAATGGTTTTACACGGTTCAGGTAACAATACCAAATGGTTTTACACGGTTCAGGTAACAATACCAAATGGTTTTACACGGTTCAGGTAACAATACCAAATGGTTTTACACGGTTCAGGTAACAATACCAAATGATTTTACACGGTTCAGGTAACAATACCAAATGATTTTACATGGTTCAGATAACAATTTCATCAACATCTCTTACTTACCTTCAGATTGAATTGACTTGTAGCCCGCCACAGTTGATGAGGACTGTCGAAGGTCTGCTGACCCCACATCAATGTCAGGTCAAAGGTTATATCCATACCCTCCGGTGGAAGTATTCGACTCTCTATACCAGGCAGGGTGTGATGTTTAAGTACATACATCCCTGTAAGGAAATTTAAGTGTGTTACATTAAAACCCAGCAAATTGATGTAAAAGCAATCTGCTGACAAGAGTATCAGTGAAACTGATGAAAGGTCCCTGAAAACAACTGAAAATAAAAAATCATCAAAGGGAACCACAAGGTTGGCTCTGCCTTTTATTAAAACAAAATAAGAGGCAAACTTGGCCTGTATCTCTCACTTGGTATTTATACATATGTCGTTGACATTCAAAGTGGATCTATATCAAATCTACTCAAACAAACATCAAAATTATCCTGCAAGGTGAACAATCATTAATAAGGTGAATGTAAGGTAGATTCTGTTGTAAAAAATTTATGAGCAGGTAAAATCATTTCAGTGTTTGACTACTGTGATCTTTGATTATGGGTCAAGTTCATTACCTTTGAGTAATATTTGTCAGGTTTATCTAGGGAACTTGCCTGCCAAACATCATGATTCTGGGTCTTTCAGTTAAGCAGCGGAAGTCATATCAGAATTTTAACAAACCTAACCACTGTGACCTTGAATATTGGTCAAAGTGATTTCTTTTCACAAACGTACTTGGGTTTCAACCTGGGAACCTACCAGCCAAGTATCATGGCTCTTATTCTTTTAATGATTGAGAAGAAGCTGTTTAAAGGAAGAAGTTGACATCTATGGGATCATGATGATGGACCTGTCACCATGATACAAGTACATGTGGCCCTTTAGGCCAGGTGAGCTAAAAACATGTTAGAGGTAACAAACCTACAGGGAGACAACATGAACAATTCATAATATGAACAAAAGTAACCTTTTAATTAATAATTCTTGAAACACCTTGTTTTCTTTCCTAAAATAATCACCTCAAATTAATTTGCCAGCAGCAGAATATAATACAAAGTAACTGTATTGTAATAAAAAAAAACAGATTTGTAAATCATTTTCATTGCTTCAAAGTTTCGAAATTTGCCGTAGGTAGGTATGTATGTTTCAAATGCCATTACACATCATTCAACTAATAGTCTGGTTCCTTTAGAAAGTAGCGTTTTATTTTACATCTATTTCTAAAATTATTAGATTACTTTATAGGATGTGAAATTGATTTTTAGACATGTTCCAATTGTTGCCACAGTATTAATGAAAATGGAACAATGTGAGGTTAAACCATGATCAAACAATGTTCTATGTAATGATGTAAGAGAATGTATCGCCTTTGATAGCAAACACATTAGTGTCAATAGATTATATACTGATACACGTCCAAAAAACATATTCACAATACCTTATATAGCAAAATAATATCACTAGATTATGTTGAAACACTACTTAATCCATAATTATATCAGAGTGGTATCTATAACCCTATATCATGACAAAACATCCTTGCCATGACCTTCAGTATTGTCACCAATCCCTACCTCTGAACTTGGCATGTGTCTTGAGATCAATAACAAGTTTGCCATCGCGTCCAACTAGGACCTTGAGAACTTGTAGGTCCCCGCCTGTGGTTCCCTCTCCTTCCATTCCTGCCTGCCACAGGATGTTGTCATAGTAGAATGAGAAGGACATGTCTGTATGGTGCTGAAGTGAGCCCCATCCCACAGGTGCAGTGGCATAAACATAGTACACATACAGGGGTACTGATACTGTCAGGTACGTCTGGCCTACTCCCTTTACCTGAGAAGTAGAAATACAAGTTATCAAAGACTGGTCCACTGCCTTCATCTGGGGAGTAGACACATAAGTTATCAAAAATATATAATCAAAAGTTTATGCCTAGTTACAATGTTATAGCAGAGTAACATGAAATTACAATTTTCATTTTTGACTTACCTGGAAGTCAGAGACGACTTTACCACCACAAATATCCACGAGATCAGTCATATGATACCAGGCACTGAACGACCATACACAGGACTTTAGGTTTAGGTGTTTATACAGACTAATGGTGCGGTTTTCTCTCAGCTGGGGGTCAAACTGGTATGGAAAATTATATACTGGTGGAAAAGCCTGCGGATTGTCAAGGAATGCCGAGTCTATGATGCCTTGTCGTTCTTCTGGTGTGATGAGGTTTGAACACAGGTGTTGCTGTCTGTAGACTGGCTCGGCCAGCAGGTAACGTAGGTTGTGGAGCGGAAAGGTGGAGATGAGAGGGAGGTGACCATCCTGATGTGGAATTTGGATGGAGATGTGGATAGTGTTGGGATGGTTGGGATCATCAGGACCAACATAGTCAAGATTGGCCAAGAAAGACTGTGCACCATAACTGCTGTGAGGGGTACCATGAAACACCGGAGCCTTACATATGCCTTCCTCATGACTGATAGTTACCTCTTCACTCTTAGACGATATTCCTGGATTTCCGTTGGCATGTCGTGGCTGTGCAATACACCGCACTCTGAACATGGGTCGGAAGTAAATACTGTCTAGTACAATCTTATTTACACTAGTAAAGAGTGTGGCATCGGTTACCCTGACAAATGGCGGTTTGGATCCAACCTGGTCATTAGCGGGCATAGCCACCTCCCAAGTATACACAATGGCTGACTGATTAATGTTGGATTCCTCACACAGTGTGTGTGTGATAGTGTATGTGGGATAGTGGACATCACAAGCCTGTAACATAGACAGTAACCAATAGACACACAGGGTAACAAATCTCAATTACAAAAGATAGACACAGGGTAACAAATCTCAGTTACAAAAGATAGACACAGGGTAACAAATCTCAATTACAAAAGATAGACACAGGGTAACAAATCTCAATTACAAAAGATAGACACAGGGTAACAAATCTCAATTACAAAAGATAGACACAGGGTAACAAATCTCAGTTACAAAAGATAGACACAGGGTAACAAATCTCAATTACAAAAGATAGACACAGGGTAACAAATCTCAATTACAAAAGATAGACACAGGGTAACAAATCTCAGTTACAAAAGATAGACACAGGGTAACAAATCTCAGTTACAAAAGATAGACACAGGGTAACAAATCTCAATTACAAAAGATAGACACAGGGTAACAAATCTCAATTACAAAAGATAGACACAGGGTAACAAATCTCAATTACAAAAGATAGACACAGGGTAACAAATCTCAATTACAAAAGATAGACACAGGGTAACAAATCTCAATTACAAAAGATAGACACAGGGTAACAAATCTCAATTACAAAAGATAGACACACAGGGTAACAAATCTCAGTTACAAAAGATAGACACAGGGTAACAAATCTCAATTACAAAAGATAGACACAGGGTAACAAATCTCAGTTACAAAAGATAGACACACAGGGTAACAAATCTCAATTACAAAAGATAGACACAGGGTAACAAATCTCAATTACAAAAGATAGACACAGGGTAACAAATCTCAATTACAAAAGATAGACACAGGGTAACAAATCTCAGTTACAAAAGATAGATACAGGGTAACAAATCTCAATTACAAAAGATAGACACAGGGTAACAAATCTCAGTTACAAAAGATAGATACAGGGTAACAAATCTCAATTACAAAAGATAGACACAGGGTAACAAATCTCAATTACAAAAGATAGACAAGGGTAACAAATCTCATACAAAAGATAGACAGGGTAACAAATCTCAATTACAAAAGATAGACACAGTAACAAATCTCAATTACAAAAGATAGACACAGGGTAACAAATCTCAATTACAAAAGATAGACACAGGGTAACAAATCTCAATTACAAAAGATAGACACAGGGTAACAAATCTCAATTACAAAAGATAGATACAGGGTAACAAATCTCAATTACAAAAGATAGACACAGGGTAACAAATCAATTACAAAAGATAGACACAGGGTAACATCTCAGTTACAAAAGATAGACACAGGGTAACAAATCTCAATTACAAAAGATAGACACAGGGTAACAAATCTCAATTACAAAAGATAGACACAGGGTAACAAATCTCAATTACAAAAGATAGACACAGGGTAACAAATCTCAATTACAAAAGATAGACACAGGGTAACACATCACAGTACCCAAAAACAGACAAAAGGTAATACATCGTAGTTACCAAAAATACACACATGGTAACACTTGTCAGTTACCAAATATAGTCATAGGGTAACACATCATTGTGATTACATTTGCAAGTTACTTACTGATACACATATGAGTGGGTATCCAGGTGACGGATTCTTCTTACTTCCTGTCTCTACATCATCATAATGTAACAGAGACACCACCTGTGTATATAAAAGAGAAGGTGTGAGTAGGGACACTTATTGTACGGATAAAGATTGTGTGATAAGAATCATCATTTGTACAGATAAAGATTGTGTGATACAGGACACTGACTGTATAGATTTAAGTGTGTGATAAATCAAGTATGGTAAAGGACATCACGTGTATAGATAAATCAAGTGTGATACAGGACACTACCTGTACAGATTTAGGTGTGTGATAAATCAAGTGTAATACAGGACATTACCTATACAGAAAAATATGATAAGGGACTCTACCTTTACTGATTAATATGATAAGGGACCTGTATGAATAAAGGAAAAGATATGATAAGGGACTCTACCTTCACTGATTAATATGATAAGGGACCTGTATGAATAAAGGAAAAGATATGATAAGGGACTCTAGAATTCCTTACCACATTTTATTGTGGGCCTATTACAGGGTAATTATAGTAAATTCCATGTCTATGACAAAGAACATTTGTGAAGATATATATTCATGTGTTCCTGTGCTTACCACTGGAGGAGCAGGAAGGACCAGACTTCCAGACACCTCATCGTCTAGAATGGTTATCGTGGTGATGGATACCAACCCCAGCTCAGCTCCTGTTGGATTCTCTGGCCCCAGGACCACTGTAAAGGATTCGTGCCACTCAATAGCACTGTTGTACAGGACATCCACTGGGAAGTCTACAGCTGCCATGTCTGTAGTGATAACAACGATAGTAAACTTACAGGTGTGTAGTGATAACAAGTGTTAGTAAGCTTACAGGTGTGTAGTGATAACAAGGGTTAGTAAACTTACAGGTGTGTAGTGATTACAAGGGTTAGTAAACTTACAGGTGTGTAGTGATAACAAGGGTTAGTAAACTTACAGGTGTGTAGTGATAACAAGGGTTAGTAAACTTACAGGTGTGTAGTGATAACAAGGGTTAGTAAACTTACAGGTGTGTAGTGATAACAAGGGTTAGTAAACTTACAGGTCTGTAGTGATAACAAGGGTTAGTAAACTTACAGCTCTGTAGTGATAACAAGGGTTAGTAAACTTACAGGTCTGTAGTGATAACAACTATAGTAAACATACAGGTGTGTAGTGATAACAAGGGTTAGTAAACTTACAGGTCTGAAGTGATAACAACGATAGTAAACTTACAGGTCTGTAGTGATAACAACGGTTAGTAAACTTACAGGTGTGTAGTGATAACAAGGGTTAGTAAACTTACAGGTCTGTAGTGATAACAAGGGTTAGTTAACATACAGGTCTGTAGTGATAACAACGATAGTAAACTTACAGGTGTGTAGTGATAACAAGGGTTAGTAAACATACAGGTGTGTAGTGATAACAAGGGTTAGTAAACTTACAGGTGTGTAGTGATAACAAGGGTTAGTAAACTTACAGGTGTGTAGTGATAACAAGGGTTAGTAAACTTACAGGTGTGTAGTGATAACAAGGGTTAGTAAACTTTCAGGTGTGTAGTGATAACAAGGGTTAGTAAACTTACAGGTCTTTAGTGATAACAATAACTTTTTAGTATCTTTCGACATGCAACAAATTAATATTCCTTAACACATATTCTAAATGTTGAATATTACAAACTGTACTCACTTGGTTCGAATGTGACAATCTGACTTCTTGGACTATAATCAACACCAGACAGTGCTGACCCATCTCTAGTACTACAGCGTACACTGGACACACGTGACAGATCACCAGTCCGGGAGATTCTGATGACCACTGTTGATGTTTTCTCCTGGGCACCAGGCTCATGCACACTATAGGCAGGCTGTTCAAATCCCAGGGTAGGTACTGTAAAAAGAACAGGTAGTCCTATGAACCTATTGATCGAGTTAAGTAGATATTATTGAAATAGGAGAAGATAGAAATACCACTTGTTGGTGGTGGTGATTGAAAGATCTCTGTGAGATTAGTTTCTGTATCATTAAGAATTTTTTCTTTCTAATATTCTAGTTTATGTAAATGTTTTACTAGTAGATGTTGAGATATCCATGTTTTATAAGTATATGTTGAGATATCCATGTTTTATAAGTATATGTTGAGATATCCATGTTTTACTAGTAGATGTTGAGATATCCATGTTTTATAAGTATATGTTGAGATATCCATGTTTTATAAGTATATGTTGAGATATCCATGTTTTATAAGTATATGTTGAGATATCCATGTTTTATAAGTATATGTTGAGATATCCATGTTTTATAAGTATATGTTGAGATATCCATGTTACATAAGTATATGTTGAGATATCCATGTTTTATAAGTATATGTTGAGATATCCATGTTATATAAGTATATGTTGAGATATCCATGTTTTATAAGTATATGTTGAGATATCCATGTTTTATAAGTATATGTTGAGATATCCATGTTTTATAAGTATATGTTGAGATATCCATGTTTTATAAGTATATGTTGAGATATCCATGTTTTATAAGTATAAGTTGAGATATCCATGTTTTATAAGTATATGTTGAGATATCCATGTTTTATAAGTATATGTTGAGATATCCATGTTTTATAAGTATATGTTGAGATATCCATGTTTTACTAGTAGATGTTGAGATATCCATGTTTTACTAGTAGATGTTGAGATATCCATGTTTTACTAGTAGATGTTGAGATATCCATGTTTTACTAGTAGATGTTGAGATATCCATGTTTTACTAGTAGATGTTGAGATATCTATATTATTTGAATAGATGTTCAGATATTAGTGTTATTTCAACAGACTTTGGACCTTTTTGTAGACCTACCATCTTCCTGATTTGTGAGAGTGATCACTGTCCTGTCTAAGTCTCCTACACGAGCCTCACACATCTCTGTACCTTCTGGCTCTCCCAGGTGTAGACGAAAGTTTTCTGTGGGCTCATAGCTAGCGTCATCAACAATAACAACAACACAGCTCTGCATCTGTAACGGCAATATAGGTAAACCATTATAGTTATACATGTACCTACATGAATGTATGGTAATATATAGTTATACCAATATGGCTATATATGGTAATATATAATTATAACTATAGGTAAACCATTATAGTTATACATGTACCTACATGAATGTATGGTAATATATAGTTATACCAATATGGCTATATATGGTAATATATAATTATAACGACATGGACATATATGGTAATATATAGTTATAACAACATGGACATATATGGTAATATATAGTTATTATGCCATGGACATATATGGTAATATATAATGATAACGACATGGACATATATGGTAATATATAGTTATAACAACATAGCCATATATGGTAATATATAGTTATAACAACATGGACATATATGGTAATATATAGTTATTACGATATGGACATATATGGTAATATATAATGATAACGACATGGACATATATGGTTATGACTACTTAGATATATGGAAGCAGAGATATTTCACTTGGTAGAGCATTGGCCTACATAATATCAGGTGAAGATCTGAGGCATGTGGTTCGACACTCCCTACCTGTGACAGCTAATTTAGTGTTTCTCAGGATTATCTTAGTTCATTTTTCCTTTATGCCCTATTAACAGCCAGGGTCAGTGAAGGATGTGCCAGGTTTTGGCGGTGGAAGAGAGCATATGTAGGTACCTGTGGCCAGTACCTGGCTACCATCTGACACAGGCCACATCCAGCGACCCAGCGGTGGAGGACTAGTGATAAAGCGGTCGGACACCTTAACCACATGGCCACCGCTAAACACTGAGAAGAAGACTGGTCTGTGCTGATGTGGTTGTGTTCTTGGGCAGGACACTCTACCTTTATTATTCTGGATGATGGGCCTCTCATATAATGTTCAGTGGGGAAGCCTTTAGCTAATATAAGGAGACCTTGCCCAAAAGATTTTGTTTAACCTTGACTGTTCAAAGGCAACAAAACAAGGAAACAAATATATGGTTATTGTAATCATGATCTGCTTGAAACACAAGCAATTGGGTTATATTTTTCAAATGTTGTCCCACATTTAAGTGTAACCCTGTTAAATTCTGGCTGCAATATACTGCGCAGTTAGAGGGAACTACTCTTTGGCTTGAACATCAGATGAGTTTGAATCTAATTGGAGGCATTGAAATAAACAAATGACCCCTGTTGCATTTGTTGTGTTAATTTCACAAGCATCCCTGTAACCCCTGGAAACTCAAGGACAAGCTCTTTCCTCAAGGAGGAGTATGTAGCTATGGTAAATGTACTAGCCACCATTCACCCCTTGTCAAGGGCGTTGCCATTTAGCTTGATTGGTTGAGCATAAGAATAGTAAGACAGGGGTCCTGGGTTCACATCCTAATGGAGACATTGAAATAAATAACGATCACTAATTTAAAAGAAAAGTATCCTTTGTTATGTAACTTTTAATTTTCTTGCAGTTTTGAACTAGTTTCCCAATAAAAATTTCTATAAAAAAGTAAAAATCCTGTGTTGTGTGATAATAAAGAATTTACCTGTCCTTGAAAGGTTTGTCTATTGTTATGTAGTTATGACAAACCAGGGAGTACTGATTACCTGACAAGCAATACCAGTGGAGTATAATAGTACATTGTGTACGTACTTGTTCTCCAGGTAAGAAGTATAGGCGGGATTCCTCCCTGAATGCTCGTTCTACGTAATCCTCCGACACCAGGGCTGTGTTCTGTCGTGTGTAACAGATAACAGAGGACTCGAAGCTGAGGTCACCTGATCTCACTACTGGCACACTGATCTGTCCAGTAGATTCACTAACAGTCTGGTTGTCAGTAGCAAACTGCATTGTTGGCACTGAAGTTGACAAAAATTAGAATCACTGCATTGCACAGTCAAGTATAGTATTCTTTTTATCTTGATTTCTCTATGGCTTGTCAACATCTCTGAAAACACTGGCTTATTTTTACACTTTATCTGTTGAAAAAATTTATACTTCTCCAAAAATTGATCTCAACCAGATTTTCTTTCATTTTAACAAAAAGTTACCAATAATTAAAAACTGGTACGATTTATTGTGAAAACATATCTCCATGAAATTATTCCGGTGTCTAGGAACGTTTGTCTCAACAGACTGGCTGGTGATCATGTGCAGACACAGTTACTCACTGTCAAGGTGGTCATCGTGGATAACCACGGTCGCTGTGTGGGGCTCTACTAGAACACTGCCAGTAGGAGAGCTCAGAAATACAGTCAATGTCTCGTTTCCTTCTCGACGTGGATCACCCTCGTCATCCATAATAGTGAGTAAACATCGCTGTAATAGTGAAAGGTAAGGCATTGGTAAGGACATGGTTAGATATGGTAAGGATGTGGTTAGATATGGTAAGGAGGTGGTTAGATATGGTAAGGATGTGGTTAGATATGGTAAGGACATGGTTAGATATGGTAAGGATGTGGTTAGATATGGTAAGGACATGGTTAGATATAGTAAGGAGGTGGTCAGATATGGTAAGGACATGGTTAGATATGGTAAGGACGTGGTTAGATATGGTAAGGACGTGGTTAGATATGGTAAGGATGTGGTTAGATATGGTAAGGAGGTGGTCAGATATGGTAAGGAGGTGGTCAGATATGGTAAGGAGGTGGTCAGATATGGTAAGGAGGTGGTCAGATATGGTAAGGATGTGGTTAGATATGGTAAGGATGTGGTTAGATATGGTAAGGAGGTGGTCAGATATGGTAAGGACATGGTTAGATATGGTAAGGAGGTGGTAGGAATGTGGTTAGATATAGAATGATGTGGCAGGAATGTGGTCAGATATGGTATGACGTGGTAAGAATGTGGTTAGATATGGTAAGGACGAGGTTAGAAATGTGGTTAGATATGGTAAGGATGTGGTCAGATATGGTTAGGAGGTGGTCAGATATGGTAAGGATGTGGTATGGATAAAGTTAGATATGGTAAGGATGTGGTTAGAAATGGTTGGATGAGATAGGGATTAGCTAGGTATAAGGGAATATTATGTTGATATGGTAAGAATGTGATTGGGCATAAGGATGTGGTAATGTGTGGTAAAAATGAGGTCAGATGTGGTAATGGTGTGGTGAGGTTGATGCTAGGATGTGGTTTGATAAGTTAGGATAAGGTAGCTTGGTGTGGTGGGGATATCCTTGACGTGGTGAGGATGGGATAAGATATTGTAAAAATGTGTTTAACTTTAGTAAGGATGTAGTAAGATATAGTTAAGAAGTGGTAAACTGTGGTAAGGATTTGGTAAATTGTGGTAAGGATTTGGTAAACTGTGGTATGGATTTGGTAAACTGTGGTAAGGATTTGGTAAATTGTGGTAAGGATTTGGTAAACTGTGGTAAGGATTTGGTAAACTGTGGTAAGGATTTGGTAAACTGTGGGAAGGATTTGGTAAACCGTGGTAAGGATTTGACTTTGCATATACAATCGGTCTAGCCTAATCATGTGTCTCACAGCCTTAATATTAGATAGTGTTATATTTACATACATCTATAATGCAATTACTTAGATTTATCCCCCTGTAGTAAGACAGATAATCCTAGAACTGTATATCCAGTAAGTTTAACACCTATATAGTACCTCAGAGGTCTGTCCTGGTCCAAATGTTATCTGAGTGGAGCTGGGGATGTAGTCCTGTCCTGGGGTCGCTGAGGGTATGTCTGACAGGCGTGTGGCACACCACACTACTGTATCGTGGGCCAGGTCAGCACCAGTACGCAACACATCAATCTCGACATTACCAGCATCTTCATCAAAATGGAATCTTGGCAAAGCCAGATGCACAATGGACACTGTCAAATATCAAGTGAAATAACATACATATAATCATTAAAGTTTATTTCAAGCATTTCAAATTCAGCTACTTTCATGGTAGTATCGTCAAATTAAGATTAACTTTTACAACAAACAATGATATGAATATCCTTTGTCACTGAAATGTGTGGTAAAACCACAAGCATCTGGATCATAATAAACATGACAGAGTTTCCTGACTGCCAAATCTTTACCAGAGATCCATGATAAAGTAACCACTATGTTGACCTAAGTTTGTTGTTGTAACGGTCACACACACACACACACAAATTTCTCAGAGTAAATTAATATTATTCCTTATGTAGAAGGGATGGATTTTATGTTTGATCTTATATGTAGTTCATTTGATTATTATTATATTCTGTCAAACGGTCGTTTCGCTGTTGCGCTTGTGTGTATTTCATATGTAAATTCGTAGTGCTTGGTATTTTTCATAATTGTTTGTATTTTACAATTAGTTATCACCAAATCACATCTTATTATGTATGGAAAATCATTGTGATTGCCAATGATTTGTGAATCATTTCTGTGATTTTATAGTAATGTTTTGGTGATTGTCCACATATCTGATGTTAAACATGAGTGTATGAGTGTATTGTTTATTCCTAGGTGTGAACTGTTAATGTGTAGGAGTCTTTTTAATGATCAGTTCTTAGGATTGGTTCTGCACCACTCATAGGTATGATATTGTTGAAATGTGCTAAAAGTTTAATAGAAATATAAAGTAATAATATAACATTATCTATTAGTGGCGTCAAGTGTAATTTATAAGCTTTGTATAACAATATAAGATTGGTAAGATTAGTAAGAGTTATGTCCCTTGTTTCCACTTGCGTATGTGTGTTGAAGTATTAGTGTGTAATAGTTTTCATTTATATCTGTTGCAGGGCATTAGATTGTTATAATGTTAGGATCAAGTCAATAAAGCCTGGTTCCTGATCATAAACACATAAACTGGTTGTGTTATTTCACAGAAAACACTGTCAGTTACATCAATATTGTGTATGATGCATCATCCATAAATAAGCTGCAGCAGTTTATAAGTTGCATATCCCATTCACGAGGAAAAAAGTTATAATCCAGAAAATACTGTATCCAGACTTTTGCATTGTTTTAATGTAAATTGTTTTAATGTAAAAACAATGAAATCTTTACCATCATTAGGTCCATTAATGATGATCGTTGCTTTAGTAACTGGTCCCAGACGGCAGTTGGCTGATGGATCAGAAATTGACAACTCAAATTGTTCTGCTGGTTCAAACTCACTGTCATCAACAAGCTAGAAATTACAAAAGAACTCAATCATTTTATATAAATATGTTTAAAAAACTACCTACATGCAACTTTGCCTAGATAATATGAAGGTTCTAAGAACAGTTCCTATTAAATAAGTATGAAAGCAAAACTTATAAAGGACGAAGTACTTTTATAAAGAATACACTAGTGAGGATTAGCCTTCCACAAAGAAATGACAAAAAGATCATCGGACACTTCAGCATTTAAAAAATAAACATGGTGACCTACATTTACAGATCACGACCTAGAAACACAAGTCAGAATTTCCCGTCACAGTGACTATCAATATTTCCTAAATTAATTCTTGTTTAATGTCAGACAAGGCTTTTGGTTTCTAGTAACAGTTCCCTTGTCCCTGTAGAGTGACTAAATCATGTTACCTTGACCTCACACGATGCAGTGCTGATTCCTGGTGGAAAGACAACTCTGTTAAGGTTGGTGTTGCCGCGTGTGATATAGTCCGAGCCAGACTGCAAATGTTTCAGGCCACTTCCTCTCGCTGTCAGAGGTATAGTGAAACAGATGACAGAAACACTGGACCCTACATCACCTGTCAGACATAAGATAGAGGTATAGTGAGACAGACAACAGATACACTGGGCCCTACATCACCTGTCAGACATAAGACAGAGGTATAGTGAGACAGACAACAGATACACTGGGCTCTCCATCACCTGTCAGACATAAGACAGAGGTATAGTGAGACAGACAACAGATATGCTGGACACTAGATCACCTGTCAGACATAAGACAGAGGTACAGTGAGACAGACAACAGATACACTGGGCCCTACATCACCTGTCAGACATAAGACAGAGGTAAAGTGAAACAGATGACAGATACACTGGGCCCTACATCACCTGTCAGACATAAGACAGAGGTATAGTGAGACAGATGGCAGATACACTGGACCCTACATCACCTGTCAGACATAAGACAGAGGTACAGTGAGACAGATGACAGATACACTTGACCCTACATCACCTGTCAGACATAAGACAGAGGTACAGTGAGACAGACAACAGATACACTGGGCCCTACATCACCTGTCAGACATAAGACAGAGGTACAGTGAGACAGACAACAGATACACTGGGCACTACATCAATAAAACAAACTCACCTGTCCTTGTCAGTGTGGCTGAGAGGTAACCATCACTTTCATTCACATTGAAGATTGGTTGTTGGAACATTATTACTGGTTCTGTGGAAAGAAAGTTTATTTTATTTTTCAAATGAATCCTGTTTTTAAAATGATACCGTTAAATATTTGCACTCGTTACTGAATACATAAAAAACAAAAAAGTATCAATATTTCTCTCCATATCTAAAATAATTTTTTTTTTTTATTTTTTAAAAATATTTGTGTATCATTGTAAATCCTGGTCTATCCTTTAAAAGTCAAAACACTCTATTCATTACATACCGTCCTCTGTGTCATAAATGGTGACCTCTGCATGACCTTGACGAGGATTGACCAGTGAGTATACAGGATCTACCAAGTCCACATAGAACCGTTCTGGTCCCTCATAGATAGAATCATCATTGATGATAATGCTGCAAACCTTTGTCTCCTGCCACTCATCGAATTGTACCTGATGGAGAAGTGTTGGACATAGTGAGCTATAACACAAACTGTACCTGTTGTAGAAGTGTTGGACACATTGAGTTATAACACAAACTGTACCTGATGGTGAAGTGTTGGACATAGTGAGCTACAAACTGTACCTGATGGAGAAGTGTTGGACATAGTGAGCTACAAACAGTATCTGATGGAGAAGTGTTGGACATAGTGAGCTACAAACAGTATCTGGTGGAGAAGTGTTGGACACAGTGAGCTATAACACAAACTGTACCTGATGGTGAAGTGTTGGACATAGTGAGCTACAAACTGTACCTGATGGAGAAGTGTTGGACATAGTGAGCTACAAACAGTATCTGGTGGAGAAGTGTTGGACACAGTAAGCTATAATACAAACTGTACCTGTTGTAGAAGTGTTGGACACAGTGAGCTATAACACAAACTGTACCTGTTGTAGAAGTGTTGGACACAGTGAGCTATAATACAAACTGTACCTGATGGAGAAGTGTTGGACACAGTGAGCTATAACACAAACTGTACCTGTTGTAGAAGTGTTGGACACAGTGAGCTATAATACAAACTGTACGTGATGGAGAAGTGTTGGACACAGTGAGCTATAACACAAACTGTACCTGTTGTAGAAGTGTTGGACATAGTGAGCTATAACACAAACTGTACCTGTTGTAGAAGTGTTGGACATAGTGAGCTACAAACTGTACCTGATGGAGAAGTGTTGGACATAGTGAGCTACAAACAGTATCTGGTGGAGAAGTGTTGGACACAGTAAGCTATAATACAAACTGTACCTGATGGAGAAGTGTTGGACACAGTAAGCTATAATACAAACTGTACCTGATGGAGAAGTGTTGGACACAGTGAGCTATAACACAAACTGTACCTGTTGTAGAAGTGTTGGACACAGTGAGCTATAACACAAACTGTACGTGATGTAGAAGTGTTGGACACAGTAAGCTATAATACAAACTGTACCTGATGGAGAAGTGTTGGACACAGTAAGCTATAATACAAACTGTACCTGTTGTAGAAGTGTTGGACACAGTGAGCTATAATACAAACTGTACGTGATGTAGAAGTGTTGGACACAGTAAGCTATAATACAAACTGTACCTGTTGTAGAAGTGTTGGACACAGTGAGCTATAACACAAACTGTACGTGATGTAGAAGTGTTGGACACAGTAAGCTATAACACAAACTGTACCTGATGGAGAAGTGTTGGACACAGTAAGCTATAATACAAACTGTACCTGATGGAGAAGTGTTGGACACAGTGAGCTATAACACAAACTGTACCTGTTGTAGAAGTGTTGGACATAGTGAGCTATAACACAAACTGTACGTGATGTAGAAGTGTTGGACACAGTGAGCTATAATACAAACTGTACGTGATGGAGAAGTGTTGGACACAGTGAGCTATAATACAAACTGTACCTGTTGTAGAAGTGTTGGACATAGTGAGCTATAACACAAACTGTACGTGATGTAGAAGTGTTGGACACAGTGAGCTATAATACAAACTGTACGTGATGGAGAAGTGTTGGACACAGTGAGCTATAATACAAACTGTACCTGTTGTAGAAGTGTTGGACATAGTGAGCTATAACACAAACTGTACCTGTTGTAGAAGTGTTGGACATAGTGAGCTACAAACTGTACCTGATGGAGAAGTGTTGGACACAGTAAGCTATAATACAAACTGTACCTGATGGAGAAGTGTTGGACACAGTGAGCTATAATACAAACTGTACCTGATGGAGAAGTGTTGGACACAGTAAGCTATAATACAAACTGTACCTGATGGAGAAGTGTTGGACACAGTGAGCTATAACACAAACTGTACCTGTTGTAGAAGTGTTGGACATAGTGAGCTATAACACAAACTGTACCTGTTGTAGAAGTGTTGGACATAGTGAGCTATAACACAAACTGTACCTGTTGTAGAAGTGTTGGACATAGTGAGCTACAAACTGTACCTGATGGAGAAGTGTTGGACATAGTGAGATACAAACAGTATCTGGTGGAGAAGTGTTGGACACAGTGAGCTATAATACAAACTGTACCTGATGGAGAAGTGTTGGACACAGTGAGCTATAACACAAACTGTACCTGTTGTAGAAGTGTTGGACACAGTGAGCTATAACACAAACTGTACCTGTTGTAGAAGTGTTGGACACATTGAGTTATAACACAAACTGTACCTGATGGAGAAGTGTTGGACATAGTGAGCTACAAACTGTACCTGATGGAGAAGTGTTGGACACAGTGAGCTATAACACAAACTGTACCTGATGGAGAAGTGTTGGACACAGTGAGCTTTAACACAAACTGTACCTGATGGAGAAGTGTTGGACATGATGAGCTTTAACATAAACTAAACCTGACTAAATTCGTTGATGGTTTTGACGTTGAACAAACCTGGCCAGTGTGTTGGACAAAGTCATGAGTTCCAGGGCGGGCTCTGACCTTTTCTGATGTAGCTTCTTCCGGTCGTGTTCTACATGTCACTATGGAGTACTGTGTAACAAAGGGAGACAACTCTATTAACAATCATAATTAACACTTTGATATTGAATGTATTTTCATACTAAAACTTGTATGAATTATGACTATATCTAGGTCTTCGATATGTAAGAGTTTTGATCTTCATGTTTTTTGACTTACCTGTTTTAGGTTACCTGTCCGTGACACAGGTATTCTTATCACTCCTGCTGACTCTGTGATATTCATCAGCTGTTGCTCAAAGTTGATCACAGACCACATAATATGGAACTCATTGTCAGGGATGTGATTTGGCTTCTTATCCATGAGGTCAAAGGTGAAACTGTCCTCCATCTCTGTAATATCTCCGGTCAGTACATATTGTATCTGGCCGTTATTCACATCCTCTGAAATTCAAAATATTAATTCACATTTTACCCAGTACTGTACAATTTGTATCGTATCTGCCAAGTGTCCAGTTTTGACATAAATCATGTAAAGATGGAAGACAGTAATTATAAAATTCTGTAAGTATTCTGCTTCACTGGTTATTAATTAGGAAAGGTTGTTACTCCAGTTGTCAGGACAATGTACCTTGAGTGAAGGAGAAGATAGCCACGGTTGGGTTTGCTGTTGTCTCCAGTTGACCGTGACGTGGTGTGTGGGTGACGAGGTAAACAAGGTCTGATGGGGAAGTGTCAATGTCTACAGCTTGTAACTCACGGAATGTTATCAGATTATAGGCCTGAAAATAACAAATTTTAGATTATATGCCTGGGGGACAAAACCAGATCATAAGTCTGGAGATAACAAAATCTGATTTAGGACTGGATATAACAAATCAGATGATAGGACTGAAGGTGACAAAACAGAATATAGGGCAAAATCTGATATAACACTATCAGATGATAGGGTAAAATCTGATATAACAAAATCAGATGATAGGGTAAAATCTGATATAACACTATCAGATGATAGGGTAAAATCTGATATAACAAAACAGAATATAGGGTAAAATCTGATATAACAAAATCAGATGATAGGGTAAAATATGATATAACAAAACAGAATATAGGGTAAAATCTGATATAACAAAATCAGATGATAGGGTAAAATCTGATATAACACTATCAGATGATAGATATAACAAAATCAGATGATAAAAATATGATATAACAAAACAGAATATAGGGTAAAATCTGATATAACAAAATCAGATGATAGGGTAAAATCTGATATAACACTAAACAGAATATAGGGTAAAATCTGATATAACAAAATCAGATGATATATAACAAAAATAGGGTAAAATATGATATAACACTATCAGATGATAGGGTAAAATCTGATATAAAAAAAACAGATGACAGGGTAAAATCTGATATAACACTATCAGATGATAGGGTAAAATATGATATAACAAAAACAGATGATAGGGTAAAATCTGATATAACAAAATCAGATGATAGGGTAAAATCTGATATAACAAAAACAGATGATAGGGTAAAATCTGATATAACACTATCAGATGATAGGGTAAAATATGATATAACAAAAACAGATGATATAACAAAATCAGATGATAGGGTAAAATCTGATATAACAAAATCAGATGATAGGGTAAAATCTGATATAACAAAAACAGATGATAGGGTAAAATATGATATAACAATATCATATGAGAGGGTAAAATATGATATAACAAAATCAGATGATAGGGTAAAATCTGATATAACAAAATCAGATGATAGGGTAAAATCTGATATAACAAAATCAGATGATAGGGTAAAATCTGATATAACAAAAACAGATGATAGGGTAAAATCTGATATAACACTATCAGATGAGAGGGTAAAATATGATATAACAAAATCAGATGATAGGGTAAAATATGATATAACACTATCAGATGATAGGGTAAAATCTGATATAACAAAATCAGATGATAGGGTAAAATATAACAAAATCAGATATAAAAATAATATAACAGATGATAGGGTAAAATCTGATATAACAAATCAGATGATAGGGTAAAATCTGATATAACAAAATCAGATGATAGGGTAAAATAATATATCAGATGATATAACATATAACAAAATCATGATGATATATAACACTATCAGATGATAGTAAAATCTGATATAACAAAAACAGATGATAGGGTAAAATCTGATATAACACTATCAGATGATAAAATATGATATAACAAAATAACACAGATGATAGGGTAAAATATATAAAAAAAATACAGGGTAAAATCATATAACTATCAGATGATAGGGTAAAATCTGATATAACAAAATCAGATGATAGGGTAAAATCTGATATAACAAAATCAGATGATAGATGATAGGTAAAATATGATATAACACTATCAGATGATAGGGTAAAATCTGATATAACAAAATCAGATGATAGGGTAAAATCTGATATAACACTATCAGATGATAGGGTAAAATCTGATATAACAAAAACAGATGATAGGGTAAAATCTGATATAACACTATCAGATGAGAGGGTAAAATATGATATAACAAAATCAGATGATAGGGTAAAATATGATATAACACTATCAGATGATAGGGTAACATCTGATATAACAAAATCAGATGATAGGGTAAAATCTGATATAACAAAAACAGATGATAGGGTAAAATCTGATATAACACTATCAGATGAGAGGGTAAAATATGATATAACAAAATCAGATGATAGGGTAAAATCTGATATAACAAAAACAGATGATAGGGTAAAATCTGATATAACAAAATCAGATGATAGGGTAAAATCTGATATAACAAAATCAGATGATAGGGTAAAATATGATATAACACTATCAGATGATAGGGTAAAATCTGATATAACAAAATCAGATGATAGGGTAAAATCTGATATAACACTATCAGATGATAGGGTAAAATATGATATAACACTATCAGATGATAGGGTAAAATCTGATATAACAAAATCAGATGATAGGGTAAAATCTGATATAACACTATCAGATGATAGGGTAAAATCTGATATAACAAAAACAGATGATAGGGTAAAATCTGATATAACACTATCAGATGAGAGGGTAAAATATGATATAACAAAAACAGATGATAGGGTAAAATATGATATAACACTATCCGATGGTAGGGTAAAATCTGATATAACAAAATCAGATGATAGGGTAAAATCTGATATAACAAAATCAGATGATAGGGTAAAATCTGATATAACAAAAACAGATGATAGGGTAAAATCTGATATAACACTATCAGATGATAGGGTAAAATCTGATATAACACTATCAGATGATAGGGTAAAATCTGATATAACACTATCAGATGATAGGGTAAAATCTGATATAACAAAATCAGATGATAGGGTAAAATCTGATATAACAAAATCTGATTATAGCCTTGTTGGTGACAAATTCATATCATAGGACTGAAGGCGACAAAATCTAATTGTACGACTGGAGATAAAAAAAATCTAATTATAGGACTGAAGATGACAAAATCAGTTACAGGCCTTGAAATGACAGAAATGATGACATTGAAAAACTGCAAATCTGAAAAATAACAGTGTCATGTTCAGACTACATTAACAAGCTTAATTCTGGTCAATTCTTCTATAATCACTATGGATATTAAAAGGTCATTTAAATCAGTAAAAACAGATGAAGAAAGGGCAAGAAATCCTAGAATTTGATTTGGTGATGATGTCTAGAGCTTTTGAAGAGGGAAACCTGTATATTCACAAAGGGGACATAACTTTTAAAATCATGGTAAGAGGATACTTGTGATACACAGATATACATGTATCCGTGTGTCTTACAATACCAGACTTACAATGCCATCAGACAGCTCCAGGAACTGAAGGCCTCGGTTGACTTCCAGTACAGGGCTACCATCATCCATGGGCAGGATCTCGATCTCAAACTCCTGTAAAGTCAACAGGCATCATCAAAACAACATATAAAAAGATAGAGGCATCATCAAAATAACATGTAACAGATACAGGCATCATCAAAACAACATGTAACAGATACAGGCATCATCAACACAACATGACACAGATAGAGGCATCATCAACACAACATGACACAGATAGAGGCATCATCAACACAACATGTAACAGATAGAGGCATCATCAACAACATGACACAGATAGAGGCATCATCAACACAACATGTAACAGATACAGGCATCATCAACACAACATGACACAGATAGAGGCATCATCAAAATAACATGCCACAGATACAAGCATCATCAACACAACATGACACAGATACAGGCATCATCAACACAACATGACACAGATACAGGCATCATCAACACAACATGACACAGATACAGGCATCATCAACACAACATGACACAGATAGAGGCATCATCAACACAACATGACACAGATACAGGCATCATCAACACAACATGACACAGATAGAGGCATCATCAAAATAACATGTAACAGAGAGAGGCATCATCAACACAACATGACACAGATACAGGCATCATCAACACAACATGACACAGAGGCATCATCAACACAACATGACACAGATACAGGCATCATCAACACAACATGACACAGATAGAGGCATCATCAAAATAACATGTAACAGATACAGACATCATCAAAATAACATGTAACAGATACAGGCATCATCAACACAACATGACACAGATAGAGGCATCATCAACACAACATGACACAGATACAGGCATCATCAACACAACATGACACAGATAGAGGCATCATCAACACAACATGTAACAGATACAGGCATCATCAACACAACATGACATCATCAACACAACATGACACAGATAGAGGCATCATCAAAATAACATGTAACAGATAGAGGCATCATCAAAATAACATGTAACAGATAGAGGCATCATCAACACAACATGACACAGATAGAGGCATCATCAACATAACATGACACAGATACAGGCATCATCAACACAACATGTAACAGATACAGGCATCATCAACACAACATGACACAGATAGAGGCATCATCAACACAACATGACACAGATACAGGCATCATCAAAATAACATGTAACAGATAGAGGCATCATCAACACAACATGACACAGATACAGGCATCATCAACACAACATGACACAGATAGAGGCATCATCAAAATAACATGTAACAGATAGAGGCATCATCAAAATAACATGTAACAGATACAGGCATCATCAACATAACATGACACAGATACAGGCATCATCAACACAACATGTAACAGATACAGGCATCATCAACACAACATGACACAGATAGATGCATCATCAACACAACATGACACAGATACAGGCATCATCAAAATAACATGACACAGATACAGGCATCATCAAAATAACATGACACAGATAGAGGCATCATCAACACAACATGACACAGATACAGGCATCATCAAATTAACATGCCACAGATACAAGCATCATCAACACAACATGACACAGATACAGGCATCATCAACACAACATGACACAGATACAGGCATCATCAAAATAACATGACACAGATAGAGGCATCATCAACACAACATGTAACAGATACAGGCATCATCAAATTAACATGACACAGATACAGGCATCATCAACACAACATGTAACAGATAGAGGCATCATCAAATTAACATGACACAGATACAGGCATCATCAACACAACATGACACAGATAGAGGCATCATCAAAATAACATGTAACAGATAGAGGCATCATCAACACAACATGTAACAGATAGAGGCATCATCAACACAACATGACACAGATAGAGGCATCATCAAATTAACATGCCACAGATACAGGCATCATCAACACAACATGACACAGATACAGGCATCATCAACACAACATGTAACAGATAGAGGCATCATCAACACAACATGACACAGATACAGGCATCATCAAAATAACATGACACAGATACAGGCATCATCAACACAACATGACACAGATACAGGCATCAACAACACAACATGTAACAGATAGAGGCATCATCAACACAACATGACACAGATACAGGCATCATCAAAATAACATGACACAGATACAGGCATCATCAACACAACATGACACAGATACAGGCATCATCAACACAACATGACACAGATAGAGGCATCATCAAAATAACATGTAACAGATAGAGGCATCATCAAAATAACATGTAACAGATACAGGCATCATCAACACAACATGTAACAGATACAGGCATCATCAACACAACATGTAACAGATAGAGGCATCATCAACACAACATGACACAGATACAGGCATCATCAAAATAACATGTAACAGATACAGGCATCATCAACACAACATGACACAGATACAGGCATCATCAAAATAACATGACACAGATACAGGCATCATCAACACAACATGACACAGATACAGGCATCATCAACACAACATGTAACAGATAGAGGCATCATCAACACAACATGACACAGATACAGGCATCATCAAAATAACATGTAACAGATAGAGGCATCATCAAAATAACATGTAACAGATACAGGCATCATCAACACAACATGACACAGATACAGGCATCATCAAATTAACATGCCACAGATACAGGCATCATCAACACAACATGACACAGATAGAGGCATCATCAACACAACATGTAACAGATACAGACATCATCAAAATAACATGTAACAGATACAGGCATCATCAACACAACATGACACAGATACAGGCATCATCAACACAACATGACACAGATACAGGCATCATCAACACAACATGACACAGATACAGGCATCATCAAAATAACATGCCACAGATACAGGCATCATCAACACAACATGACACAGATACAGGCATCATCAACACAACATGACACAGATACAGGCATCATCAACACAACATGTAACAGATACAGGCATCATCAAAATAACATGTAACAGATACAGGCATCATCAACACAACATGACACAGATACAGGCATCATCAAAATAACATGCCACAGATACAGGCATCATCAACACAACATGACACAGATACAGGCATTATCAACACAACATGACACAGATAGAGGCATCATCAACACAACATGTAACAGATACAGGCATCATCAACACAACATGACACAGATACAGGCATCATCAAAATAACATGCCACAGATACAGGCATCATCAACATAACATGACACAGATACAGGCATCATCAACACAACATGACACAGATACAGGCATCATCAACACAACATGTAACAGATACAGGCATCATCAAAATAACATGTAACAGATACAGGCATCATCAACACAACATGACACAGATACAGGCATCATCAAAATAACATGCCACAGATACAGGCATCATCAACACAACATGACACAGATACAGGCATCATCAACACAACATGACACAGATAGAGGCATCATCAAAATAACATGTAACAGATAGAGGCATCATCAACACAACATGTAACAGATACAGGCATCATCAACACAACATGACACAGATAGAGGCATCATCAACACAACATGTAACAGATACAGGCATCGTCAACACAACATGACACAGATACAGGCATCATCAACACAACATGACACAGATACAGGCATCATCAACACAACATGACACAGATACAGGCATCATCAAATTAACATGCCACAGATACAGGCATCATCAACAAAACATGACACAGATAGAGGCATCATCAACACAACATGACACAGATACAGGCATCATCAACACAACATGACACAGATAGAGGCATCATCAACACAACATGTAACAGATACAGGCATCGTCAACACAACATGACACAGATACAGGCATCATCAACACAACATGTAACAGATACAGGCATCATCAACACAACATGTAACAGATACAGGCATCATCAACACAACATGACACAGATAGAGGCATCATCAACACAACATGTAACAGATACAGGCATCATCAAATTAACATGACACAGATAGAGGCATCATCAACACAACATGTAACAGATACAGGCATCATCAACACAACATGACACAGATACAGGTATCATCAACACAACATGTAACAGATACAGGCATCATCAACACAACATGACATAGATAGAGGCATCATCAAAACAACATGTAACAGACACAGGCATCATCTGAAGGGATGTTAAATTAGCAAATGCAATTCAGAGGATCTTAATGCAATATATCAAATCTCAAAAAGTGAGATTTATCTCACAGACATCAAAACTCAAGTAGGCTTCTTCTTGTCACTTGGTCAGCCATCTTGATTCAGATAATACTCCTATCTAGCTATACCTCATGACCAATAGGAAACTTTAGAAGATGTTTCCCTGTCATGACAGACATCTTGTTGCCTCAAGTTACACAAAATTAAGATCAAAAGTGAAGAACAAGAATGAAAAACATCCTCTATAGACAATAAACCCTGAAATAAAGTCCCTATCCATGGTCTGTATCATTTTGTCACCTTATACCTACCCCAGGGTCTGACTGCGGGATAAAAATGTCACCCCTATGGTGGTCTCTTTGCATGGCAAACATAGAGGTAGCGCCATCTGTCACAGTGAAGGAGAAATTATCTTCCCTTGTCTCAGATCCGTCATGTTGGTAACTGACTTTGCTGTCATAGATGTCCAGCATGGTGAAGGTTGAAGTTGGATGATACTCATCGCCTTCCTGAAGGTCAAGGCTGCCGTGAAGAGGGCGCTGAATCACTTGGAATATGATATGATCCTCCTGTAGTAGAAATGGCAGTATATCTTTACAACATGCATTCCTCACAAATCCCCTCTCCAGTAGCTAACTGTTAGGATTGACTATTACACCACAGCCACCAAAACCTTGCCAGGATTAGATAATAGTGTTATCCATAAAAACACTAACAAAAACATTGGCAATGGTCTTCTTGCTTTGCTGAATTTGATGTACTCAAATATCTCATATGAAATTTAAGCGATATGATTTACCCCTGTATCCCGGTCAACAGCCTTGAGGTCAAACTCTGTGATGACCTTGCGGATTCCCTCTTGGACCCTCATTCCATTGTTGGTAACAATAGGTATTTCATCATCCACAGGGTTTATAGCAATGCTGAACTTGTGGGTCACCTACAATGTAACTACTTAGTTTACTTGAAAATTTAAAGATTACCTGCGAGACATTTTTGTTACACAGAAGAAACATTTTAAAGTAAATTCAAGCCTGAATATCATATGGTAACTTTGACAATTATATCTATCAATTTTAATGTGAGAAAACTTAAGATCTTATTTACCTCATTGGTGCCATCCGTCACTGTGAAGGTGAAGCGGTCGCTGTAAACTTCCTTCGGACTGTCATGGACATATAACACACAGCTGGCAGCCAGATCAGACTGAGTAAACTCTGATATTGGCACTCCTAGTGAACATAATGATAAGTGAACTCTGATATTGACACTCCTAGTGAACATAATGATAAGTGATATTGACACTCCTAGTGAACATAATGATAAGTGATATTGACACTCCTAGTGAACATAATGATAAGTGATATTGACACTCCTAGTGAACATAATGATAAGTGATATTGACACTCCTAGTGAACATAATGATAAGTGATATTGACACTCCTAGTGAACATAATGATAAGTGATGTCTGATATTGACACTCCTAGTGAACATAATGATAAGTGATGTCTGATATTGGTACTCCTAGTGAACATAATGATAAGTGATGTCTGATATTGACACTCCTAGTGAACATAATGATAAGTGATATTGACACTCCTAGTGAACATAATGATAAGTGATATTGTCCTAGTAAACATAATGATAAGTGATATTGACACTCCTAGTATAATGACACTCCTAGTGAACATAATGATAAGTGATATTGACACTCCTTGAACATAATGATAAGTGATGTCTGATATGTGAACATAATGATAAGTGATATTGACATATTGTGATACACTCCTAGTGAACATAATGATAAGTGATATTGACACTCCTAGTGAACATAATGATAAGTGATATTGACACTCCTAGTGAACATAATGATAAGTGAACTCTGATATTGGTACTCCTAGTGAACATAATGATAAGTGATATTGACACTCCTAGTGAACATAATGATAAGTGAACTCTGATATTGACACTCCTAGTGAACATAATGATAAGTGATATTGACACTCCTAGTGAACATAATGATAAGTGATATTGACACTCCTAGTGAACATAATGATAAGTGATATTGACACTCCTAGTGAACATAATAATAAGTGATATTGACACTCCTAGTGAACATAATGATAAGTGATATTGACACTCCACACTAGTGAAAGTGATATTGACACTCATAATGATAAGTGATATTGACACTCCTAGTGAACATAATGATAAGTGATATTGACACTCCTAGTGAACATAATGATAAGTGATATTGACACTCCTAGTGAACATAATGATAAGTGATATTGACACATAATGAGTGAACATAATGATAAGTGATATTGACACTCCTAGTGAACATAATGATAAGTGATATTGACACTCCTAGTGAACATAATGATAAGTGATATTGACACTCCTAGTAAACATAATGATAAGTGAACTCTGATATTGACATTCCTAGTGAACATAATGATAAGTGATATTGACACTCCTAGTGAACATAATGATAAGTGATATTGACACTCCTAGTGAACATAATGATAAGTGATATTGACACTCCTAGTGAACATAATGATAAGTGATCTCTGATATTGACACTCCTAGTAAACATAATGATAAGTGATATTGACACTCCTAGTGAACATAATGATAAGTGATATTGACACTCCTAGTGAACATAATGATAAGTGATATTGACACTCCTAGTGAACATAATGATAAGTGATATTGACACTCCTAGTGAACATAATGATAAGTGATATTGACACTCCTAGTGAACATAATGATAAGTGATATTGACACTCCTAGTGAACATAATGATAAGTGATATTGACACTCCTAGTGAACATAATGATAAGTGATATTGACACTCCTAGTGAACATAATGATAAGTGATATTGACACTCCTAGTGAACATAATGATAAGTGATGTCTGATATTGGTACTCCTAGTGAACATAATGATAAGTGATATTGACACTCCTAGTGAACATAATGATAAGTGATGTCTGATATTGGTACTCCTAGTGAACATAATGATAAGTGATATTGACACTCCTAGTGAACATAATGATAAGTGATATTGACACTCCTAGTGAACATAATGATAAGTGATATTGACACTCCTAGTGAACATAATGATAAGTGATATTGGTACTCCTAGTAAACATAATGATAAGTGATATTGACACTCCTAGTGAACATAATGATAAGTGATATTGACACTCCTAGTGAACATAATGATAAGTGATATTGACACTCCTAGTGAACATAATGATAAGTGATGTCTGATATTGACACTCCTAGTGAACATAATGATAAGTGATATTGACACTCCTAGTGAACATAATGATAAGTGATATTGACACTCCTAGTGAACATAATGATAAGTGATATTGACACTCCTAGTGAACATAATGATAAGTGATATTGACACTCCTAGTGAACATAATGATAAGTGATATTGACACTCCTAGTAAACATAATGATAAGTGATATTGACACTCCTAGTAAACATTATGATAAGTGATGTCTGATATTGACACTCCTAGTGAACATAATGATAAGTAATCTGTGTCCTGTGCACATGAGTTGTCTGGGACAAACTAATACCATTGAAAATCCTGTGTGCCTGGTTTGTCTGTGACAACCCTATTCCCAATACTTGGTTTTCTATGTACCATATAATGTCTTAGCTTGGCTTGTCTGTGGTGACCCTAGTTCTTTTCAAGGCCTCCACTATCTGGGTTGTCTGTATACCTGCGTATACCTGGGTTGTCTGTATACCTGCGTATACATGGGTTGTCTGTGGTGACCCTATGACTATTGAATGCTTTCCCTACCTGGGTTGTCTGTATACCTGGGTTGTCTATATACCTGGGTTGTCTGTATACCTGGATTGTCTGTGGTGACCCTATGACTATTGAATGCTTTCCCTTCCTGGGTTGTCTGTATACCTTGGTGGTCTGTATACCTGGATTGTCTGTGGTGACCCTATGACTATTGAATGATTTCTCTTCCTGGGTTGTCTGTATACCTGGGTTGTCTGTATACCTGGGTGGTCTGTATACCTGGATTGTCTGTGGTGACCCTATGACTATTGAATGCTTTCCCTACCTGGGTTGTCTGTATACCTGGGTTGTCTATATACCTGGGTTGTCTGTATACCTGGGTTGTCTGTGGTGACCCTATGACTATTGAATGACTATACCTGGGTTGTCTGTCAGCTCTAAGTGCCCTAACAGTGGGGCAGACAGCAGGAAGTACTGCAGAGATCCTGGCTCAGAATCCACATCAGTAAAGGACAGGTTGTCTGTGGTGATTTTCACCTCAGCTCCCTCAGAGACCACCAACTCCTTGTTAGCTAACATCTGGGGTGGGATTCTGTCCTCTAAAATACACACCTCAAATTAAGGTTTTATCTATTTGAGGGATGTTGATCAACTTTTGTTGCCTGACACCCATGTATATATAATGTGTGACTTCATGTGATATCTTCATATACTATGGTCAACCCTTAAAAACACATACAAAATAAAAATTACACATTTCAGAATATATTTCCTGTAAAACTTTTTGAAATTATTAATGTTTTAGTAGGTGTGATAAAATAATTTAAAAACGTAACTTTTTGCTTTAAATAAGGATAATTTTTCAAATATTGACATAAATACTTTTTGAAACAATGTTAACATACAGTTGATTTTATAGCTACTTACTCTTGGTGTACAGAAAATAGAATACAGAATTCATCAATTATTGTTCACCACAATATTTTACATGGCATCATATTTACACTCCTAATGTCTGTCTATATTTACACTCCTAATGTGTCCATATATTTACACTCCTGATGTCTGTCTATATTTACATTCCTGATGGCTCCCTACATAAACAGTCCTAATGTGTCCATATATTTACACTCCTAATGTCTGCCTATATTTACACTCCTGATGTCTGTCTATATTTACACTCCTGATGTCTCCCTATATTTACACTCCTGATGTCTCCCTATATTTACACTCCTGATGTCTGTCTATATTTACCCTCCTGATGTCTGTCTATATTTACAGTCCTAATGTACAGTTCTAATGTCTCCCTATATCAACACTCCTGACTTAAGTTGGTAGAGCAGAAAATCAATTACTACAAACCTAACACAGTGATATAGAATATCTGGTCGATGAGAGGATTGCCCTCTGGGTCAGACACATCAAACTTGAAGGTAACCACACCAGTTGACTCCCCTGCCATGTTCTGATATTCTAAGAGGCCGTTGTCAATGTCTGCCTGGTAGAAGTGACGGATCGGTCCATGGATGGACACAGTCTGTGGCTCTGGCCTTCCAGACCGGTTCAGTCTCAAACGACCACTTGTTGGGTCCCTTTTGATAGTGTACTTAATTCGAGCATCATTGGAATCAATATCTGTGGCTTGTAAGTCCTTCGACTTAATTGGAGTTATAGAACCTGAAACAAAGAGAGAGTTATAGAACCTGGAGTATACAAAACAAAGGGAGAGTTATAGAACCTGGAGTATACAAAACAAAGGGAGAGTTATAGAACCTGGAGTATACAAAACAAAGAGAGAGTTATAGAACCTGGAGTATACAAAACAAAGAGAGAGTTATAGAACCTGGAGTATACAAAACAAAGGGAGAGTTATAGAACCTGGAGTATACAAAACAAAGAGAGAGTTATAGAACCTGCAGTATACAAAACAAAGGGAGAGTTATAGAACCTGGAGTATACAAAACAAAGGGAGAGTTATAGAACCTGCAGTATACAAAACAAAGGGAGAGTTATAGAACCTGGAGTATACAAAACAAAGAGAGAGTTATAGAACCTGGAGTATACAAAACAAAGGGAGAGTTATAGAACCTGGAGTATACAAAACAAAGAGAGAGTTATAGAACCTGGAGTATACAAAACAAAGAGAGAGTTATAGAACCTGGAGTATACAAAACAAAGGGAGAGTTATAGAACCTGCAGTATACAAAACAAAGAGAGAGTTATAGAACCTGGAGTATACAAAACAAAGAGAGAGACTCTAACTGGTAATGTACCTGAGTTTACCCGCAGTCAAAACAAAGGGAGAGTTATAGAACCTGCAGTATACAAAACAAAGAGAGAGTTATAGAACCTTGAATATATAAAACAAAGAGAGAAACTATTTATAGATATCCTTGGTGTTTCGTCATTCACCATACCAATAATTACTGATAGTGTTCTTGTGTCTGTAAACTTTCCATCAGTGAGCGAGAGAGTGAAGGTGTCGCTAGGAAGCTCCCCACCATCATGACGGTATACCAAAAGTTCATCAAGTACATCCTTAAATGTCAAAGGAAATGAATAACATTTTGCACTTCAATTTGAATACGAACAGAGGTCAAGGTCACCACTGTCACCTTTATGACCAGATATCTGTCTACATCATTAAAACATTTACAAAGAACATAAGAAATTTTATCTTTCATAATCCTTCAGACAAAATAGTAGTTGAAATGGAATTACCTTGTAAGTAAACCTATCGCCTTTCTGGAGAGTACGAGCTGACATCACTGGATCCATAACAGAAATGCGCTTGCCAATGTTACCTGTTAAACAGAAGGTAAACATCAGGGGCCTGTTCTCTTTCTACATCAACACATTACATTTTATTATGATAGTAACTTTGTTATAGTTAGTGATTGATGTCAGTACCATGTTCTGGGGTTGTATCCATAGTGAAGATGAGCTCGTCAGCAGCAGTATCCAGATCAACAACGTACAGAGAGGCATTGGTCACCAGGACATTAAAATTCTCCCGTACAAAAATCTGTTCCGTCATCACCATTGGTTCTTCATCATTGATCAGCTAATAAAGAAAAAAACGGTTCTTCATCATTGATCAGCTAATAAAAAAACATCTTCATCATTGATCGGCTAATGAAGAAAAAAACATCTTCATCATTGATCAGCTAATAAAAAAAACATCTTCATCATTGATCAGCTAATAAAGAAAAAAACATCTTCATCATTGATCAGCTGATAAAGAAAAAAACATCTTCATCATTGATCAGCTGATAAAGAAAAAAACATCTTCATCATTGATCAGCTGATAAAGAAAAAAACATCTTCATCATTGATCAGCTGATAAAGAAAAAAAACATCTTCATCATTGATCAGCTAATAAAGAAAAAAAACATCTTCATCATTGATCAGCTGATAAAGAAAAAAACATCTTCATCATTGATCAGCTGATAAAGAAAAAAACATCTTCATCATTGATCAGCTGATAAAGAAAAAAACAAAGATATGGACTTTATCCCTTTGCAGAATGTGAACATGTCACAGTCACATAATGTCTTCTAAACTGTCACACATTCCATGTACCATTGATGATGGTGGAATATTTACATTAATTTTAACACTCACTGTAGCATTTAACCAAGACTGTTATCTTTGGATAGCTAATATACACATCTGCTTATGATCAAAAATATTTCTGCATAGTTTCCAAATCATAGGTCTTATCTGCTTACAATGGCAACCAAATGACATCAGATGTTTTGGAAAATAGTACCAACGTAAAATCCGTCCAAAAAGTATTTTAGTCTTCAGAAGGATCAGACAATTTTAACAAACCAGCAGCCTCAATTCATTTCCATAGTAATGGTTGTGGAGACACCTGATGTGTCAAGCTACAGACTTTCATAAGTTACATCATTTGACCAAGTTTCATTAAAATTGATCGATGGACTGATCAGCTACATAAAAATCTGTGTATAGTGACCTCGTTTCTATGACAACCAAAAACGTCTCCTGAAATTTCATGCTCTTGATGGATGGACGGACAGACAGAAGCTGATTCCAAAATACTCCTGATAACTTTGTCATAGGGGTGAGAGGGGGTAAAATAACAGGAAAGTGTGGAGAAAAATTAATTAATCACTTCTGTGTGATGAAAACAGAAATACCTCAACCCTTTTAGCATAGAAAATTTTGAACTCAATGACGAAAGCCTGATCCCCATTTTGTCATTAATTCCATTACTATCTACAAGGGATGCAGGTTTATGACCATATTCATATGTCTTCCAGTATCAAATATACCTGTCAATGTTACAACAACCTAACAGTAGAACTGACTGACCAGTCAATGTTACAACAACCTGACAGTAGAACTGACTGACCTGTCAATGTTACAACAACCTGACAGTAGAACTGGCTGACCTGTCAATATTAAAACATCCTAACAGTAGAACTGACTGACCTGTCAATGTTACAACAACCTGACAGTAGAACTTACTGACCAGTCAATGTTACAACAACCTGACAGTAGAACTTACTGACCAGTCAATGTTACAACAACCTGACAGTAGAACTTACTGACCAGTCAATGTTACAACATCCTAACAGTAGAACTGACTGACCTGTCAATGTTACAACAACCTGACAGTAGAACTGGCTGACCTGTCAATGTTACAACATCCTAACAGTAGAACTGACTGACCTGTCAATGTTACAACATCCTAACAGTAGAACTGGCTGACCTGTCAATGTTACAACAACCAAACAGTAGAACTGACTGACCTGTCAATGTTACAACAACAGCAGAACTGGCTGATCTGTCAATGTTACAACATCCTAACAGTAGAACTGGCTGACCTGTCAATGATACAACATCCTAACAATAGAACTGGCTGATCTGTCAATTTTACAACAACAGTAGAACTGACTGACCTGTATTGTGATGTTTAAACGCTGCAGTGGTGTCTGGTTGGTGCCATCAGTCACTAAGAAGAGAAATCCATCCTGAGTGGGCTCTTTGTGAGTATGGTCAGTTTGAATGTAGGAAATGTGGCCATCCAGCAAATCCTGGAAAGAAAAGGCATTCACACTTCGAGCCTCCACCTCCTCTGATCCTGGGCTCTCTGTAAGGGAAGAAATTTTAGTTCTTCAAGAAATGTTTATATCTTAAAATGACTTCAGGATGTATTTAATCAGAAGTATGGTATCTTTCACCTATATATACTATATATACTTTGTAGCTAGAAACAACATGTTGTAGCAATTCTGTTTATGGACTTTGTAACAGCATAGCTGATGTCATGCTTCAGTTGTTGGTATCAACAATTTCATCCATTGTATTGATCCTAGGGTACTTCTCTTAAGTAGTAAGTCTTGAGTAGATTTCAACTAGATTTTTTCTAACTGTATTATCTTTACAAATCACAATTTTGTACAATGTGAATTCTTATTGGCTGGACCTCTTTTTTTTTTGTTTTTAGGTCAGAAAAAAAAATTACATCTAAAAACAGGTAACTGGCTAAAAACTGCAAAAAAAATTAAGCACAATACTTTGACTTCTGCTTTTGAATTGCTTCCTGTCATCTGTAATCTTTCAAAATATCATCACCCGAACTTAAGTGAAATTCTAAAACTTTTGGCCATCAGATCTTCATGCATCCATCAGTAAGACACCAAACATTTTGCCTACCAGGGCGTGTGCTGTGTATCTCTCCAAAGGCAGGTGATGTTTCTATTGTAAACAACAAACTGGACACTGGACTGTCAGCATCGGTCACTTTGATGTTCTCTATGGTGATGGCAGTCTCTCCACCCTCTTCTATCTGTGAAGGAAAATATCTGAGATTAGAAATATTTTGTGCAGCTTTTGTGATGCTACGCTTGTTACAAAGCTACACACCATGGACCTGAGTTAAACCAGTTAAAACCACACACTTACCTGTATTTCTGGTCCAAATTTAACCAAAGGCACTTGGTTATCTATTGGCTGGATTATAACAGACAGGATCTGATTGGTTAACATATTCCCACTAGTATCGCTGACATTAAAGACAAGGACTTCTGTGATTGGCTGACTTCCAATCTCACGATCTGATTGGTAACTACAAAAAAAAAAGTGAAAAGAAGAAAATATAAACAGTTGTCGTCTAAAATATCCAGCTGAAATTTGACTAATTTTCTTGGCTATCGATGAGGTTATTGTCTTTACCTTATATGGTAGTTATTGATGAATGGGTGTGTATAGTGTCAGCCTCCTTACCTTATATGGTAGTTATTGATGAATGGGTATGTGTAATGCAAGCCTCTTTACCTTATATGGTAGTTATTGATGAATAGGTATGTATAGTGCAAGCCTCTTTACCTTATATGGTAGTTATTGATGAATGGGTGTGTGTAATGCAAGCCTCTTTACCTTATATGGCAGTTATTGATGAATAGGTATGTATAGTGCAAGCCTCTTTACCTTATATGGTAGTTATTGATGAATGGGTGTGTACAGTGTCAGCCTCTTTACCTTATATGGTGATTATTGATGAATGGGTGTGTATAGTGTCAACCTCCTTACCTTATATGGTAGTTATTGATGAATAGGTATCCTTACCTTATATGGTAGTTATTGATGAATAGGTATGTATAGTGTTAGCCTCCTTACCTTATATGGTAGTTATTGATGAATGGGTGTGTATAGTTTGTCTTCTTACCTTATATGGTAGTTATTGATGAATGGGTATGTATAGTGTTAGCCTCCTTACCTTATATGGTAATTGTTGATGTCTGACTGTGTAAAGACCCCACCCCTCTGTAGCAGACGAGCCCCTCGGTACAAAATACGACCATGTACAGGGTTGGAGGAAACAGTAATTCTCAGATGGTTATCTTCATCATCCTGATCCACGAAAGCTAAAATGCTTCGCTCAATCACCACAGTTTCACCTGTAAACACAACCATTGATAAATTATCTCTGGAATCTCGACATTTTCTTTCCTTCATAAAATAAAGGAACAAGTGATGTAATTTGTATTACATCAGTAACTTGAATCTTACGTTCGTTGATGTTGATCCTACAGCTGGCCGTGTCGAGGACTGTTGGAGACGACTTGTCTACCCTGACAACTGTCACATTGACATTGAGTCTGGCCTTATGGGCACCATCGCTCACCTCCAAGCTGAATAGATCAGTTAGTCGTGTGCTACTACCACCATGATGATACTGGAACACACTGTCTAACAGCTCGTCATAGTGGAATGAATCACCTGGGGATCAGAAAGCACAGGTAGTTTTTAGGGATAAGAATCCTGTAATAACATATGCTACTGTCTTTCATGTGTCATTTATTTTTGCGAATTTTGTCATCAAAACAAATTCAAAAAGAAAATCTTTGTGAAATAAGACATTGATATTACTAAGCAATAATATTCCTTGTTTAAACTTTGTTGATTATTAAGACGACTATTTACCTAACATACCATCCCTGTAAGGCCTAGTATATTTCAGAAATATGTTGTTATTTTGAGCATCAGTATGATTTAATTTCTTTGATGTAAGATTCTGAAAAGTCTGTTTGGTAACTTTCCAAAAAATCACTAACATGTTTGAATCCAATGACTGAGAACCTGTACATGAAGCTGTACAAGCTTTTAAATAACTCTGATTCACTTTCATTTTGACATTGAAACAGTAGACATCTAGTAATTCACTTAGAAATGAATAAGATAGGTATGTCAATGTTGGAGTTTTACCATTGTGAGTTGTATTGTTGAAATCGTGAAAATATGTAACCATGAAAGAAAGAAGGCTTACAATATTATATTTAAGTTGATCATCATCATCAACATCTATTTATGATATTCTATTCAAGCAGTACCAGAGCTAAGGTATCATAATATTCATAAAATGGCAGCCAAAAACAACCACATACATTTACTTACTGAAATCCGAAACTCAAGAAACTTAACAAAATCAAAGTGCTGAGAGCAATTACAGATGCTGTGCCTGATGTATCACAATAAATTAATAAAGCAAGTGTTTATCAGATTATAATTAATGAAGTGTAAAAATAATGTATTGTCCAACTGGAAATTACCAGGAAAAGGTATTTTCTATGTATGACAAGTATCATTAGGAGTTCAAACACACTTATTTACAACAGCAGAAGAAAATGTCTCAATGTCTCAGTCTTCCCTATGGATACTGGTTCCCAGCATCTAAAAATTTGTCTTTAGATGTTCAATTCATACAACCTACTTTTTACTGTACATCAATTCTAGTTCACACAAAGAAGAAAGAAATGGTATAGGTGTCAAATGGCTGTCTTCACTGACCTTCTCTGATGATAACCTTCCCACCAATGTGGTTTTTCTCCATCCGTCCAACCATAGGGGCCTGGATCAAGGTCACAAGAAGATCAGATGTGGGTGTGTCAGCATCAGTGACTGCCAAAAGCGACTGACTAAGAGGGGCCATGGTGCCCTGTGATACCATTATACTGGGGGAAGGGTTGAGGAACCTTGGTGGCATGTTGTTTACAGGGAGTACTCGGATACTAAACTTCTGTTCTTCAGGACTACGGGTTGGTGGCCCGTCATCTGAAACTACAAAAGACAAAAGATTGAATTTCAATTTCTGAGTTTTTGTGCATAAAATTTGATCTTATTGGTATACAGTTCATGCATTTACCCCATCAAAAACTATCATTTTTTACCAGTTGAAATGGACAATACTTCGCACTTGAAACTTACCAAAGAATGGAAGTTCTTATAACACAAGTACAAGATTTTTTGGCCTTTACACTAATGTTAGTGTGTATTGTAGTCAATTTGACCAGACTTTGTTTATCACTTGGTCATTGATGTCTGGCCCTATTGTCCTTGTTCAGTACCGGCCAATTCTAGCATATTCAGATGGCCTCCTTGACCAGATGCAAGAAAAGGTTGTTTTTTGTGGTGACTATTTCAGCATTTTTTCAGTAAGTGAGATGATTTTGAGTGTCAACTTTTTAATCTGGGACTGAGATCCTTTTGCCCTGATCTTGTGAATTATATTTCCGTCTTTGGATTTCTAATGTCCATTAAATCAAACCATGAATCTCCTGACTGTTTATCCGGTATACAATGTTTCAAAGTTCTTGCATCTGATCTGCTTACACATTCTGCAACAGTCTCTTTATTTGTTTTGTCTTTAGAATGGATGAGGAATCTTGTGAGGTTTCAAGGCTGTGGAAATACCTTGACTAAGGTGAATCCCTTGAATGGTTTGTTATAGGCCTTTGATGGAAGGGATGACTGCTTGTCCTTTCACTTTCTTCTTTTCCTTGGTGTTTCTTCACTTGATCTTTGGTTTTATTCATCAAATTCGTTATCAACTTTCTTGACTGCCCATTATGGCATTCAAATGTTTTGATGGTGATGTGAATGTGATTTTAAATGCTTCATAATTTTCAACTTGCCTGTTGAAGGTGAGTGTGTAGTTATCAAAATGTCACACTCAAATCTTTTACAGGTTGTGTTATAAGAACTTCTATTCTTTTACCAACCGAAGAAAATGTTCTTAAATATTAATATAACAAAACTTAAGTGATATATTACTTGAACTAATAAAACACAATCCTAAATATACATTTAAGAGTTTTGTTTGTTACTGTTCTATGCTTACTGCATGGTTACAAACCTGTAAAGTAGAAACTAAACTCCTTTTCCACTGTTCCTACATCAGATAAAGGAGGTCGGTACACAATCCTATTGTTGTTGATATCTGCCTGTGTGAATCTTGAGGTAGAGCGAAAGGGTGTGTCAATGTGTTCCAGAGTCCCTTCCCCATCTCTGAGGGGGCGTGTCACTGAGTATACGATGTCAGTGTCAGGAGTGTCCATGTCCTCAAAGGCTAGGTTAGAGCTGCTTATGGGCACCACCTGGTTCTCCAGCACCTGATAACACAAGGGCAGATAACCTGCATCATCACCTGGTTCCCAATTATAAACATAACACAAGGGCAGATAACCTACATCATCACCTGGTTCCCAATTATAAACATAATACAAGGGCAGATAACCTGCATCATCACCTGGTTCCCAATTATAAACATAATACAAGGGCAGATAACCTGTATCATCACCTGGTTCCCAATTATAAAAGTAATACAAAGGCAGAAAGCCTATATCAGTATTAAGATACAATGCCAGTAACATTTTTTTATAAACAACAGTTGGCCTATGAATAATGATACAACATACACATATGTGACAAATTGAAATCATTTCTGGAAACACTTACCGTCATGCCTAATCGAACTCCTGGGGCCAGCGTGGGTGTGGTTGTGGGAGGAGTCTGGCTGATTATTGACAGCTGGAACCTCTGGTCTCGTAGTATATTTGGAGGATTAGCAGTGTCAGCAATCTAAAAGAGGCATGAACAAGTGTTATATATATGTTATTTTGAAATCAAATACAATCAAAACTATTTGAGTTTCTAATTTTCGATGATGAAATAAGAAAATTCCAATGTAATAGCAAACTAGTAAACTTGTGATAAACATTTTCTTTCATCTGACAATGTTCTAAAAATGAATAAAACATCAAATGGATTTGCATGTACCTCAAACGTTATGACGTCAGACAAAGCTGGTGTGGATTTATGTTTGTACCAGATCCTTCCTTCATCAATGTCCCTCTGCATGAAGCGAAACATCTTGGCAGCCATTGATCCCCCTCCTATGTCCTCCCAACCTTGTCCTGGTCCCTCTTCTGGTATAGGAACCACCATAAGTACCTCCCCTGTAATGTACAAATATATCAGTATATTAGTACTCCCCTGTCACAAATATTGTTAAATGATTCCTTAAATGTCTCAAATATCAGTAAATTTATACTTCCCTATTACAAATCACAAATATTCCTCAATTAATAAGTACTTCCCTTTCAAACATAAGTCTAACCACTAAATCCCCCCTCCCTTACCATCTCTATATCTCCCATCACACTAGATGTACAAGTCTAACCACTAAATCCCCCCTCCCTTACCATCTCTATATCTCCCATCACACTAGATGTACAAGTCTAACCACTAAATCCCCCCTCCCTTACCATCTCTATATCTCCCATCACAGTAGATGTACAAGTCTAACCACTAAATCCCCCCTCCCTTACCATCTCTATATCTCCCATCACACTAGATGTACAAGTCTAACCACTAAATCCCCCCTCCCTTACCATCTCTATATCTCCCATCACACTAGATGTACAAGTCTAACCACTAAATCCCCCCTCCCTTACCATCTCTATATCTCCCATCACACTAGATGTACAAGTCTAACCACTGAATCCCCCCTCCCTTACAATCTCTATATCTCCCATCACAGTAGATGTACAAGTCTAACCACTAAATCTCCCCTCCCTTACCATCTCTATATCTCCCATCACACTAGATGTACAAGTCTAATCCCCCATTCCCACTACCTGCTATATACCTCCCATCACAGTAAAAATCAAACTGCCTCACCTTGTTTTGGATTGTTGACAGTGGGCATCAGTGTATAGATTATGTCCCTTGTCGGCGTTTTCTCAAAATCCATTACCTCTGCTAACAATAGGTCAGAGGTCAATTGTAGCATGTTCCCTGATGTAAGGCGACCTATCTTATTGTTGACCAAAACAGGAATCACATTGTCCTACAAATTAAAACAAACCAAGAAATAAACATGATCATGTATTATGTGAACCTTTATGTTCTTTTGTTAAAATAAAAGGGGCTATGTTTTATACATACAGACATAAATTATAGAACAGATATCAAGAACTATATATAGAACAGCTATACAGAACAATTAGTAGGACAGCTATACAGAACAATTAGTAGAACTGTTGTACTGAACAATTAGTAAAACTGTTGTACAACACAATTAGTAGAACAGTATTACAAAACAATTAGTAGGACAGTTGTACAGAACAATTAGTAGACCAGTTGTACAGAACAAAACAATTAGTAGAACTGTTGTACAACACAATTAGTAGAACAGTTGTACAAAACAATTAGTAGAACTGCTGTACAACACAATTAGTAGAACAGTTGTACAAAACAATTAGTAGAACAGTTATACAACACAATTAGTAGAACAGTTGTACAGAACAATTAGTAGGACAATTGTACAGAACAATTAGTAGAACTGTTGTACAGAACAATTAGTAGAACTGTTGTACAAAACAATTAGTACGACAATTGTACAGAACAAATAGTAGAACAGTTGTACAACACAATTAGTAGAACAGTTGTACAACACAATTAGTAGAACTGTTGTACAACACAATTAGTAGAACAGTTGTACAGAACAAATAGAAGAACAGTTGTACAGAACAATTAGTAGAACAGTTGTACAGAATAATTAGTAGAACAGTTGTACAGAACAATTAGTAGAACTGTTGTACAAAACAATTAGTAGAACAGTTGTACAGAACAATTAGTAGAACAGTTGTACAGAACAATTAGTAGGACAGTTGTACAGAATAAATAGTAGAACTGTTGTACAGAGCAATAAGGCAAACATACCTTGATACGAATGTTGACATTCATTATGAAGTTGAGGAGGTGATAGCCATCAGAGACCTGTAGTAGAAATAGATCGCGATCCTCAATGTTTTGACCAGTGTGTCTGTATCCGATTGACCCTGCTCTCAGATCCTGCAGTGTAAAGGACGTAACTGGGGCATCAAACTTCTGGTGGATTATCTGACCATGGAATGGACCTAAAACAGAAAGTAAACATGTATTTCCTTACAACACATTGATACGTAATAATTCTTCTTATAGGTACAGGGTACACCATTATATGACTTACAACACATTGATACGTAATGATTCTTCTGATTAAAAAAAATTACAAATAGTTCCACCGGTTACAGGGTACACCATTATATGACTCTAACCTTGGAGTACAGTGATGGTGACATCGTCTTCTGTTCCACTGATCTGAAGGTCAATGGTATTTAGAGTAGAAGTTTCTCCACTGATCACCACAAGTGGAACCTTCCTGAGGAGGCGTGGTGCCTGTCTGGACACAGCTTGGATACTTAGTGAAGCCTCATCACTCAACATCATACGATCGCTTGCTCTCAACACAATCCGACCTGATTTGACAAAATATCTCAAATTAGTGGCTTATAAAATTGCCACAGAATCTGTATCATCTCTTTCACCAAGAATTTAGTACGTTACAGGATAATAAACTTGATACAAACTGTTTTTAATCAATGTTTAGAATTAGAAATGTATCCTTGTAATCAAATGTTTATAATGTTGCAAATACTACAAGTATATTAGATACATATGCAGCAAGTACCTCAAAACCTTACTGAAAGTGGATCACAAATCTAGTCCCTTTACCAGGCCTATCATATACAGTGTTAATCTATAAATCCAGGTCCTGCCTTCCCTCTAGTTTCCTTGTATAGTCTCTTACTCACTTTTACTTCCAGCATTACTGTTGTGGATGAACCTGACCTTGCCTGTGTGCAGGTCGACAAGCGTAAATGTGTCCTCAGTCTGTAGAGCAATGTCCCGCCCCATCACCGCCTTCACCAGCTCACCGTTGTCAGGGGTGCGGGACAAGACCAGCTGTAAATCCTCGACTGGTGTGTCAGGATCAGAGAGATAGAAGATGTCTGAAGGTATACTGGCGATTCCCCCCTCCTCTGTGAGGATCTGGCCAAAAATTTGTAGGATCGGAGCTTCACGGTTTTCTAGGTAAGGAGAAAGGCTACACCTCATATTTCTGATGTAGATAGTATATTGTAATGGTCACTATTATTCAAGGATAAAATCACAGATATATTAAGAAAATTTGGATGTCTTAACAAATGTTGATAAAATGCAAACTGGAACTTATGTTTGCACTGACAAATTTTCACATTCTGTGGTTCTCATAGTAATGAATTTTCACATTTTAAAACAAACCTTCACAGATCGGAGTCATGTTGTTCTAAAAGTAATGAATTTTCACGATTTATAACAAACCTTCACAGATCTGAGTCCTGCGGTTTTCATAGTATCCATGACCACATGTGTTGACACATTTGCCCTGGCGAAGGAATGTGTGACTGTTACATAGAGTACATTCAGACCCTCCCCCACACTCCACACAGTCCTGTGGACAGTCTGAAACAAAGTTACCCACCTTGGATTAGAGAAGTCATAACTTAAAGCATTAACTTTATCAAATTTCTAAAGTAAGTTTTTATCTAAATACCAAAATATATAGACTTTATCCTGATTTCATCAATTATCTAAGTCCTTTATCTGAAAACCTAAATAATGTCAACATGAACAGAGCTAGTTTACTAAAACGTAAAGAATAGAAAGTGAACCTTGTAGTGACCCTTAACCCTGGTATGTCATTGACATTTACTACAACTACCCAGGTACATGTATATTTCCTGACTGCAGTCCCAACAGCTAATGTGAAGTCAAAGAATTGTAAAGAAAGTAATATTGATTACATTTATCTTATGTAACGATAATAAATATACAAAAAATGTAGTGTAAAAATACATACCTATTTTTCAATATTGAGAAAGTAATTCAGTTGCAGGTATTATTTCATATCAATGAAATGTAAACGAAGGAATAATGATCAGTAATATATTCATTACTAGAGTTTACTCACTATCACTAGGACCTTAAATATACTCTACGTATCAATACATAATCATGATACCATTTAGTTAGTGATGTGTTATGCTTATGTTAATGATTAAATTGAGCACAGCCAATACTTTATCGTATTGTGTGGAAATGTAAAGGGGGATCATGGCACCAACCATTGTTTGGTCTTATTTGGTCTTAAAAGGTTCCATATTTAACCTTCTTTTGTATTCGTTCCTCTGTTTTTGCTTTTGATAACATAGATTTAAATTCCTTAAGGAAATATTCATAGTATGTAATTGTCAAATCCAAGATGTTAACATGTTGTTCTTTTTCTTCTAAAGTAGCCATTTTTTATTCTGATCAGTCCCAGAATAAAAATATCATAGCTAGGCCCCAAGGAGAACTGACATAGCAAATCTGAGAAAGATACATCCATGCAGTAGTTCTCAAAAAATAGCATTACAAACTCTCATTGTCTAAATCGAAGAATTTGCCAGCTATTTTAGAAGAGAACCTATATCTATCTGTATCATCTTTAAATGTATTTATCCAATATACCTATATATTTATCTGTGTTTATCCAATATACCTATATATCTATCTGTGTTTATCCAATTTACCTATATATCTATTCAATTTACCAATATATTTATCTGTATTTATCCAATATACCTATATATTTACCTGTATTTATCCAATTCACTCATGTATTTATCCAATTTACCTGTAATATTTTCTGTACTTATTCAATTTACCTAAATATGTATCTGTATCTATCATATTTATCTGTATTTATCATATTTATGTCTATTTATCATATATATCTCTATATTTGTATTTATCATGTTAATTTGTATATTATCTTTATCTATCATTAATTTGGCAGTGAGCTCACCAATATAAAATGCCATTATTTTGTAATAAGTAATGTATAGGCGCCCTGGGCTGATCACAGATAAATACAAAAGATATGTTCAATGACAGAGACACTGAAATTAACTTTTCATAATAAAGATGTTGACGTCTTGGCAGATATTGGAACTCTCCACTTCACATGTATGTCCAACAAGGTGTATGTTTTAGTAGTTTATACCTATACAGAGCTGATTTTCCCAGTCACGGTACTGATGCTGGCTACACTGGCGAACACATGTGTCTCCAGACAGCAATAGGGCGGGACCACACTTGTAGCACTGCACAGGTGAGTCACACTGCACACACCCACCACCGCACTCTGAAATACATGTTAGCACACACTCACAAAAGCTCCACACAGGTGTGTGATCTACAAGTACTATTAATTGACAATGACTAGACAGCTCAGTTTGTATAGCTCTGGTCTGGTTTGCAGATAACCATGCCAACAGGCTGTTTTAGAAGACAATGATATCAACACAGAATTCCAATTTGCACACTATACAAGAGAGACACTTCATACAGGCTTGGCAACATACATCAAGTCAATCTTACAAAATCTGAAATAAAGTTAAAATGACAGATAACAACAGATGACAGGACAGATAAAGCCATGTATTGCCAGCATTCTAATTCTCCATCCCAGGCAAGCATGAGTAACAAAGGGCCATAACTCTGTCAAATATGTCAGGGCGTGAAAACTAATTTCAACACTTGGCACTGCATAAAAATGTGCTCACTCAAAATAATTCAACGTTGTAAGATAAAAGTATCTGAAGTAAGTCCCACATGGAAATGACACATGGTGAACATAGGGACATAATTCTGTACAGTGTGAAGCATGAGGCCTGATTTCTGTCAGGGAAACTACCATTCCGAGTGGTACTCACCTACTTAATAGCCAATTATAGAAATTGATGCACTGTGAACAAAGGGCCATAACTCTGTAGGTATTGGTGTACAAGATCTGTTTTCATTATCATGCACAGCATATTGTAAGATAGTACTCATGATCCCATCAAATTACAGCAACAAAAAAAAATGATTAAGCACAGCTAAGGCATGCTATAACATCAGTTCAAATATTTCTGAGAATTGAAAACTTTCAGGAGTGATAGCCTTTGTTAAAATGCCTTTTAAGTTAATCACGTCAGGTTTTATTTAAAGCATTAATTACTGTTATTGACATGTTATTAGCACAGCATTCTATTAAAAATGACTTTTTCACCTTAATATTGATCTTACCTCACCCAAATCTCTAAAGTTCTACCTGTATCTTGCCCGATCAAAATTTCTACTATTCTACTTGTACCAGTGTTTGTTTCACCTAATCAAAATCTCCACTATTCTACCTGTAATTATCTCATCTGATTCAAATCTATTATTCTACATTTCATTATCTCACTATTCACATTTCTACTACTCTACCTGAAATTATTTTAATCACCTGACCTCAAATCTGTAATTTTACCTCTGATAATTGCACGAGATCAAAATCTCTAGTTTTACCAATAATTACCCTACCTGATCAAAACACCTGCTATTCTACCAGCAATTATCACAACTGATTGAAAACTCTTCTATTCTAGATATAATTACCTTACCTAATCAAAATATGTTTTGTTCAACCTCTACTTATCTCACTTGATTCAAATCTCTATATTGTTTTACCTGCATGTAATAAAATACACCTGCCATAATCTCACCTGATCAAAATCTCTATAACTCTACCCCTAGTTATCTCACTTGATTAACCCTTCCACCTGTAACTATCTCATCAGAGTCATGACTTACCTTTACAGATCTGGTCCTCCACATAATGTCCTATTGGACAACGTCTCATACAGAGACTATCAAACGCCACCATGGTAGGGTCTGTACATGTTGTACACACCGAATCCCTGCCACGGGGACCAGTAAAACATTTGGAACAGCCAAATTCACAACCTGATAAAAAAAGGAATGGGCCTAGCTTTTATTTCAGAAATATCACAAAAAATGTCTGTATTGTATACATCACAAACAAATCCGTAAGTAATTTAAGAAATGATTTTTATTTTTTCAACATTCATGAGGTCATAAGAACACGGAGTGTCTAGACACGTTCATCATGAATCACTAAATCTTTCTATATCTTTACATTAGAACTGACTTGATGTGTGTGAGTAAAGCTAACAATACACACAGCATTTAATACATTTGTATGTGCACAAAAATGTCTATTGTACTGACCCACACACAAATCTATGTATTGTAATGACCCATAAAAATCTATGTATTGTACTAACCCACACACAAATCTATGTATTGTATCATTGTACTAACCCACACACAAATCTATGTTTTGTATCATTGTAATAACCCACACACAAATCTATGTTTTGTATCATTGTAATAACCCACACACAAATCTATGTTTTGTACTAACCCACACACAAATCTATGTTTTGTACTAACCCACACACAAATCTATGTTTTGTATCATTGTAATAACCCACACACAAATCTATGTTTTGTACTAACCCACACACAAATCTATGTTTTGTATCAACAATTTAATGATATAATGATTAACATCACAACCTTCATGGACTTACTATGACAGGAGCCATCTCTCTTCAGGTACTGGCCTTCAGCGCATGGCATGCGACAACGTCCCCTCTTACTGAGCCGAACTCTCTCTATACAGGAGGTACATTTGGTATCCTCAGGACCAGTACATGTATGACAGCTTATGTGACATCCTGAGCACAGATAATCGTCAGAGTGAATTTGAGTAATTTTATTGTTGACAGGTAGCTGAACAATTATAACAAAAGTAACAGCAGTAAAACACCAATGTCTTAAATCTAAATGGTATGTGTAGAATCACCATGTCTATAATCTTATCATTTGTATACCTATCAAAATATGCTCCTACGATCAACAACTTACGCAAACAAAATCCATCAGCGTGGGCGTAGAAGCCATTAGGACATTCAGACAGACACTGTGTCCGATGAAGCACAAATCCTGCGAAACAACTGGTACACGACCCTCCATCACCCGAACATGTCTTACAGGTTGGTGGACACTCTATGAAAAGTGAAAAAAATATTTAATTACACAATGTTGTAAATTCAAAGTAATTAATCATTGCATAACTCATAAAAAATCACTGACACTCTCTGGATGTGTAATTGTGATTTTTACATATTTAGACATTTCTTGTTCTTAATTCACTTACCTGGCCACTCCTTGTCCCTGAGTTACTTACCTGGTCACTCTTTGTCCCCGAGTTACTTACCTGGTCACTCTTTGTCCCTGAGTTACATACCTAGACACTCCTTGTCCCTGAGTTACTAACCTGGTCACTCTTTGTCCCTGAGCTATATACCTAGACACTCCTTGTCCCTGAGTTACATACCTAGACACTCCTTGTCCCTGAGTTACTTACCTAGACACTCCTTGTCCCTGAGTTACATACCTAGACACTCCTTGTCCCTGAGTTACTTACCTAGACACTCCATGTTCTGAGTTACATACCTAGACACTCCTTGTCCCTGAGTTACATACCTAGACACTCCTTGTCCCTGAGTTACATACCTAGACACTCCTTGTCCCTGAGTTACTTACCTAGACACTCCTTGTCCCTGAGTTACTTACCTGGTCACTCTTTGTCCCTGAGTTACATACCTAGACACTCCTTGTCCCTGAGTTACATACCTAGACACTCCTTGTCCCTGAGTTACTTACCTGGTCACTCTTTGTCCCTGAGTTACATACCTAGACACTCCTTGTCCCTGAGTTACTTACCTGGTCACTCTTTGTCCCTGAGCTATATACCTAGACACTCCATGTTCTGAGTTACATACCTAGACACTCCTGGTCCCTGAGTTACATACCTAGACACTCCTTGTCCCTGAGTTACTTACCTAGACAGTCCTTGTCCCTGAGTTACTTACCTGGTCACACCTTGTCCCTGAGTTACATACCTAGACACTCTTTGTCCTTGAGTTACATACCTAGACACTCCTTGTCCCTGAGTTACTTACCTCGACACTCCTTGTCCCTGAGTTACATACCTAGACACTCTTTGTCCCTGAGTTACTTACCTAGACACTCCTTGTCCCTGAGTTACTTACCTAGACACCCCTTGTCCCTGAGTTACATACCTAGACACTCCTTGTCCCTGAGTTACTTACCTGGTCACTCTTTGTCCCTGAGTTACATACCTAGACACTCCTTGTCCCTGAGTTACATACCTAGACACTCCTTGTCCCTGAGTTACATACCTAGACACCCCTTGTTCCTGAGTTACATACCTAGACACCCCTTGTTCCTGAGTTACATACCTAGACACCCCTTGTTCCTGAGTTACATACCTAGACACCCCTTGTTCCTGAGTTACATACCTAGACACTCTTTATTCCTGAGGTAGTAGTTTGATTGGCATGCATCAACACACTGGCCCTCCTGGAGCACCTGCCCTGGGTTTGAACAGGACTGACATTCTTGGCTTCCTGGCCCCACACAGAAGCTACAACTGCTGTGACAATCTGTTAAGCAAAGTAAATTTTAACATTTTCTATGCAAAGTCTTATACAACACCAAAGTATCAGACTTACAGCCATCTCAAATATATGTTTTAACATGATTGTCAATATTATTAGTTTGTATGTAGAATCCCTACTCCCCAGTCTAATTAAGTCTGTGCCCCATCACAGACAGTTTGTTTGTTTCGGCTTGCTTACCAACACACTGGCCACCGTCCTGGAAGTAGTTCCTGTCACACCTAGGTACACACTGTCCATTCCTCCACAGCAGTCCTGGCTTACACTTCACACAATGGTGGCGTGTTCCATCTACACAGGTCTGACATGTCTCATGGCAAGCTGACAGCACACAAAATCAGACAAGCTCCATTTAAGATGTCCTAATGCTTTACAGCAGTGAGTTAAAACCTTAACCCTGTATTATATTGGGGTCTAATTTAAAAGATATCAGGTATATTGGTCAGTAGGCACAAAGATGAACATTTGCACTAGTTTTGGTCCAAATTAACAAGTGTAGTGGGCAAAACTTAATTAACAAATATCAAGATCATCTCAAATTTTTAATCACAATGGTAGAGAAGAGGATGAGGGTAAACTTATTCATGTGTCAACTGTTTCATGAAACTTAAGAATGACTAGTTTTGGGTCTCAATGGATTGAAGTTTAAATACAAACCCTGACATTGGCTGTTTCGAGTAGCAAACATTCCTTCCGTACAGCCAGGAACACATCTACCATCCTCCACCAACATGCTGGACACATGACACTTGGTACACTGCTTGGGGTCATCAGGAGAACAGGTGAGACACATGTCTGCACATGGCACTGAAATTATTATAACAGATATCGTATAGACATATATATATCTGAAGATCCTCTCACAGTTCTAGAGACGTAAGATTGACCCACAGTTCTAGAGACGTAAGATCGACTCACAGTTCTAGAGACGTAAGATCGACTCACAGTTCTAGAGACGTAAGATCGACTCACAGTTCTAGAGACGTAAGATTGACTCACAGTTCTAGAGACGTAAGATCGACTCACAGTTCTAGAGACGTAAGATTGACCCACAGTTCTAGAGACATAAGATTGACTCACAATTCCAGAGACGTAAGATCGACTCACAGTTCTAGAGACGTAAGATCGACTCACAGTTCTAGAGACGTAAGATCGACTCACAGTTCTAGAGACGTAAGATCAACTCACAGTTCTAGAGACGTATCAGATGAAGAGGACATGATAAAGAAACAGTCAGAGTAATCTAGACCTATTAGGATTAGCTCAAATTGAATCCATTACATACTTGGTTCACACTGTCCACAGCATTCTCCTGGCTGAAGGACGGACACACTTCCCTCCGGACAGACTGGACAGGAGTTCTGGTAACATACTGATTCTCCATCCTTACAGTTACATACAGAACAGGGGTCTGGGTGCCATGTCTCTCCATCCTTAAGACAGAAAAACAGACTGAAATATTCCACAAGCTTCAAAACATTACTATTCCAAACGGGGTTGTATAAGGAAGGGGGTCCTGAAGAGAATGTATAGAGATAGGGGCCCTGAGGATATTGTATACAGATGGGGTCCTGAGGATTTTGTATACAGATGGGGGTTCTGAAGAGAATGTACAAAGATAGGAATCCTGAGGATATTGTATAAGGATGGGGGTTCTGAAGAGAATGTATAGAGATAGGGGCCCTGAGGATATTGTATACAGATGGGGGTTCTGAAGAGAATGTATAGAGATAGGGGCCCTGAGGATATTGTATAAGGATGGGGGTTCTGAAGAGAATGTATAGAGATAGGGGCCCTGAGGATATTGTATAAGGATGGGGGTCTTGAAGAGAATGTATAGAGATAGTGGTCCTGAGGATACTGTATACAGATGGGGGTCCTGAAGAGAATGTATAGAGATAGGGGTCCTGAGGATATTGTATACAGATGGGGGTTCTGCGGATATTGTATAAGGATGGGGGTCCTGAATAGAATGTATAGAGATAGGGGTCCTGAGGATACTGTATACAGATGTGGGTCCTGAAGAGATCTTATACAGATTAGGGGAGGTCCTAAGGATATTGTATATGGAAGGGGGTCCATAAGAGATTCTAAGATAATAATTTATAGGTAAAGAAAGAGAAAATGATAAAACTGGTAAGGAAAACAAGAGAAAGGTGGATGATTGGTGATAACTATGTAACAAGCCAGGCTGAATGCAGGCCCATATTACCTTGTAGTTGTCACCAGCAAAGTCACAGTTGGGTGGTTCTACACATTCGGGACAACACTTGCCTGGGGACTGCACCAGGACCTGGTCCTATAGATAAAAGAAATACATCACTTACATAACACAATGCATTGTAAGCAATATCAATTCCATTGTGGTTTACAATAACCAAATCCTGAGACACAATTTTCAGTTTTTGAAACATATGTACCTAGCATCTTAACCAATGGGTCTGAAATCTGAGGTTTACATAAGGAACAGATCTTGTTGTTCATTTGTAAAACATTAATAGGTGTCCTTAAAAATAATCCCAATGGTATGGTGGATTTTAATAAATACCTTTTACATATCACTTGTAAAGAGAGAATAATTAAGTTGTGGTTAAAATAGAGCTGTATAATACATGTTACAAATGAGATGTAACAAAACAATGATAATAGGTTGATAAGATACTCCTTCCTAATGCTATATTTCACCTCTGTAGAGTCACTATCCCCACTGGGTGAATGTAATCATGTCAGCATGTTTGTGTGTATTGTTTATACTTGTATACTGATGAACCAAAACAGAATTGAATTGTCCTAGATGTATAATAGAAGATGTATCGGTGTGTGAAGATCCAAAATCTTCATGGACTGAAGCAACTAGAGTGATGAGAAAGGTTTTCTTAAAATAGTAATTGGTAACCTTGACCTTAAAACCATTTAGTCCTTTATCATAGTGTTAAATTTGACCACTAGATGGTCAGTATAGAAAGGTTTACCTGTACATAACTGTCTAAACCTCAGATAATGTTCAATATTGCCAGCTTTACCTGTACTTACCTGTGTACACCTGAGATAATGGTCAGTGTAAACCAGTTTACCTGTACTTACCTGTGTACACCTGAGATAATGGTCAGTGTAAACCAGTTTACCTGTACTTACCTGTGTACACCTGAGATAATGGTCAGTATAAACCAGTTTACCTGTACTTACCTGTGTACACCTGAGATAATGGTCAGTATAAACCAGTTTACCTGTACTTACCTGTGTACACCTGAGATAATGGTTGGTATAACCAGTTTACCAGTACTTACCTGTGTACACCTGAGATAATGATAAGTATAAACCAGTTTACCTGTACTTACCTGTGTACACCTGAGATAATGGTCAGTATAAACCAGTTTACCTGTACTTACCAGTGTACACCTGAGATAATGGTTGGTATAAACCAGTTTACCTGTACTTACCTGTGTACACCTGAGATAATGGTCAGTGTAAACCAGTTTACCTGTACTTACCTGTGTACACCTGAGATAATGGTCAGTATAAACCAGTTTACCTGTACTTACCTGTGTACACCTGAGATAATGGTTGGTATAACCAGTTTACCTGTACTTACCTGTGTACACCTGAGATAATGGTCAGTATAAACCAGTTTACCTGTACTTACCTGTGTACACCGGAGATAATGGTCAGTATAAACCAGTTTACCTGTACTTACCTGTGTACACCTCAGATAATGGTCAGTATAAACCAGTTTACCTGTACTTACCTGTGTACACCAGAGATAATGGTCAGTATAAACCAGTTTACCTGTACTTACCTGTGTACACCTGAGATAATGGTCAGTATAAACCAGTTTACCTGTACTTACCTGTGTACACCGGAGATAATGGTCAGTATAAACCAGTTTACCTGTACTTACCTGTGTACACCGGAGATAATGGTCAGTATAAACCAGTTTACCTGTACTTACCTGTGTACACCTGAGATAATGGTTGGTATAACCAGTTTACCAGTACTTACCAGTGTACACCTGAGATAATGGTCAGTGTAAACCAGTTTACCTGTACTTACCAGTGTACACCTGAGATATTGGTCAGTATAAACCAGTTTACCTGTACTTACCTGTGTACACCTGAGATAATGGTCAGTATAAACCAGTTTACCTGTACTTACCTGTGTACACCGGAGATAATGGTCAGTATAAACCAGTTTACCTGTACTTACCTGTGTACACCGGAGATAATGGTCAGTATAAACCAGTTTACCTGTACTTACCTGTGTACACCTGAGATAATGATAAGTATAAACCAGTTTACCTGTACTTACCTGTGTACACCGGAGATAATGGTCAGTATAAACCAGTTTACCTGTACTTACCTGTGTACACCTGAGATGCTCACAGACTGCTGTGTGACACTGGACTTGTCCATTTTGACACATACAAAACTCACAACTGGACACATTCCATATGTCACCATGGTACCGCATTGGTCGTTCAGTCACACATGCATCTGTGAAATTCAAAGTCTCAAATGAAAATCCATTCAAACCTGTAACTGCCATGATAATCAGTTATGGGCTGGAATTACTCCAATAGCTTTCAATTTTATTGGGCTATGGGCTGGCAGTACTCCAATTGCCTTCAATTTTGTTAGTCTATGGGCTCAAATTACTCCAATAGCTTTAAGATTTGTTAGGCTGTAGGCTAAAATTATCAAATCAAAATATCCCAATATCAGAGTTATACTGGTATAGGCTGATGGGACTGTATTGATATCACTGGATAATTATCAAGGATATATCTATAAAGCATCTTAGAATGTAAACAGTCACAGCATATTGCATCTAAAGCTTCTAGACTGACAAACTGACAGAGGGACAAATATCTCCTACAGGCAAGTATTCTATCTAAAGTCTCAAGAGAGACAAACTGACAGAGGGACAAATATCTCCTACAGGCAAGTATTCTATCTAAAGTCTCAAGAGAGACAAACTGACAGAGGGACAAATATCTCCTACAGGCAAGTATTCTATCTAAAGCTTCAAGACTGACAAACTGACAGAGGGACAAATATCTCCTACAGGCAAGTATTCTATCTAAAGTCTCAAGAGAGACAAACTGACAGAGGGACAAATATCTCCTACAGGCAAGTATTCTATCTAAAGCTTCAAGACTGACAAACTGACAGAGGGAGAAATATCTCCTACAGGCAAGTATTCTATCTAAAGCTTCAAGACTGACAAACTGACAGAGGGAGAAATATCTCCTACAGGCAAGTATTCTATCTAAAGCTTCAAGACTGACAAACTGACAGAGGGAGAAATATCTCCTACAGGCAAGTATTCTATCTAAAGCTTCAAGAGACACAAACTGACAGAGAGAGAAATATCCCCTTCAGGCAAGTATTCTATCTAAAGCTTCTAGACTGACAAACTGACAGAGGGAGAAATATCTCCTACAGGCAAGTATTCTATCTAAAGCTTCAAGGGAGACAAACTGACAGAGGGAGAAATATCTCCTACAGGCAAGTATTCTATCTAAAGCTTCAAGACTGACAAACTGACAGAGGGAGAAATATCTCCTACAGGCAAGTATTCTATCTAAAGCTTCAAGAGACACAAACTGACAGAGAGAGAAATATCCCCTTCAGGCAAGTATTCTATCTAAAGCTTCTAGACTGACAAACTGACAGAGGGAGAAATATCTCCTACAGGCAAGTATTCTATCTAAAGCTTCAAGGGAGACAAACTGACAGAGGGACAAATATCTCCTACAGGCAAGTATTCTATCTAAAGCTTCAAGAGAGACAAACTGACAGAGGGAGAAATATCCCCTTCAGGCAAATATTCTATCTAAAGCTTCAAGCGAGACAAACTGACAGAGAGAGAAATATCTCCCACAGGCAAGTATTCTATCTAAAGTCTCAAGAGAGACAAACTGACAGAGAGAGAAATATCTCCTACAGGCAAGTATTCTATCTAAAGCTTCAAGCGAGACAAACTGACAGAGGGAGAAATATCTCCTACAGGCAAGTATTCTATCTAAAGCTTCAAGCGAGACAAACTGACAGAGAGAGAAATATCCCCTTCAGGCAAGTATTCTATCTAAAGCTTCAAGCGAGACAAACTGACAGAGGGAAAAATATCTCCTACAGGCAAGTATTCTACCTAAAGCTTCATGCGAGACAAACTGACAGAGGGAAAAATATCTCCTACAGGCAAGTATTCTATCTAAAGCTTCAAGAGAGACAAACTGACAAAGAGAGAAATATCTCCTACAGGCAAGTATTCTATCTAAAGCTTCAAGCGAGACAAACTGACAGAGAGAGAAATATCTCCTACAGGCAAGTATTCTATCTAAAGCTTCAAGAGACACAAACTGACAGAGGGAGAAATATCCCCTTCAGGCAAGTATTCTATCTAAAGCTTCAAGCGAGACAAACTGACAGAGAGAGAAATATCTCCCACAGGCAAGTATTCTATCTAAAGCTTCAAGCGAGACAAACTGACAGAGAGAGAAATATCTCCTACAGGCAAGTATTCTATCTAAAGCTTCAAGAGAGACAAACTGACAGAGGGAGAAATATCCCCTTCAGGCAAGTATTCTATCTAAAGCTTCAAGAGAGACAAACTGACAGAGGGAGAAATATCCCCTTCAGGCAAGTATTCTATCTAAAGCTTCAAGAGAGAAAAACTGACAGAGGGAGAAATATCCCCTTCAGGCAAGTATTCTATCTAAAGCTTCAAGAGAGACAAACTGACAGAGGGAGAAATATCCCCTTCAGGCAAGTATTCTATCTAAAGCTTCAAGAGAGACAAACTGACAGAGGGAGAAATATCTCCCACAGGCAATTATTCTATCTAAAGCTTCAAGAGAGACAAACTGACAGAGGGAGAAATATCCCCTACAGCAATGTATTCTATCTAAGTTTAAAGACACATTACATGTGTTGAAATGATTATGACACTCAACTGAGCAGTGTGAATAGACAAGGTTCAACACCTTTCTCCTTAAATCATAGATAGATAGAGCTTTAAGCAAAACAGAATGTACACAGTATATAACCTTTTTGATTTAGAAATCACTTTTAAAAAACATTACACAGGATTATAAGGACAGACTGTCTACCGAAAGGGCGGAAGGGATCGGGTGGGTGGAAGAGAAATCAGCGGGAGACAAATTTAATGGGGAAGGGGAGTGAGGTGTTACATAATCAAGCATAAATTTTGTTTCTACAGTAAATATTTAACATACAGCGAATGTTGTTCTCTCATCAGATAACATTCACTCACTGTTTATAAATTTCACACTTGAGAGGGTGGGAGGGAAAGGGGGATGGATAAGGTCGAACATACACAACTGTCTGTCCAAATTATCAAGATTAAGCTCTTAAATCACATACTTGTATTTTTTTACAAGGCATTAGGAAAAAGTATATCCAGACTTAAATCAATTGTTACGAGGTCAGACAATTCTAGACAGTAAGATTCCAACAGACATAATGTCACTTTGAAATGAAATCTGATGATTACGTATGCAATCTGTTGATATTTACAAAAGATAAAGTCATTAACAATAAAATAACCATTAGTTGTAAATAAAATGTGTTTTGAATTGATTCATGCACCATTAAACCACAGACACAGCAAAATCCTAAAATCTTTTTTTCAAAAAAATAATATTCTGTCAGCATTATATTATTTTCTAACCTGGAAACAGATATAATGCCAGAAGAGAAACCTATTTAATCACTTTCTTTTGGTGGGGATTGGATTTCTCAGAGTAGATATAAAAAAAAACAAAAAAAGATTAACTTGGAAAGACTCTTATGTAAAATCAACGTCTTAAAGAAAAGAAAAGCACTTAAACTTATTGTCTCTAGGTAGACACATGCTTTTCTTAGTATATATATTTATAGGACAGACACTTACCGTCTCTTAACAGACACATGCTTTTCTTAGTATATATATTTATAGGACAGACACTTACTGTCTCTAGGTAGACACATACTTCTCTTTGTATATATATTTATAGGACAGACACTTACTGTCTCTAGGTAGACACATACTTCTCTTTGTAGATATATGTATAGGACAGACACTTACTGTCTCTAGGTAGACACATGTTTTCCTAGTATATATATTTATAGGACAGACACTTACTGTCTTGAGGTGCACAAGTACTTTCCTTGGTATATATTTTTATAGGGAAGACACTTACTTTCTTTCTAAGTAGAAAAATACTTTTCTGTGTAGATATTTTTACAATGAAGAAACTTACTCTCTCTTGGTAGACACTCTGTACAGCATTCACCCTCCCGAGTAATATTCATTTCAGTCTGGAAAAACACAATAAAAAATGAAAAAAAAAACTACCATAACAATGGAACAATGTAAGTTTCACAATTTTTCATATGAAACCAGCAATAAAAATTACCATAAAAATTTCAATGAAATATTAATGTGAAAATTAAAATGCTGATTTGAATAAAACTTTGATTGAATGCCACAATGTCTTATGTCTATGTATTTGACTACTTTTGTATTATGTTTTAATTATCAACTTTATGTAAATATCTAATAGTTATCATGTTTTTATTACTTCACATTACTCAATTGTGACTCTGCACTTTAGCTCAAAAAATCTATAATATGTAGCATGCCCTAGTTATCATTTGAAGCATTATCAATGAGAAATAAGACATATGATGTCTACTTCTGGTAACTGGGGCCATTAAAGGCATAGTCATGAAATAATGTCTACATCAGGAAACACAACGTACCAACAAAGAGATATGTGTATGTCAATTCTAGTAAATAGATCCTATTTACAAACACTTATCAAACTTTTATCAAAACTGAGATCTAGTTAAATATATTTGTGTTAGTCAGTAGGTTATGTCACTAAAGTTCATAAGATGTAACACCTGTGCACCTGGGCTTACCTCATTTCTCAGGTTCAGCTATAGGTATACAGGTACAGGTATTTTAAAGAACATGATATAAATATGAATATATGTTGACTCATTATAGTCTAAGTCCAGGATCAATCTCTTCTTACAAGGAATCAAATTTGTGACACTTTCTTTTAATGATACAACATGTTACCTCAGACACTGGTGTTGGACAGGATTGTAATCAACAAAAGATCAATATTTCTATGTCTTATCAATATTCACCTAACAATATCATTTGATTTGATCCGTTAGTGTTGTGTTGGAATGAAATGTGTCCAACTAAGATGATTATTAGGAATACAGACTAGTAAATGTGTGTAAGACATGAAAACCCCCTCATACGTAGAAGGATTGCAAAAGTATATAGACTGAAAGGATAAAGAAATGCAACTTATCTAATTGTAAAATATTTTGTATTGAATATACGTAGCCGTGTAAAAAAGAAAGAGAAATATTAGGTTACCTTACCTAATCCCCCAATAAATGTTAAAAATCTCTCATCTGTGACAAAAAACCAGGAATTTAATCGTTGCATGCTATTGAGATGAGATCCTGAGGCCTCGTGTTGTGCCCTCATTATAAGGCACCATTTGACCTTTCAGTATGATAACACTAGGCCAAACATTGCAAGGGTTTGTAGGGACGTTCTTGTAACCCTGTACATTGTCCCTATACATTGGCCTCCATAAAGCCATGACTGGTCTGCAATCCAACACTTGTGGGACGAATTAGACAGAAGAGTTCAGAATCAAGCACACATCCCATATAACCACCACCTATTGGCCATCAAACATACAGAGGAACCAGATTATTCCATAACTCTGAAAAAACCACCAATGGCAGGTCAGAAATTTGAGGACATTACACCTGCTTCAGTCCAACTCCAAGAAATATTTTCTTACCTTGGCACATTTGAGTTCAGGCATGCATTCCTTTGAACGACAGACCGTGGCACCATTGATACACACACAGTATGTACATGGGTCTCGTTTCCATTGGTCACCGTCCTGGGAAGAAACCAATATATCATCAACATCTGATTGCCAGTCCTTTATTTACCAATATTTTACAGTATTCTTGTATATATAGTGACGATTTGATATATACATGTATTACCTGTGACATCATGTAGAATAGTACAAAACAACATTTCAATAGTTTTACCACTGATTAACCTACCTGTAGATTACTTTAAATATGTCCCTGTAATTTACAGGACATTCTATATATATTGTCCTGTGAGTAATTGAGATTATCACACATCAACTGTAAACATATTACTACACATATTACCTACACATATTACTACACATATTACCTACACATATCACCTACACATATTACCTACACATATCACTACACATATTACCTACACATATCACCTACACATACACCTATCACATCAAACATAATGAAAATAAAGGTGATCAAGGAACATATTGTAATGATCATATGTTACATATGGTGTAGGACTGTCAGAAAAACTAGAGGCACATACAGTGTCATATGTGAGTTAAGACTGTCAGATAAACTAGAGACACACATCCAGTCTCACATGTGAGTTAAGACTGTCAGATAAACTAGAGACACACATCCAGTGTCACATGTGAGTTAAGACTGTCAGATAAACTAGAGGCACACATCCATTGTCACATGTGAGTTAAGACTGTCAGATAAACTAGAGGCACACATCCAGTGTCACATGTGAGGTAAGACTGTCAGATAAACTAGAGGTACATCCAGTGTCACATGTGAGGTAAGACTGTCAGATAAACAAGAGGTACATCCATTGTCACATGTGAATTAAGACTGTCAGGAAAACTTAAAATCAGATAGATGTATTGATTTTGAATACATCAGAAGAAATGATGAACAAAAAGCAATGGGACGGTTGTTATATATGCCTTTAAAAGCCACAGTGACACAGAAAGATACACTCTTAATATTTCTGAACTTGAAAAGTTTTCTTCATTTTCAGCATACAAACTTGAAAAAAATCTTACTAGGACAGAAAAGACTGACCATGGAGTCAGCGAGTTGTAAAATTGTCCTTCCTGTGACATTCTCCTTATACTAATGGGGTTCTGTGTAAGCTATACATATAATTATAATCATCGTGTTTAACTAGTCATGAATATTATTGATAATTATCAACCTGGCATCAATGATGAATAGGTCTCAGTCTTACTTGCCAATATACATTAAAATCTAATTATCAAGCCCAAGTTTCAAACTTTTTCAAAACTTTATTTGTTCTAGAATAAAAGTTCTTATAACACAACCAGTTGAAGATTTGAGTGTGCTGTTTCAATGACTAAATGGTCACTTTCATCAGAAAAATGATTTTTCTGATGAAGATGACAATGAAGTCATCAAAATATCACACTCAAATTTTCCACTTGTTGTGTTTTAAAGAACTTAAATTCTATTATTACCAACATAACCAACCCGAAAAAAAAGTTCTGAAATATCTTGGTTCTAGTATGGTTTTTTGTCTTATTTTTAACATGCATTCTAGATATCAAGGTTTATGCAGTCTGAATGTATATAAAGCAAAAGGCCCAACAATGGATCACCTTACAGTAAAGTCCTGTAGGAGCTTTAATTGTGACTACAACAATTACCAGAAACACTCTTATCACTGATAAATTACCAAGATTACTACTAAACCAATAAGACTTTTTTAATTTGAGCTTCTGAATACTCCTCTGATACTTCAGCTCAGTCGCACCACTAGAACTGCAAGAGTAGTTTAAAGTGGTGCAGTGGTGGCCATCTTGGATTTTGAACCAACTCAAAACTCAGACAAGTTTCAACAAAAGCTGTTTAATCCTGTTACCTAATAGTGACCAGACAACAACACATTTTCAGTGGACACCAGTGGATAAGAAGAAGTTTAAAATGAGTTTAAAATCCTTCATGTATTGTTGACCAACCTCAAAAAATACAACATTTTTTTGTAAATCATAGGATCATTTCAGGGAAGTTTCAATTAAAACTCACTGGTGAAACTTGAAAAGTAGTTTGAAATGTGAACAGTTTTATACATGATGGACAGAGCACAATGTATGACTCATGTTAAACAACACATACATGAAAAATGAAACAGACATTTTACATACTTCTTTAAAGGAGTTAATATGTCCAATTGTTTTCTAATAACAAATATATTGTTTGCTCTGGACTATCAATGTTGAATCTGAAATGTACATTTCCCCTAAAATAATGACAGATGAAGGTAAACCCTTGGTATACACAGGAAGTCTGTCTGTGTACCTATTTTGTATTGTACATGTTGGTCTATACAGGTATCCCCCATGCAACATGGTGGATCTGTGTACCTACCTTGTATCATATGCGTTGGTCTGTACAGGTAGCCCCTACACAACATGGTGGATCTGTGTACCTACCTTGTATCGTATGCGTTGGTCTGTACAGGTAGCCCCCACACAACATGGTGGATCTGTGTACCTACCTTGTATTGTACATGTTGGTCTGTACAGGTAGCCCCCACACAACATGATGGGTCTGTGTACCTACCTTGTATCGTATGCGTTGGTCTGTACAGGTAGCCCCCACACAACGTGGACAACAAAAACCAGGTGCTCTCTCCATCTGTTGATCCTGAATTAGAAAAATTTATTAAACTTTAATATATGAAATTGATCCAAAGTTCCAAAGTATGTCAAACAATCATTACACTAATTATATATCTTGTAGTACTGGAAAATCACAGAAGTACGGTTTTTTTTATTAACAACTGATGTAAATTTGCCAAGAAACAATGACAGGAGAAAAGAATTTATATTTTTACTTGTCAAAAAGCAACATCAGATGAATGTGAATTTGTACTTTATACAGATTTTGACATGGAGATATACTTCAGACATTCTTTTATTACTGATGTAATTAGCTAACTGTACAGCTAGGTAGAGTACTTCCATTGACAACACTGGGTGAGCACCAGATGTAGCTTCCTAACTGTACAGCTAGGTAGAGTACTTCCATTGATAATACTGTGAGAGCACCAGATGTAGCTTCCTAACTGTACAGCTAGGTAGAGTACTGTCATTGATAATACTGGGTGAGCACCAGATGTAGCTTCCTAACTGTACAGCTAGGTAGAGTACTTCCATTGACAACACTGGGTGAGCACCAGATGTAGCTTCCTAACTGTACAGCTAGGTAGAGTACTGCCATTGACAACACTGGGTGAGCACCAGATGTAGCTTCCTAACTGTACAGCTAGGTAGAGTACTGTCATTGATAACACTGGGTGGGCACCAGATGTAGCTACTGAACTGTACAGCTAGGTAGAGTACTGCAATTGACAACACTGGGTGGGCACCAGATGTAGGTACCTAACTGTGCATCTAGGTAGAGTACTTTTATTTATAACACTAGGTGAGCACCAGATGTAGGTACCCAACTGTACAGCTAGGTTGATTTCATAGACAGAAAAGTTTGGTAGATCGCACACTGAATGAACACTATTTTGGAAGGTTTTTACTTTTTTGGTCAGAACTTCCACGACTTATTTAGTTAGCATTAATGAACCCTTTGTAGCTGTACAAGATGTGACATATTACATACTTCATAGCTGTCCTGACCTAATTCTTGTTTTTAATACAAAAAAATTCTGGTCATAAATCTTCCAACTAGAACACATATCACTTCCAATTATCTTCCATCAAGTAGGACACCACAGAAAATCCTGTCAGAAATCTGAACTAAATTCCCCAGGAAAACACTAATTCATGACTGCTAATGGGGAAGGCCTACCCCATTGATCTGAGCATCATCTTGGTCTGTCTCTGAATCTTTGACAGAGAGAGTGCTGGTGGTGATATGGGACATACTCTGTGCTAGAGACATGGCTCCAGTGGTCTCCTGTGTAAGTGCCTCTCATGACAAGCACACAATACAAAACATGGCCTGGCCTGGGTTGCTCTCATTTAGTCTGGTCAGATTGCATTGTTCTGGTATCAAACTTTGGTCTTATCTGGTCTGTCCTCATCGCTCTGGCCCAAAAGTTTGGTCTTGTCTGGTCTGTTCTCATTGCTCTCGCCCAAAAAAGTGGTTTTGTCTGGTCTGTTCTCATCGCTCTGGCCCAAAAAAGTGGTTTTGTCTGGTCTGTTCTCATCACTCTGGCCCAGAATATTGGTTGTGCCTGGTTTTATCTCATTGGTCTGGCCCAATAAATTGGTCTTATCTGGTCTCACATTAATGACTTTATTTTTAATGTTTTTAAAAATAGATATAATACCAATCAATGACAACCCATCGTTTGTACAAGTTATCTACAGACAGCTCTTTAAATATAAAGACAACTATTTAGTTTACATGTACAGACAACTATTTCTTTTTCATAGCGTAGATTGTGACTGCAAGCATATAAAAATATCCCTCTATCATCATATGTCATCATTATCATTACCTGATTGTTTAAACAGGGTTAATACATACAAAACCTCAACACCTTAAAATCTAACAATTAAACACAATATTTTTGTTTTTATTCAGATATTTTAACCTAATGGTACTCCCTAACTTCTCTCTATCAGAACACAAGCACTTTCTGATATGCCTATATTGAGGCAAAAGTATACAACAATATAAATTTGTGTAGAGAAAAAAATATGAATCTGAGTATCATTTCTTTACAGTTATAATGCTTCATCTTCTGTCACCATTTCTCCAAAGAAAACACCTACTTTTCCTATCTACACCCAAGACTTATGACTTATCCAGTCCCAGGATATTGTGTCCTTGTCACAACAATGATGTTAAACATCCATCATGTTCATACTAATGCTATCTTCCATCATAGTTTGTTTTACAAATTATCACTTCAATACATTACCTGTTAGGTATGGTACAGTAACACAGTGATTTACCTTTGACCTTGAGGTGATGGTCCTAATACAGTTAGGTATGATATTGTATCACAATGATTAACCTTTGACCTTGAGATTATAATCCTAATACAGTAAGGTATAATATTGTAACACAATGATTAACCTGTGACCTTGAGGTGATGGCCCTAATACATTACGGTACAATATTGTTATAACATGTTTTATTTTTTATTTAGAACATGCCTACTACAGAAATCTACTGTCTTCACATAGTAACAGTAACCTCTATTTCAGTAATTCATTTAGAAGTCACTTCACAGCTATACCCTCCATGGAATGTTAATCCTGTTTGCTATGGAATCACTTTGACAGTGAGTTCCCAGATAGTACTAGTGTCAGATAAATATGATATTGTCTGGCAATATTGCACAAGTAATAAATCATCATTCTTAGGTAATAAAGACATACAAGTGTAGACAAACAACACAGGTGTTTCCTCCACTCCACACTGTAATAGCTTCCTAAACTAGCTGTGAAGAAGAAACAGATACCTGTATGTTCTCCTCACCCAGTGTCACACACAGTTATCTGCCCACTTAAAGATAGTTTATGATCCTAACTGAAGGTTAACAGAAAACCGAAGTATTACAAAATCAATATGAGGTTTCACTTTACCATCTGACTTGGCTATAAACATCAAAACCTCCACACTGGAATGTTCTGTTGGAATGCATCTTAAAACTGTCTTCTTGAAATAATGAAGGTCACACAAAAAATGTGTGTAGCCTTTACAAAATACATTGTCGGGTAAAAAGTCGGAGTAATCAACATGGCTCCCACAGTTCTGACCATTTCATTAATCATTATCAGGACTTTAGGTCCTTCGTATGACCATCTATTTTTATTCAAATGGTTTAAAGAGACACTACACAAGTCACAATGAATCTACTGAGAACTTTCTCATGTAAGGGAACTGAACCTTGCCTTCTGTAAAACTTTAAAGAAAAAGTTTAGGGAAGACCAAACATTTTACAACACACAGGGGTATGATAAAGGTGGTGACATTCCACGTAATAAAATATATGTCAACTTTTAATTTTCCCTCATAAATAGTCTCAGATATATATTCCTGTTTTCTTATCCATATCAGTGATAAATGTACAGTTTGACCAGAAGAAAACTTTAATAAACGTAGTGAGTAGGATCTCAAGCTTCATTTAGAACAGTGACGATATATATATAAAAGATATATTCGTGAGGCTACATCAACAAACAAAGAGTGTGCCAATATGTGGAAGAGTAACTACAGTGACTTGGTTATAACTTCAGAATTTTCATTCTGTGCTAACGAATCATTTACCAGTAGCAATATAACTAGACATCAAACTATTCCGAAGGTCTCATTAAAGTATCCTATCAATATAGATTTTTCAGGGTGTCGAGCTGTCAGAAGACCAAAGACAGCAGCAGAAGAAACCAATATTGAATGTTTATCTCACTTTTATCTGTGTCAAAACACCTTTAAACTATGTTCCGCGTAAAGATGGTGCAACATCTCACAGTAGTTTGTAAGTTTCAAGTGCATTAGTCTACATCAGCTAGACAGCTATATATCAACATTTTCTATAAAGCATATCTACAAGCTGTCAGCCTTAATTGATACGCTATGTACACTTGAATGGTGAACAACCAGGGACACATAATCTGGTACCAAATTCTGCCCCACCCCTACATATCTCTTCTTTAATCCACTCTTTCAGCAGACAACCATGTTTTTATCTATGCTGTCTTGAACACTACATTCCAAATTTAATCCAGACATCCATCAGAATATTAATTAAGTCTAAACTGCAAGATCATATCTAGAAACTATCAAACACATTGCTTGAAAATTTCCTCAGTAATGAATGATAATTCATTAAACATGTTTTGTATATTCAGTGCTCAAATATTTATGGAGTAAAGAATTATTTTCAAGTTCACAACCTTTCAACTGTGAACCATGAACCTTTTAGCTGTAAACCATGAACCTTTTATCTGTAAACCATGAACCTTTTAGCTGTAAACCATGAACCTTTCAGCTGTAAACCATGAACCTTTTAGCTGTAAACCATGAACCTTTCAACTGTAAACCATGGACCATTCAACTGTGAACCAGGGACCTTTCAGCTGTGAACCATCTTAATGTAATCAATAAGCTTTTTAGTTGTAAACCATGAACCATTAAGGTGTAAACCATGAATTTATCACCTGTAAACCATAAACTTGGAGACAGACTAAGGATGGACAGGTAAAATTCTACCTACCTGAGGACAGACCAAAGGTGGACACTGTATAGGGTAGCAGGTTGTTTGGCCATCTCGACACACACACTTAGCACATGGAATAGGCTCCCATTCTGATCCATCCTGGTGCCTTTCTCCATCATAGGAGCATGAACCTGTGATCAAAACATTGTACAAATGTAACTTTGTATGAAGATTTAATATAACATTGTAAACGAAATCTACAAACATGTACCTGTAGGTACATTGTACAACATGAACCTGTAGGTACATTGTACAACATGAACCTGTAGGTACATTGTACAACATGAACCTGTAGGTACATTGTACAACATGAACCTGTAGGTACATTGTACAACAGTAACTGTAGGTACATTGTACAACAGTAACATGTAGGTACATTGTACAACGTGAACCTGTAGGTACATTGTACAACAGTAACATGTAGGTACATTGTACAACATGAACCTGTAGGTACATTGTACAACAGTAACTGTAGGTACATTGTACAACAGTAACATGTAGGTACATTGTACAACGTGAACCTGTAGGTACATTGTACAACAGTAACTGTAGGTACATTGTACAACAGTAACTGTAGGTACATTGTACAACAGTAACATGTAGGTACATTGTACAACAGTAACATGTAGGTACATTATACAACATGATCCTGTAGGTACATTGTACAACAGTAACATGTAGGTACATTGTACAACAGTAACTGTAGGTACATTGTACAACAGTAACATGTAGGTACATTGTACAACGTGAACCTGTAGGTACATTGTACAACAGTAACTGTAGGTACATTATACAACATGATCCTGTAGGTACATTGTACAACAGTAACATGTAGGTACATTGTACAACAGTAACATGTAGGTACATTATACAACATGATCCTGTAGGTACGTTGTACAATTGTACTTAGATGAACACTTGTTAAAATAGTACTTAGTTTAAATAGATGTAGTGTGAACTTATACATAGGTAAAATTATTAAAATAACTTCAAACAAATGTAAACATATATCTGTAAATTACATACCAGAAAATTACCAGTATAAAACAACACTACAGTTAACAAGTACACATAATTACTGGTTAATTTCCTATGTATAATTTACGTCCACAGAAACCTCTTTATAAACATTCTGGCAACAAAAAGTCTGTATCATGAATTTTGATGTAACTGAAATGACAAAAACCCACATCACGATTCTGTAGATATAAGCATGCCAACCATTTCACTTTGACAGACTACGACCATTTGTCATCCCCTTCCTCACTATTTTTATCCTCACACTGATAATAAGTAATTTTTTATGATCATTTATTATGTCTGCTATGATATTAATACATAACAATGAGCTGTCAGTGTTAATAAATTGCTGTTTTTATGATTTTTTTTCAATTTTCTATTTGTCAGCCTAGATTGTGATGACATGAGGTAAATGGATGATGAAGCATTATAGAGGCTATGTAAATATGACTGATTTATCAGTCTATGTTCTAGATGTAACATATATACTTTCCTTTTCATATTTCCACTGACTGGACAGACATGGTCAGCCTCTTGAATAATTTCAAACAAAGTCAGATGTGGTATTTAAGTGTTCATAACACGAACTGGTTCATTGCTACATGTGAGGTCTGTAAAAATCTGCTTATTATTCTTTTTTAATTTGCATTGCGAGAATCTGGACCACTTTTACAAATCTCTTTGGTAAAGATATCTGTCATCAAAGCTTGATTTTACAAATCTCTTTGAAAAAAATATTTGTCATCAAAGATTGATTTTACAAATCTCTTTAGTTAAAATATCTGTCATCAAAGATTGATTTTACAAATCTCTTTGGTAAAAATATCTGTCATCAAAGCTTGATTTTACAAATCTCTTTGGTAAAAATATCTGTCATCAAAGATTGATTTTACAAATCTCTTTGGTAAAAATATCTGTCATCAAAGATTGATTTTACAAATCTCTTTGGTAAAAATATCTGTCATCAAAGCTTGATTTTACAAATCTCTTTGGTAAAAATATCTGTCATCAAAGCTTGATTTTACAAATCTCTTTGGTAAAAATATCTGTCATCAAAGATTGATTTTACAAATCTCTTTGAAAAAAAAAACTGTCATCAAAGCTTGGTTTCAGTTTACTACAATAAGACATTATAACTCTGTTTATACTCAACATGTTGGATTTGATTTCCAGTCTACCCATATTAACCAGTGTGCATCTTTACATATAACTGCTGGGGCTCCTCAGTTATGATTGGTATATTGATAGACAATAACAGCCCTAAAACTGATATAAGTACTCAGATCTATAGATAAAATGGGCAGATGTAGCATTAGTCTATACTTTGTATGTGTCTGCATCAAGCCCCTGAAATAGATTCAGTAGTTTTAGTTTGCACTTATGTGTCTTAATCAAACCTCTGAAACAGTTTAAGTAGATTTAGTCTAAATTTACAACAGTGTGTGTCTTAATCAAACCTCTGAAACAGTTTAAGTAGACTTAGTCTAAACTTACGACAGTCTGTGTCTTAATCAAACCTCTGAAACAGTTTAAGTAGATTTAGTCTAACCTTACTACAGTATGTGTCTTAATCAAACCTCTGAAACAGTTTAAGTAGATTTAGTCTAAACTTACGACAGTATGTGTCTTAATCAAACCTCTGAAACAGTTTAAGTAGATTTAGTCTAAACTTACGACAGTATGTGTCTTAATCAAACCTCTGAAATAGTTTAAGTAGTGTTAGTCTAACCTTACTACAGTATGTGTCTTAATCAAACCTCTGAAATAGTTTATGTGTCAGTTTAAGTAGATTTAGTCTAAACTTACGACAGTATGTGTCTTAATCAAACCTCTGAAATAGTTTAAGTAGTGTTAGTCTAACCTTACTACAGTATGTGTCTTAATCAAACCTCTGAAACAGTTTAAGTAGACTTAGTCTAAACTTACGACAGTATGTGTCTTAATCAAACCTCTGAAACAGTTTAAGTAGATTTAGTCTAACCTTACTACAGTATGTGTCTTAATCAAACCTCTGAAATAGTTTAAGTAGATTTAGTCTAACCTTACTACAGTATGTGTCTTAATCAAACCTCTGAAATAGTTTAAGTAGTGTTAGTCTAACCTTACGACAGTATGTGTCTTAATCAAACCTCTGAAACAGTTTAAGTAGATTTAGTCTAAACTTATGACAGTATGTGACTTAATCAAACCTCTGAAATAGTTTAAGTAGTGTTAGTCTAACCTTACTACAGTATGTGTTTTAAACAAACCTCTGAAATAGCTTAAGTAGTGTTAGTCTAACCTTACTACAGTATGTGTCTTAATCAAACCTCTAGAGGAGAGAAATAGTGTTAGTCTAACCTTACTACAGTATGTGTCTTAATCAAACCTCTGAAGTAGTTAAAGTAGGGTTAGTCTTACCTTACTACAGTATGTGTCTTAATCAAACCTCTAGAGGAGAGAAATAGTGTTAGTCTTAACTTACTTAAGTATGTGTCTTAATCAAACCTCTGAAGTAGTTTAAGTAGTGTTAGTCCTAACCGTCTTAATGTTCTGAAATTAAGGACAGTCTTAAATATTATAATTATGTGTCTACTTTGGTCCCTTAGAATTGAGCTAATAACATGGGTCTAAATGCTGATTGATTCAATAAATTTGCTTGGTCATATTACATTGTTAATGTACATGCATCCATGAAATTTTTGGCTTCACCATGAAATGAGAAGGTACATATTCTTTTCTCAGTCTAGAGCCATTGAACATTATATTTTGATCAGAGTACACTGGCTTTGTTTAGCGTCAGTGACACATCTTTATACCAGCTAGCTATACCTCTATCATTTACTTACTTGAGAAGTCATGCTTTTCACATACGAGTAATTATAAAAACTAAAAAAAATCACATTCAATTATCTGAATTACAAGGAGGAAAAATCGACTTAATTTTAACTACATACAGGAAAATTAATGACAGGGCTTCAAAAATCATTCTTTACATACTTAATAATTTGATATAGGAAAGAAAAAAGCAGAAAGTTTGAACTCATTCACAAGTTTTTGTCAATGATAGTTAAAACTGGTGAAGAGAAACATCAGTAAAGAGAACCACAACATGGGGCACACAGTGACCCCCTGTACAACGCCACTGCAGTGGGGTGTGTTACTCTCCAGAACAGCTTTGTACAGAGTGGAGTATCTCAGTATTAATTTATTAGAGTAAAATACTCTTCAAGTGTATCTTTGCACTCAACTTTCTTGGTGTACTTTTTATATTTGGTGACACAAATCTCTTGATGACAACTGTTGATAAAAGTGGTGAAATCAAGTTATAATTTATGATTGGTGCTTTGAAGAAATGTAAAGGTATTCATTTTGTCAAGCGTGGTTAGGTAATACAAAGAAGTTTAGAATTTCAAGTAGCTGGGTTATGTACATGATTTATACGGCAGTGAGGAGTAGACTGATATATAGGTCATACATATCACAGGGCTAACTCCCAACGTTTTTCTATAGAAAACTATAAAAGGATGTTTTAGGATTAAAGTGCAAAAAGTTTCAATAAAAGAAATCCCATAAAACATTGTAAAGTGGACATCCTTCTATATACATGTTTATCCAATTCGAGGTATTAATATGTTACACAACTAATCAAATGTTGAATTCTAAATTGGTACCTGTATACAAGTGAGTCACAAACCCTGCTTTAATACAACATCTGATTTTGAGTATAAAGATACTGATTTCTGATCAAACAGCTGGTGTATAGTTTCCTGAAATGCTGTGCCCTGCCTCGGAGCTGGCTACTACTGTACAATGATTAATGACCAAATTAAGGGCAACTCTGGTTCACTGCTAGTTATATTGAATTTTGACATGCAAACAAACCAACACACCCAACAAACATTCACACAAATGTTAAAAGGTTATAGTGAACATTTTATTAGTCATTAAGTTAAAACTAAAGTTTTTTTTACAACCTTTGTGAACATTTTGACATAAGGCAGGAAAGACTCTACTGTTAAATCCTTCCATCCTGGGTAAGAGTAATAATATTGTCTTAATGTGTGGTGTATCATTTAGCAACATATGGAAAATCTCTTTATGTTTTCTCATAAACAAAAAATTCTGAGAGGAATTCAAGTGATCTGACAGCCACTACACATTTAACCTTACGTTTAGGTGCAGCTTGTAAAAGTCAATATTCCCAAGAACACAAGGGTATAAATAAGTGGCCTAAATGATTTTATATGGAGGTACCAGTGTTTGGGAAGTCTGCATTAGAAATGTTCAAACTGGCAAAATCAGTAGCTACATAGTAGGGAAGTGCTCATTGCTAATTATGAAAAGTCATATTTCTCAAGTACACTTTACAAATTTCTCAATAAGAAATTAATTTTGAAAAAAACCCATTAAGGTAGCAAATAATCTAAGGTCAGATTTGATGTGAGGTAGCATATCCTGAAGACAGATATCAAGTAAGACAGTGTACAGCCTTAAGTCAGATTCCCAATAAGGTAGCATATAGCCTTAAGTCAGATAAGTAAGATTTCCAGTAAGGTAACACTGTCCTAAGTCAGATTCACTGTAGGGTAGACTGTCCACAAGTATAGGTTTTGCCAACAATTTTGGGAAAGGGTCCGTGAGCAAGAATTGGAAAACATCAACAGAATTTTTCACAAATTCGGAAAATAACATTTCATTAATTTTGGGAAAAGACTATAAAATAGAAAAATTAATAATAAATAAATAAAGAAAAGTTTTTATGATAAGTTTTTTAAGGATAATCTTTCAATCAGTGTTGAATATTTTGTATTTGATGTTCTTAAGCCAGTGTTTTGTTACCATCATTTCACATTTACAGCTACCAGTAGATTTTTGGAAAATTGGGGAAATACAGATGTATGCAGGAAAGAGATTGTTTTTATCGCTCTTATTTATTCACTGCATGAAGACTAGTTAGCACAGAAATCTGACAATAAAAACACATACAAAAATTTAATATCTGTACAAAAAAAAAAAAAAAGAAAATGTAAACATGAAAGAAACTTACTAGCATATTATTTAACATCCAAAAATTATTTTAATGGCTTAATCAACTATTTTTCAATGCTTGTGAACCATTTATCTCATTTCTATAATTACTTTTGGTAGCTTTTATCGTTCTTAATATTTTCACTCTGAATGTCTGCCAAAACCGTCTGAATTGGTGTCTCCTGCCCCGAGTCCCCCAGCCTTCTTCCATTCCACAGAAACATAAAAAATAAGGTTGCTTATTTCTTCTAATTTGTTGTTTGTTTTAGAAGTTGTTATGTTATATTGCAATAGAATTTTTGCCATCATATCCAGTGTAAAATACATATTGTAAAAGTTAACAAAGTAATGACTGGAAATTCAATGTTTTAAACCCAAATGGGAAAATGCAGACAGGAATTGTGAAAATACAGCATCAATTTTCAATTTGGAATGGGTTCTTGGACCAGACTATAAATGCATGGCAAAAACACTGCAGCCTGTAAATTTTGTTAAGAAATATCTCCCTTTCAAGTAAAACTTAGAATCAGAGCTATTTAAAAGATCAGAAATATAAGACAAATTTTTTTCATTAATTGATTACAATTCTAGAGAAAGAGACAGTCTAACTGTAAGGTAGCATATAGCCTTAAATTTGATTCCCAATAAGGGTACCATATAGGTCAGGTAAGTCCCTGTGGAGGTAGCATATAGCCTTAAGTAAGATTCCATTTAAAGTAGCATACAGCCATAAGTCAGACATCAAGTAAGGTAACATATAGCCTTAAGTGAAATTCCCAATGAGGTAGCATACAGCTAGCTGTAAGTCATATTTAAGATTCTGTGTTATTGGTGGTAATCTGTAGAAGCTGTGGTTAAATGGCTGTACACTCAATGACCAGTACATTAATTTTTGTGCACTGGTGAAATTCATTTACTGTAAGACAATAATCGAGAGAGCTTGCTGAAGGCTTAAACTGTTTAAGTTTAATCTCTTAGCTTACATACAGACTCACAACCAGGTCTTCATGACGACATTCAAACAATTTTTTTTCATTTTATAGCAGGATGTATAGGTATACATTGGCATAATGAAGCAGAACTTGCTACCAGGATAGACATTTTTGTGGTTGTGCTGTGGTTCAACAGCATACAAATACCGTGTAGGTCAGGGTCCAATGGACATGGATTATCCCTCGGCATAATGTTCCACTGATTTAGGAGGAAACATCATTACTCTCCAATTTATTCTTCTCATAAATGGGATGTTAAATGAGTTTCCATTTCCTATATGAAACAAGTCTTAGAATTTTTTAGTGAAGCAAGTCTCTGACCAACAAAAAAGAAAGATTTGTGACAAATTTCATAAATATAATACCGGGATATGGAAGAAAATCTATGACCTATTTAATCATATGATCTACTATTTTGCATCACAATAAGTCTTATTACAAGACATATATCCCGAGACATTTTAAAAACTTACGTCCAGAGGGTATACAGGTTGGACAGCATTCGCCAGGTAATGTCTGAGTGACCTCCCCTGGTTTACAGCGTAACCTCCGACACGCCACAGCCTCACAACTAACCTCTCCATTCAGACAAAGGCAATCAGTACAAGGGTTGGGTTTCCAATTTTTGTTGTGCTATAATAACAAATAATTTCTTTTATTACAACAAAAACTATTACCTGTGTTTACAAGTTATAACTTAATATAGACCTATATTACCTGTGTTTACAAGTTATAACTTAATATAGACCTATATTACCTGTGCTTACAAGTTATAACTTAATATAGACCTATATTACCTGTGTTAACAAGTTATAACTTCTTGAAGACCTATATTACCTGTGTTTACAAGTCATAACTCAATATAGACCTATATCACCTGTGTTTATAAGTTATAACTTAATATAGACCTATATTACCTCTGCTTACAATTTATAACTTAATATAGACCTATATTACCTGTGTTTACAAGTTATAACTTAATATAGACCTATATTACCTGTGTTAACAAGTTATAACTTCTTGAAGACCTATATTACCTGTGACGATTACATCCTCTTTCCCCATCACTTTCACCCTTCAAAAATGTGCTAAGAAAATTGATGTTTTTATTTGCCACAAACTGATTTCCCATCATTATTTTGATAATCTATTGAAGGTGTGTAGGATTAGTTGGACAGGTCATGTACCATCTTGACTGTTGTTGCTGGTCCTATTTCACAGATATATGCTGAACATTTCCCGAGACAATACATTACTGTATAATGACTATTCGTTGATAAGATGCCAGATATACCTCACTGCTATAAAGCATTTTTCATAAATTTTTACCTTTGTACATGTTTTAGAAGCCATCACATTTATCAAGTTTCTTTAAAAAACAACAAGTTCAAAAGACAGATGAGGCAAATATCAACACCTGGATGATATAGAATACATATACCATTTACATAACCATTGTTCAATTGATCATTTCCTTATCTAGCCAGACAAAAAAAGAGAGGCCCTGCATCAAAATTCTTTGAATTGCTTTACAGTGTGTATTGATAACACAAGGCATATTAAGATGTCATTATCTCCATCAAGATTTCAGCTTTGTCCTGCCTATGATCTATCATCTGGTGTTTTCAGACATGAACATGTAGCCAATATTTCTAATTACATTTTGCTTTTCCATGCCTTGTGTGTTCTTATTATCCCATAACCCTCCAACCCACACATTACCTCATCACAACTCTTCTCCCCAAACATACCCTGAACATAACCTTCCATTAAACTCACCCTCTCATCATAACCCTCCAACCCACACATTACCTCATCACAACTCTTCTCCCCAAACATACCCTGAACATAACCTTCCATTAAACTCACCCTCTCATCATAACCCTCCAACCCACACATTACCTCATCACAACTCTTCTCCCCAAACATACCCTGAACATAACCTTCCGTTAAACTCATGCTCTCATCAGGACCTTCTGTTAAACTCACCCTCTCATCATAACCCTCCTCCCTATATTATTATCCTTCATACTCATAACCCTTCTCCCCACTTACTCCCTCATACCCATAACCCTTCTTCCCACTTACTCCCTCATACTCATAACCCTCCACACCACTTACTCCCTCATACTCATTACTCTCCTTCCCATTTACTCCCTCATACTCATAACCCTCATCCCCACTTACTCCCTCATACCCATAACCCTTCTCCCCACTTACTCCCTCATACTCATAACCCTCCTCCCCACTTACTCCCTCATACCCATAACCCTTCTCCCCACTTACTCCCTCATACTCATAACCCTCATCCCCACTTACTCCCTCATACCCATAACCCTTCTCCCCACTTACTCCCTCATACTCATAACCCTCATCCCCACTTACTCCCTCATACCCATAACCCTTCTCCCCACTTACTCCCTCATACTCATAACCCTCCTCCCCACTTACTCCCTCATACTCATAACCCTCCACACCACTTACTCCCTCATACCCATAACCCTCCTCCCCACTTACTCCCTCATACTCATAACCCTCCACACCACTTACTCCCTCATACCCATAACATTACTCCCTCATACCCCCTCCTCCCCACTTACTCCCTCATACTCATTACTCTCCTTCCCATTTACTCCCTCATACTCATAACCCTCATCCCCACTTACTCCCTCATACCCATAACCCTTCTCCCCACTTACTCCCTCATACTCATAACCCTCCACACCACTTACTCCCTCATACTCATAACCCTCCACACCACTTACTCCCTCATACCCATAACCCTTCTCCCCACTTACTCCCTCATACTCATAACCCTCCTCCCCACTTACTCCCTCATACTCATAACCCTCCACACCACTTACTCCCTCATACCCATAACCCTTCTCCCCACTTACTCCCTCATACTCATAACCCTCCACACTACTTACTCCCTCATACTCATAACCCTCCACACCACTTACTCCCTCATACCCATAACCCTTCTCCCCACTTACTCCCTCATACCCATAACCCTTCTCCCCACTTACTCTCTCATACTCATAACCCTTCTCCCCACTTACTCCCTCATACTCATAACCCTCCACACCACTTACTCCCTCATACTCATAACCCTCCACACCACTTACTCCCTCATACCCATAACCCTTCTCCCCACTTACTCCCTCATACTCATAACCCTCCACCCCACTTACTCCCTCATACCCATAACCCTCCACACCAGTTACTCCCTCATACCCATAACCCTTCTCCCCACTTACTCTCTCATACTCCTAACTTTTCTCCCCACTTACTCCCTCATACTCATAACCCTCCTCCCCACTTACTCCCTCATACTCATAACCCTCCTCCCCACTTACTCCCTCATACCCATTAACCATCCTCCCCATTTACTCCCTCATACTCATTAACCATCCTCCCCATTTACTCCCTCATACTCATAACCCTCCTCCCCACTTATTCTCTCATACTCATAACCATCCTCCCCATTTACTCCCTCATACTTATAACTCTTCCCCACTTAGTCCCTTATACCCATAACCCTCCTCCCCACTTATTCTCTCATACTCATAACCCTCCTCCCCATTTACTCCCTCATACTCATTAACCATCCTCCCCATTTACTCCCTCATACTCATAACTCTTCCCCACTTACTCCCTTATACCCATTAACCCTCCTCCCCACTTACTCCCTCATACTCATAACCCTCCACCCCACTTACTCCCTCATACCCATAACCCTCCACACCAGTTACTCCCTCATACCCATAACCCTCCTCCCCACTTACTCCCTCATACTCATAACCCTCCTCCCCATTTACTCCCTCATACTCATTAACCATCCTCCCCATTTACTCCCTCATACTCATAACTCTTCCCCACTTACTCCCTCATACCCATTAACCATCCTCCCCATTTACTCCCTCATACTCATTAACCATCCTCCCCATTTACTCCCTCATACTCATAACCCTCCTCCCCACTTATTCTCTCATACTCATAACCATCCTCCCCATTTACTCCCTCATACTTATAACTCTTCCCCACTTAGTCCCTTATACCCATTAACCATCCTCCCCATTTACTCCCTCATACTCATAACCCTCCTCCCCATTTACTCCCTCATACTCATTAACCATCCTCCCCATTTACTCCCTCATACTTATAACTCTTCCCCACTTACTCCCTTATACCCATAACCCTCCTCCCCACTTATTCTCTCATACTCATAACCCTCCTTCACATCCTCTTCCCTCTCCCTTTTCTCTCCTGTATTCCTTACATCACTATCTACATTCCTGATCAACAGACCATCACACATCTACAACAGGACTGGTAACACTCTACGACCCTTAGAAATATGACTTATTTGCAATGCCTGTCTGGATTTTCCATCGAAAATATGGCTTGAAAAATAATTTTGTACATCATTAATCTTATATAAATGTTGAAAACGTTTCCACATTACTTGACCCTAAAGTTATATATCATGATCCTAGATTCACCATCCCCATAACCCACATTTTAAATTACAAATATAATGTATTTTTAGGTGCCTTGGCTTGAAAGTATGTAATATTGTTTTAGTGTTTTTTGTAGTTAAGAATAAATCTGCACAAACCGGAATAGTCTGTCCTTGGTGTTGACATGGCAACAGTTGCTGCACACATTCTGGACAGCAGTCATCTGATGGAATCTGCAGGTACTCGCCCTGAAAAACAAACACATTAATGTAATACTTACAAACTCAATATGTAACCAAATCATTACTGTGTCACCTCTGTCATTACAATATCAACATATACCATCATAATTATAACATTGATGGTGGTTGTTTAATGGACAAACCATTATCATTATAACATTGATGTAGGTTGTTTAATGGACAAACCATTATCATTATAACAATGATGTAGGTTAATTAATGGACAAACCATTATCATTATAAAATTGATGGTGGTTGTTTAATGGATAAACCATTATAATCATAACATTGATGGTGGTTGTTTAATGCACAAACCATTATCATTATAACATAGATGTAGGTTGTTTAATGGACAAACCATTATCATTATAACATTGATGTAGGTTGTTTAATGGACAAACCATTATCATTATAACATAGATGTAGGTTAATTAATGGACAAACCATTATCATTATAACATTGATGTAGGTTGTTTAATGGACAAACCATTATCATTATAACATTGATGTAGGCTGTTTAATGGACAAACCATTATCATTATAACATTGATGTAGGTTAATTAATGGACAAACCATTATCATTATAACATTGATGTAGGTTGTTTAATGGACAAACCATTATCATTATAACATTGATGTAGGCTGTTTAATGGACAAACCATTATCATTATAACATAGATGTAGGTTAATTAATGGACAAACCATTATCATTATAACATTGATGTAGGCTGTTTAATGGACAAACCATTATCATTATAACATTGATGTAGGTTGTTTAATGGACAAACCATTATCATTATAACATTGATGTAGGTTGTTTAATGGACAAACCATTATCATTATAACATTGATGTAGGTTGTTTAATGGACAAACCATTATCATTATAACATTGATGTAGGTTAATTAATGGACAAACCATTATCATTATAACATTGATGTAGGTTAATTAATGGACAAACCATTATCATTATAACATAGATGTAGGTTAATTAATGGACAAACCATTATCATTATAACATTGATGTAGGTTAATTAATGGACAAACCATTATCATTATAACATAGATGTAGGTTAATTAATGGACAAACCATTATCATTATAACATTGATGTAGGTTGTTTAATGGACAAACCATTATCATTATAACATTGATGTAGGTTAATTAATGGACAAACCATTATCATTATAACATTGATGTAGGCTGTTTAATGGACAAACCATTATCATTATAACATTGATGTAGGTTGAGTAATGGACAAACCATTATCATTATAACATTGATGTAGGTTGTTTAATGGACAAACCATTATCATTATAACATTGATGTAGGTTGTTTAATGGACAAACCATTATCATTATAACATTGATGTAGGTTGTTTAATGGACAAACCATTATCATTATAACATAGATGTAGGTTAATTAATGGACAAACCATTATCATTTTTTTATTATAACATTGATGTAGGTTAATTAATGGACAAACCATTATCATTATAACATAGATGTAGGTTAATTAATGGACAAACCATTATCATTATAACATTGATGTAGGCTGTTTAATGGACAAACGATTATCATTATAACATTGATGTAGGTTGTTTAATGGACAAACCATTATCATTATAACATTGATGTAGGCTGTTTAATGGACAAACCATTATCATTATAACATTGATGTAGGTTGTTTAATGGACAAACCATTATCATTATAACATAGATGTAGGCTGTTTAATGGACAAACCATTATCATTATAACATTGATGTAGGTTGTTTAATGGACAAACCATTATCATTATAACATAGATGTAGGTTAATTAATGGACAAACCATTATCATTATAACATTGATGTAGGTTGTTTAATGGACAAACCATTATCATTATAACATAGATGTAGGTTAATTAATGGACAAACCATTATCATTATAACATTGATGTAGGTTGTTTAATGGACAAACCATTATCATTATAACATTGATGTAGGTTGTTTAATGGACAAACCATTATCATTATAACATTGATGTAGGTTGTTTAATGGACAAACCATTATCATTATAACATCGATGTAGGTTGTTTAATGGACAAACCATTATCATTATAACATAGATGTAGGTTAATTAATGGACAAACCATTATCATTATAACATTGATGGTGGTTGTTTAATGGACAAACCATTATAATCATAACATTGATGGTGGTTGTTTAATGCACAAACCATTATCATAATAACAATGATGTAGGTTAATTAATGGACAAACCATTATCATTATAAAATTGATGGTGGTTGTTTAATGCACAAACCATTATCATTATAACAATGATGTAGGTTAATTAATGGACAAACCATTATCATTATAACATTGATGTAGGTTGTTTAATGGACAAACCATTATCATTATAACATAGATGTAGGTTAATTAATAGACAAACCATTATCATTATAACATTGATGTAGGTTGTTTAATGGACAAACCATTATCATTATAACATTGATGTAGGTTGTTTAATGGACAAACCATTATCATTATAACATTGATGTAGGTTGTTTAATGGACAAACCATTATCATTATAACATTGATGTAGGTTGTTTAATGGACAAACCATTATCATTATAACATTGATGTAGGTTAATTAATGGACAAACCATTATCATTATAACATTGATGTAGGTTAATTAATGGACAAACCATTATCATTATAACATAGATGTAGGTTGTTTAATGGACAAACCATTATCATTATAACATTGATGTAGGTTGTTTAATGGACAAACCATTATCATTATAACATTGATGTAGGTTGTTTAATGGACAAACCATTATCATTATAACATAGATGTAGGCTGTTTAATGGACAAACCATTATCATTATAACATTGATGTAGGTTGTTTAATGGACAAACCATTATCATTATAACATAGATGTAGGTTAATTAATGGACAAACCATTATCATTATAACATTGATGTAGGTTGTTTAATGGACAAACCATTATCATTATAACATAGATGTAGGTTAATTAATGGACAAACCATTATCATTATAACAAAGATGTAGGTTGTTTAATGGACAAACCATTATCATTATAACATTGATGTAGGTTGTTTAATGGACAAACCATTATCATTATAACATTGATGTAGGTTGTTTAATGGACAAACCATTATCATTATAACATCGATGTAGGTTGTTTAATGGACAAACCATTATCATTATAACATTGATGTAGGTTGTTTAATGGACAAACCATTATCATTATAACATTGATGTAGGTCGTTGAATAGGTTCACTATTATCATTATAACAACGATAAAAACCCTTTTCCCCGGTTTAATCCTTTGTAAGTACAAACAGATCATTGATGCCTTGTCTGTTGTACATATCTCTCTGGTCTTCTGGCTATTGTTTAGGGTAGAAACTAATGACCCTTGACCATTCTGGTATCTTATCATACATAACAAGAGTTGGTGAGCTTCATGGTTGACAGGCTAAATATTTAGTTATATCCTAATATCAGATCGCCTCTCCTTTTATCAGGTGTGAACATAAAATTACTTCTTCTGCTGTTAGCTTTTTTAATGTCATTGTTGGAGACTTGAGAAAGAAGATTGGGGCAGTGGACATAAAAACACAGGTCATTGTTCTGTATGCTTAAGAATCCGTAACCATACCTCATCTAGAGATCTCCGGTTTTACACCTCACCCATTTCACTATGGCCATTATTCTCAGCACTTTGATCAATGTTTCTGGCAGCTAGAGGTGCGAACTTGCTACCTGGTCATACCTCACTCGCCATTGGCCAAAATTTATGAGCACATCATGTCATGTGACACTGATTTATTCAAAAAGGTGAAAAAACAATGACCTTTGTTGTGTGATTTGTATTATTTAAGAAGTTTGAATTTGATGAAAAAAAGTGCTTCAGTGAAGTAGCTATTAATACACATTAAAGCAGTCCAACAGACCTATCTGAGAATGAGTTATTGTTGTTTTTAGTTACTGGAGTAAACATTGGTAACAGATTGTATGGTAGTGACCTCTCCATGACAACAGCATCTGTTAGAGAGCGGGTTTCACCTCATGGTGACAAAGTTGGCAGTCAAATGTGTCTGGGGCAGTTTTTTTTTAACAAAAACTGGTCTAAAGATAATTTTTCTCATCATCAGGCCATTTCATCCACTGTCCTAAATGTTTTCAGCCTGAAGGAAATACCTCTATCATGACAACATATCTTAGGGGACTCAAAAAGTCACAGGATAATTCCCATTTTATATAACAATGTCTATCAAGGAACATTTCTCCACACCTCAGGTGAACCATAAACTTTATATTAATTGGAAAAGACAAACTTTCATCCAGGCTGCGTAAAAAGAAATTTTAGTACTTAAATGTATACCTATACATTTTCACGATATGACAATCTTTCTATGGTTTGAACTGTTTATTGCAACTGTTGTGTTGTTTACCCATGAGCCCTGTCTTTTCCCAACTATATGTGTGGTCATAACACCACTAAATGAATATTAATGCTGTATCCCTTTGTCCATTAACTGTATTAAACCTCTGTGTAACTGTATATTTTCATTTCAGGTGTGTTTTATCTTGTAATTCTATTCAGTGTGGATCCTCCCCTGAATTGTAATTGTCAATTTGCAGCCTTGAACAGGAGTAAACCAGCATTAGTCAGCACAGTATAACATACTCATGTGGTTGGACACCCTGATTCATCATCAAATTTTAAATCAACATTTCCATATACATCCTTTAGGGTTACTTTTGTGTTAAAAAAAAGTTCAGCTTGTATAAATAATACAACACTATAGAAATAATGAGAAGATGATTTTCCTTTGAGGTTGTAACAGAGGTCATTATATATTTCATTGTCTACACTGGGATTCAAACTTGGGACCTCTGGTTTACAAGCCATGCATTGAATAACACCGAGATAAACAAACACTTGGACCAGCAAAAAGAAAAAGAGACTAAACACAAATTACAAATCTGTAATTAAAAAAAATTCAAACAGAATTAGATCAAACATTTTAAAAAATCACCCTTAACTAAATGGGGTTAACACTGTTTAAGACATGTATATATGCTATGCAGGACACACAAGGATTCTGGTACTACATTGTGTCTATGATTGAAAGTTTACCCACACAAACTATCTCACAGTAGTCAACTTGATGTCTAGAATCCTCAAAATCCGAAACACACCTGAACTGTAGTAATTAGTCTATATCTCATCTGGTCTAGGTGTCAGGCAACATGAAGAGTTACCTCTAGAGGGAGGTAACTATATATCATCTGTGATTCACCCTCATTTATTTTATACATTGATACTATTTAATTACTCACCCTAGATAATAATTAATGTTGGTAGCTCACAGGCATTTGACTTTGATTAACATAAACTACTCCCAAAATGACACAAAATACAGAATAAAACAGTAATGCCACACAAAAACTGTCAGAAATCTTCCAATTAATTCAAGGAAATCTGCAATTGTAAATAAGTTCCCCACAAAACCTAGCGAGTGAGATTTTATAGGAAACGTTATATATTACAAGAATCGGTGAAAACCCAACAAAGCAAACCCCAAGGGCAGGTAACTCTGACCCATGGATGACAGCATCATAAATAACAGTAATACAATCACTTGTGTTTAACACTACTTTGCATAATTATAGTTTTTCTTGTGTACCAACGAAACTTGTAGGAAGAACTTCTACTACCAGAAACTGGACAAGGGGTATCAATTTACCAGACTACATCTAGATATCATGTTGATGAAGCGTTGCGTTTCAAGAACTTACACAAAAGAAAATCAGGAAGAGGTTGAGGGACCATTCATCACCTGTCAAGAGGTACACATTGTTACCTCACCAAGGTAAGGGACCTGTTGATGTGGCTGAACTACCCGAGAACCTTCCTGAATAGGTACACATTGTTACCTCACCAAGGTAAGGGACCTGTTGATGTGGCTGAACTACCTGAGAACCTTCCTGAATAGGTACACATTGTTACCTCACCAAGGTAAGGGCCATGCTGAGGTGGCTGAACTACCCGAGAACCTTCCTGAATAGGTACAAATTGTTACCTCACCAAGGTAGGGGCCATGCTGAGGTGGCTGAACTACCTGAGAATCTCCTGTGCAGGTACACACTATTACCAAGAAACCAGATAGACAAAGGAAGAGCAGCGTTCACTGGTATTATATACTGACAAGTAAATAAAAAAAATGTTGTAATAATGTGTTTCCTGTGACAGGTATAACATCTAAAATGCCTTATTGTGTGTCTAATCAAAGGTACTAATAAATACCACACTTAAATATGTCCTTTGAAGTAATTATGCAACAATACAAGCTCCTTTAACAAATAATACCTTTAGAAATATTCATTCTGTACAGGTAGACATTAAGGACAACATACAAACAGACAGACTTATACATACCTAGGAGACCAAGAGGGGACACAAAGGAAAACTTGGACATACCTTTGTGGTCATCAGAGGACGGCAGCAAAATTTGTACATACCTTTGTGGTCATCAGAGGACGGCAGCAAAACTTGTACATACCTTTGTGGTCATCAGAGGACGGCAGCAAAACTTGTATATACCTTTGTGGTCATCAGAGGACGGCAGCAAAACTTGTACATATCTTTGGGGTCAACAGTGGACACACAGGAAAACTTGTACATACCTTCTCGGCCAAGAATGGACACACAGACAGATTTGTACATACTTTTAGAATCAACAGAGAACACACAGACACACTTGTATTCTGGGCCAACTGAGGCTTGTACAATCTAAACTAAAATGAGGGATAGATGGAAGTGTAATACATACCTTATTGAACTTGCATTTTGGGGTCATACAACGGACCTGTTCACAGACCGTAATAGGGTCTTGGCACGTGCATATAGTACAGTCGTCAGGCAGCCATAGGGTATGATTCTGAAGGGAAGAGAGAAAAAGTACATGTAATGCATATTTAATATCATAAGACATAATAAACTAGAAAGCTGATGGACTGTTCATTATCGTCTTATAATCATAACCTTAAAGTATAGAAAAATAACAGAATTGTCTACCACAATTTAAAATTGATAAATCTGCCAACACTAAATTTATGTGTGTGTGTGTGTGTGTGTGTGTGTGTGAGGGTGTGTGTGTGTGTGTGTGTGTGTGTGTGTGTGTGTGTGTGTGTGTGTGTTTGTGTGTGTGTGTGTGTGTGTGTGTTTGTGTGTGTGTTTGTGTTTGTATGTATGTATGTATATGTATGTATGTTTATGGTGTATTATGTTTATGTCTGACCACCGGATTGTCTCGGGAGAAGACTTCTATAGGGTTTAGCTTGCTGTTAAATCCTATTAATTGCTTATATCAATAAAATAATCTGAAATGAGACAAGTGTAATTCAGGTTCTATCAGAAATTATCTGTTTTAGGTCACTTACACAACGTAATCCTCAATGATTGGGAGTTTGACATCACATCCTATGAGGGAGGTATCAATTGTAGTACTATCTGCAGTACATACAGTATTATCAAAGTGACATCATCAGGTTTTGTCAAGTCTAAATTCAAAAATCATTTTGAGCCTGTGTCATAATACTTAAGATAAGACTATTTAACTACTGCCTGTAAATGCTGACGTCAAATTTGACATTGATGCTTGTATCCAAATGTTGTTTCAGTAAAAATATTGAGCCACTCTGTCTACGTCCCTTTACCAAAACATACATCAATATCTAATGGCTAAATCCAAACTACTTACTGGTAATTACTTCTTCTACACCTAATGTAACATATTTCAAATATTTAGGAACATTATTGCAATTAAGATATGCTTTTCTAACATCTTAACTCCTTAAAAATTAGACAAAGCTTCCACTAAGATTCAACACAGATAAGAGAACGATCAAACAGAGTGGACAAATGTGTAGTCTACAACCGTTTTAAAAACAGCTTGAAATTTTAATCTTTAAAATGCTTCCACAAGGAGATTAGGACGAGCTCTAACGGTCGCGAGCTGTAATCTGAACCATCAATATTGGGGTTTTATTAACATTACAGAGTAAAAAGGTATGAACTGTAATAGAGTTCCATGAAGAAAGGTTATCTTTGGGTCACAGTGACACCAGTCTCTTGATGTCTCTCATACCACTTCAGGTCTCCTAACACCCCAGTACTTCAAAGGAGTCCTCACTGCCCCAGTACTACACAGGAGTCCTCACTGTCCCAGTACTACACAGGAGTCCAAACTGCCCCAGTACTACAAAGGAGTCCTCACTGCCCCAGTACTACACAGGAGTCCTCACTGCCCCAGTACTACACAGGAGTCCTCACTGTCCCAGTACTACACAGGAGTCCTCACTGTCCCAGTACTACACAGGAGTCCAAACTGCCCCAGTACTACAAAGGAGTCCTCACTGCCCCAGTACTACACAGGAGTCCTCACTGCCCCAGTACTACACAGGAGTCCTCACTGCCCCAGTACAACACAGGAGTCCTCACTGCCCCAGTACAACACAGGAGTCCTCACTGCCCCAGTACTACACAGGAGTCCTCACTGCCCCAGTACTACACAGGAGTCCTCACTGCCCCAGTACTACACAGGAGTCCAAACTGCCCCATTATTACACAGGAGTCCTCACTGCCCCAGTACTACACAGGAGTCCTCTCTGCCCCAGTACTACACAGGAGTCCTCACTGCCCCAGTACTACACAGGAGTCCAAACTGCCCCATTATTACACAGGAGTCCTCACTGCCCCAGTACTACACAGGAGTCCTCACTGTCCCAGTACTACACAGGAGTCCTCACTGTCCCAGTACTACACAGGAGTCCAAACTGCCCCAGTACTACAAAGGAGTCCTCACTGCCCCAGTACTACACAGGAGTCCTCACTGCCCCAGTACTACACAGGAGTCCTCACTGCCCCAGTACAACACAGGAGTCCTCACTGCCCCAGTACTACACAGGAGTCCTCACTGCCCCAGTACTACACAGAAGTCCTCTCTGCCCCAGTACTACACAGGAGTCCAAACTGCCCCAGTACTACACAGGAGTCCTCACTGCCCCAGTACTACACAGAAGTCCTCTCTGCCCCAGTACTACACAGGAGTCCTCACTGCCCCAGTACTACACAGGAGTCCAAACTGCCCCATTATTACACAGGAGTCCTCACTGCCCCAGTACTACACAGGAGTCCTCACTGCCCCAGTACTATACAGAAGTCCTCACTGCCCCCAGTACTACACAGGAGTCCTCACTGCCCCAGTACTACACAGGAGTCCAAACTGCCCTATTATTACACAGGAGTCCTCACTGCCCCAGTACTACACAGGAGTCCTCACTGCCCCAGTACTATACAGGAGTCCTCACTGCCCCAGTACTACACAGGAGTCCTCACTGCCCCAGTACTCTACAGAAGTCCTCACTGCCCCAGTACTACACAGAAGTCCTCACTGCCCCAGTACTACACAGAAGTCCTCACTGCCCCAGTACTACACAGAAGTCCTCACTGCCCCAGTACTACACAGGAGTCCTCACTGTCCCAGTACTACACAGGAGTCCTCTCTGCCCCAGTACTACACAGAAGTCCTCACTGCCCCAGTACTACACAGAAGTCCTCACTGCCCCAGTACTACACAGAAGTCCTCACTGCCCCCAGTACTATACAGAAGTCCTCACTGCCCCAACACATTCAGATTCAGATACTACCCAAGATTATACCTGAAGACTGGGTCCTCATACTGCCCAAGGCATACAAAGGTGGGGGATGGGAGCAGTGTGTTCCTCATGATGTACTAGGAGTACAGGGGAGTCCTGTTACTGCCCACAGCAAGTGCAGGGAGAGGGGAAAGGGAGAGGGAAGGGAGTTGTCATACTGTCCCATGTACTTCAGCGGTCCTCTTATAGAGCCCCAGGAGTACAGGGGGGACCTTAGTACTATATGGGTCGTCATTCTAATACAGGAACACAGTGGGATCCTCTTTAGTGCCACAGGAATACAGGAGGTTCTTCTTCAATACAGGGAGGGGGGGCCTTCCTACCACACCAGGAATACAGTGGAGTGCTTATACTGCCCCAGTAATACAGCAGGGTCCTCATTGTTGTCCAATATACAGAGGTACTGAGGATGTAGGATCTCTAACCTTGAATCAGACCACTATCACAGAGGAATGTAGTATATCTGACCTTGATATTGAGGAAATATGATCCCTGACCCTTAATCAGAGGACATCATACAAGGTTCTGGGTAGCAGGTTGAGGTGATGACATAAGACACTTGACCCAAGGGAGAAGTCAAGTGTTCGAACACACACAGATTCAGGTGAGCAGTCAGCCATTGTGATCTATTCAGCTATCAGTACTCATGGCTATTTACTCATCCTCCCAAATAAAACAAAGTAAACTATTGTCAAGTGTCTCAGTCAATAGCATCAAAGTCTCCAGCCATGGCAGCGACTGGCGACATCGTCAGTCAGGCTGAGGTCTTATTCACAAGTGAGTAGGTTTGATTGGAAAAGGTGTCGGCCTCAAACATTCTACATCACCACTTCAACATCTTTGTGAGATCATGGTGTCAGTTAAATGTCTGGATGATTTTGACCTGATTAAGGCCCTTTTTTTCTTTTATTTAATGTCATGTTGACTTTATCAGGGTCAAACATTACCTGTCATAGCATTACCAACCCTGTCAATACTCCAGGTAACAGGATCATATCCATCTATTCAGGAGCTTACTAGCACTCCTTATTTCAACATGTTGGAGCACTTGACATTCTACAGAGGTTAGCAAGGACCTTAAAGACATGCAATAATATTTCATAAAAGAAGTTAAAAAAAAATACAATGCCTTTTGTCAGATAAAAAGAATGTTTGTATGTCAATTAATTTGACCAAGCTAAGTGACATCTGTGATTGGCAAGTATCAGATGATACAAATTTCACTTCATTTATCAGAAATTCAGCATCTTAATGGATCCATGCTTCCTCAGAAACATATTGGCTTCATCATCCTTATCCTTTAAAACATCAGTTAATTTTACACATGGGATTTATGAGGACGACATTCTAAATCTATCTCGTGTTGCTAATTGAATATATGGACATCAACCAGGTAAGATACGCACAGGTAATGTTATGATTGTCATCTTACAAATGACACAATATCTTGATTGTCAGTACAGGCGAACAACGATTGAATTGCATGGATATGCCATTTAGTCAACAGTATAGGCGATATGTGAAAGACGAGACATTTATTTCCACTCAAATAAAGAAAATGTAAAATGGTAGGAGTCAGCAATCTATAGCTGGAGGCTTCAACTTGTCATATAACACAGACAGATATACCTAAAACCAACACTGATAATATCAGAACTATTAGTACACAAAAACATGCACTGAAATTTTCACTTAACATTTCACTGAAGCTGTATTTAAAAATGTGTCCATAGAACATATTCTTTTAATGAGTTTTAAAGTGGAAAGTCAAGATACAGACACCACAGTCTTTAGGTACAGACATCAGAAACAAGGTACAGACATCACAGTCTTTAGGTACAGACATCAGAAACAAGGTACAGATATCAGAAACAAGGTACAGACATCACAGTCTTTAGGTACAGACACCAGAAACAAGGTACAGACATCACAATCTTTAGGTATATACATCAATCTTTAGGTACAGACATCAGAAACAAGGTACAGACATCAGAAACAAGGAACAGACATCACAGTCTTCAGGTACAGACATCAGAAACAAGGAACAGACATCACAGTCTTCAGGTACAGACATCAGAAACAAGGAACAGACATCACAGTCTTCAGGTACAGACATCAGAAACAAGGAACAGACATCACAGTCTTTAGGTACAGACATCAGAAACAAGGTACAGACATCACAGTCTTTAGGTACAGACATCAGAAACAAGGTACAGACATCACAGTCTTTAGGTACAGACATCAGAAACAAGGTACAGACTACAGAAACATGGTACAGACATCAGAAACAAGGAATAGACATCAGAAACAAGGTACAACCATCAGAAACAAGGTATAGACATCAGAAACAAGGTACAGACATCACAGTCTTCAGGTACAGACATCAGAAACAAGGAACAGACACCACAGTCTTTAGGTACAGACATCAGAAACAAGGTACAGACATCACAGTCTTTAGGTACAGACATCACAGTCTTTAGGTACATACATCAGAACTTAGCACAATCACCTGGGAGCCAAACTTGTGACTTGGCATAGTCACCTGGGAGAATGGCTACCAAACTTGTGACTAGGTATAATCCTTTGAGAAGGTTGGTGCTGGTTGGGATGATGGGAACCAAACTTGTGACTAGGCGTAAATTTTGTAATCTTTAACGGCAGAAAATATATCAAGATATTGATGATAAATCATCATATCTCCACACAATGACAAAGCTGATACCTGTCAGCCAAAACAAAATAATTATAACATGCTAAAAATATTACAACTATATAGATGTCATATATCCCAGTGAAAATGGGCCTAACCTTCCAGGTCTAATCAGGCAGAGACTACACTGCTGGCCATGAGACTGGAGTGTAACAGACCTTTAATGATAATTCTGGTTAATAAATCTATATTAAATGGATTTTCACCAACGTTATTGGATCAGTTTGATCTGACTTGATCTTTACATACCTATATCCTACACCATACAATCAGCAGATCTTGTCTCTAAAAATCAGGCGGTAACTTCTAATTACAGGCTTAACACATGAAAAGCCACAGGGTGACTACACAATTTTCACTGTTACTGTAGCACATCATTCTAGGAGGAAACAACACCTCGCTACAATGGTCTTATTTCTATTTCTAGGTTCCATACTTTACTCAAGGAGAGAAATGCTGTTTCCCCACATAAAAACTTTTCTTCAATTCTTAAACAAATTTGACATAATACATTAAAATTTTTTTTTCAATTGGTGCTATGTATCATTATTTAGAAGTTTGTTCATTTTGGAAATAAGATATATTCTTTCATGTTACAGAAATTTTTCAACAAATTTCAGCAAATTCTATTTTTAGAAATAAACTGAAATAAAGATTGTGAAATAAAGAAATTAAAAAGTATATCTAGTATCCTGACTAGCTCAGCATTTGTCACATCTATCTATCTACCCTATCTTAACACGCCCAGGTCTTGTCAAATATTAGATTTGTAAATTTGTTATCTATACAAACCAACAAGATGATCTTTTTTTAATATGCTGTTTCATCTTTTCATAAGTATTGATATTTTGGAAGTTTAAAGAACATAAATCAGATGTGTATCTGAAAGCAAACCATACCATACCCAGTCAATGACGGGTACAATAATTCTGCTTGTTTAGTGGCATGTGGAGTAATATTGTCAGGTTTTATGTAAAAAAGATCAAATAATTCTGTCTAATTTTGAAATAAATTAGATGTTGTGTTTATGACAGGTGCCTTTAGTATAACCTGATATAACTACAGCATAACCTGATATAACTACAGTATAACCTGATATAACTACAGCATAACCTGATATAACTGCAGTATAACCTGATATAACTACAGCATAACCTGATATAACTACAGTATAACCTGATATAACTACAGCATAACCTGATATAACTACAGTATAACCTGATATAACTACAGCATAACCTGATATAACTGCAGTATAACCTGATATAACTACAGCATAACCTGATATAACTACAGTATAACCTGATATAACTACAGCATAACCACAGTATAACCTGATATAACTATAGTATAACCTGATATAACTACAGCATAACCTGATATAACTGCAGTATAACCTGATATAACTACAGCATAACCTGATATAACTACAGTATAACCTGATATAACTATAGTATAACCTTATATAGCTACAGTATAACCTGATATAACTACAGCATAACATGATATAACTACAGTATAACCTGATATAACTACAGTATAACCTGATATAACTACAGCATAACCTGATATAACTACAGTATAACCTGATATAACTATAGCATAACCTGATATAACTACAGCATAACCAGATATAGCTACAGTATAACCTAATCTGACTAGAGTATAACCTGATATAGCTACAGTATAACCTAATTTATCTACAGTATAACCTGATATAGCTACAGTATAACTTAATTTAACTACAGCATAACCTGATATAACTGCAGTATAACCTGATATAACTACAGCATAACCTGATATAACTACAGCATAACCTGATATAACTACAGTATAACCTTATATAGCTACAGTATAACCTGATATAACTACAGCATAACCTGATATAACTACAGTATAACCTGATATAACTACAGCATAACCTGATATAACTATAGTATAACCTGATATAACAGTATAACCTGATATAACTACAGTATAACCTGATATAGCTACAGTATAACCTGATATAACTACAGTATAACCTGATATAGCTACAGTATAACCTAATTTAACTACAGCATAACCTGATATAGCTACAGTATAACCTAATCTGACTAGAGTATAACCTGATTTATCTATAGTATAACCTGATATAACTACAGTATAACCTGATATAACTAGAGTATAACCTGATTTATCTATAGTATAACCTGATATAACTGCAGTATAACATGACATAACTACTGTATACTATGATTTAACTACAGTTTAACTGGACATAGCTACAGTATACCATTATTTATCTACAGCATAACCTGACATAACTATAGTATAACATGACATAACTGCAGAATTAGTAAATTTAAGTATGGTGTTTCATTAGTAGTGAACTTCAGTACTCTAAAACAGCACGCTAAATCAATGATATGAAATTGGTATTTCAAACTTTGGGATGATTTACCTGATATAAATTCTGACAGTTCAGGTAAATAATATCAGTAAATAATATACTATTACTTACCAAGACACTGAGTTCCCTTCCCCACCCCCACTCAATAGTCAGTTATCTGATTGTTGAGGATATTAACCAGTGTAAAGGGTAACATTTCAATCTCAACAGACCCCATGAAAGGATACCCTGTAAATCATTGACAATCCTAATATTGACAAAGTGTAAACCTTGATCAAATGATCTGATATATCTATTTGCCAATC